CCAGTGGTTTTAGGAGGGAATATGTAGACTTTAGAAACCGAAAGACCTATCCTTTCTTCGACTCTTCATTTCAAAAGGAATCTTCAGATCCGGGTGGTCGTTGATCTTGGATTGTTTGGTTCTGCAAATGCATTTACCGCACCTTTACAGTCTTTTACACAAAAGCGAGGAACGAGGTCTGTCAAAAATTGAGTGGCGTACCTAGTGAGGGGTGCTTGATTGAATGTAGAATGCAAGCTAAGAGCTATTGCTAATACTATTATGCTTACTTCTAAGAGACTTGAACATGACATGAGATGCGTTTTCTATTCTTAGCTAGCATACTCTATTAGAATTTCAACGCAAACTATTTTTCAAAAGCCTCGAAGATGGAATAGTAACTAGAATCACCCACTACTTAGAACATGATCTTTAAGATCAAGTAAGATGAGAAGAGAAATGGAAAAAGCTCATGAGAAAGCAGTGACTCAAGTGAGAAGAATGCACCGACTATCTTTAGATACTCAGTGCTCTGCTTAGAGGTCTTATCCCAGGTACCACAAGGCGGGGCTAAGACCAGCCAGCCCGAACAAAGTAAATTGACATACTGTAAAGAAGAACTTCGCTTGCAGTGCATAATCCAACTTCGGAAATCAATAGATTAATAGATTGATTAACCACTCTCGCTCTCCGCGGATCTGATCTGCAAGAAACGAGAATGACTGCCAGCTATCAATCACGCCGTTGATTGATTGATGCCCAAGTGTAACCAGAAGAGAGTGTAACGTCACAATAGCAGACGTAATTGCTCTTACATACTGTATGTACCGTACTCCCACTCCGCAGATTAGATTACAGTAGCTTTCTCGAACGGCCGCGGGACTACCCGCTTTAGTGTCACAAGGAAAACGGCCGGTTCTACTTTCTTTATTGACTCTCTTGATTGAGAGTAGCGTCTGTCAAGATGAGATATCAGATGAAATGATATGCCTGCTACAGTACAGTATTCGGCCCCGAAGAGACGAACGATACTCTGCTCGAGTAAATATTTCCCCACATTGCTTGCTGCTTCGGTACGGTGATCGTCAGGAAGGGAGCTACTGTACGGAGTACATACATATGCTTCAGTGGTGACCTGCAGCAGACAAGGCAGGGCAGCCGTTTTCGTGAAGCCGGCTAGGATGGGATGGGATGGGATGGGGCCCTATCAAGAATAATAATGGAGATAGATAGATGCACATCAGCCTCGTTTTTGGGCTCGGAGATTAATTGGAAACGCTTGATTAATTAATTCAAGCTCTTATGATGCAGTGCAGTGCGTGCTTGTAATGACATCGTTTCTAAGCGCCAGGAACAAGAAGCCTACAGTAGGTATCTAACTGTTAGGCGCCGAATGGGAAGTGATATGTGGTGTTCTGGTTGCTGATTGGGTAGGTGGGGGGAGATGAGATAGATGAGCAGGAACAGGAACAGGAATTGCCTTTTCTAGGGAACGGAGGGGATACTTGGGAGTAGGAGATTCGTTTCATGTTTTTTGCCTTTTGCGTGGCATGTGAAATGTATAGGTAGGGTACGGTTATAGTTTTCCCGCTGGCGGCGGCGTTAGGTGAAGTGAGGCAAGGCGAGTAATGAATGGAAAAAGCAAATACTGTACGGCATAATAACGTGATGGGAAAAGATAAGATGTGATGATGACGACGACCGTCGACATACTGTAGGGTTGCGGCGGCTATATGAGACTGCTCGATTGAGGGATATAGATGTTGGATTAACATTAAGATGCACTGAAAGAGGAGATCACGAGGGAGGGTTTTCGAGACCTGGGGTTAGATGAGGGGGTTTGATATTAAATGTAACGTCAATTGGTATAATGGTCAATTAAGGTTATGGGGAGTACAGAACTTGCATCGATCTTCAGTCAGCGAGTGAGTGAGGAATTGATAATAGGCTTAATAGAGAGAATTCATGCGGCGGCGGACACTCTCACCGCGGCCGTCGGGTCCCCAGACACAACACCCTCTGCTCCTCTAGGGACATGACAGGGGTTTTAAAATCATAATAGTCTGAGGTGGCTGACGGACAGGGCGGGAGGAGAGCAAGGATTGCGCATCAAGAGAGAGAGACCAGGTCGCATGGATGGGCCGCATATCCATATCCCCAAACATATTCATGTTGGAATGAAGAGGCTGGTAGCTGGGAAACACGTGCAAGCGCGCACACCTGAGCCGCTGGGTTGTGGTTCGTGGTCGTGGTCGTGATCGTGATCGTGGTCCCAGAGTGAAGCTTTGCTTTCATTGGAAGTATTCTTTTATCTTTGACTGTCGAATCACAAAATTCAAAACGGCGCGATTTGGGATCGTCGGGAAAAGATCAACCAACCAGCCGACCGGATGAGAGGAATTAATCATGGCCTACGGAGTACTTCCTTTCCTGGCGATAAACGGTATCCTTGCAACGTCCACCGCACCCATCATGTATGAGTGTTCCATTCCATGCCAGCCAGCCCTAACCGGCCCCTCTCCACCTCCGTGCTTGCATGCGATGCGGTGTATCACTGTATCAGACTATCAGTAGGTACTGTAGGTATCTTCTGGACGTGACGTGGAGTTCTTTTGCAGTAGAACAGCGCAGTGCAGACAGGCAGACACTGCAGAGAGTGCAACAGCATCTGATCTGGTGCTACTGCTACTTCCACATGTACAGGACCCGTTGTCGCCGAATCAGGACTCTTACACCGACATTTCCAGGTTGTCGACGGAGATATTGGGGAATTCATGCCGCGCATCCATAACTTACACTTACCTATCTATGTAAGCAAAACTTAAGCAAGAGTGAGGCCCAGCCCAGTAGCAAATGCAATCGCCTACAGTACCCTAGCACAACGGACAATTCTTCCTTTCTTCCACTCAGCTCAGTCCCAGCAGAGCAGAGCACACAGTATTATATGGTACGGTACTGGACGGGGTAGGGTAGGTGCTATTTCCAGCTCAAGCCTCCAAGCCTGCCATCAGCCGCATCACGAGCCAAGTGGGTGGGTGATCCTTTGTGCGCTGTCCTCTCATACGCCCCGTTGATCGACAGATCAATTGCGCCTACCAATCGTACTCGGTAGCTTTCCTTTCCCCCCCTCTCGCTGAGCCCGGTTGGTCCTCACACACTCACTTCCGCCGACCGGCCTTTCTGCTGGTTTTCTCCCCTACCATTCCTCTTCTGCCCGCCCGCCTTCTGCTTAATCAGCTCTCTGCTCTATTTCTCCGTAAGCGATCGAGTCAGCGCTCACCCTTAAGAAACCGGAACTTCCTCAACCAGTCACGTCTCTTTCCTCCCTTTCACCCATCAACACCAACACACCCACGACCAATCACCACCCCCATCAAACCACAACAAATCAATTTTCAGGAACCCAAGAGAAAGGCCCGTTCCATCGATAGATCCCCATATCTACGCAGTGCCATACGATCCGATACTGAAAATCATTATTCTTTCTCACGATACTACTCGCTGCTGTTGTCCCTCGCCAAAATCCCGACTACTCTATTTGCGCGACCGTCCTTGTTCTGTGCCAGCCCACACAGCTCAAGCTCAGACTTCTCTTGCCCCCCATTTGACGCTCGCGGATCCTGTCCTGCACCCAAACGGTGCCCCTTCCTTGTATCGCATCGCATCTGGACGCTGTACGGAACACAACCAATCGCCCTCTCCCCCAAACACCGACCTCATCATCGCCGGAGCCCTATCACGCTCGCGAAAGCCCTCATCGACGCATCAATTGGCCCTCACCTGTATCCCGTGATTAAATCGCTCTGCGGGAGGGATTCGTGTGCTGCTCCATCCACTGCCTGCTGGATACGTTCAACATCTCGTATTGGAGGTGAGTTTTCCCGGAGATTTATTAAACGTTGAAGCTTGAGTTTCTTCCCACAGCTCCATCGCCGCGGCTGCGCGCCCTATCCCGCTGCACCGGCGCGCAGCAGCATCTACATAACAAATAGTGCAGGTCAACTAACTATGCATTCATTACATAGGCACATAATCATCAGCTTTATCTTTTAAGTCTACTGTTCCAGCGACCCGGTTGTTTGTCCCGCGCGCGCATCGTGTTCGCGACTCGAACCTACGCTTACAGCCGCACAACTGCGCGTCGGAAACACCATTTCGAAGACTCATCGTCTGCACGCGCAAGTCAAATTTGGCATCCAAGCTTCATTCGGTTTACCGTTGGATTCTCTGCCGCTACACTCGACAGGAATAGGAATTGGCGTGGGAAGCTGATTGACAAGGTACGCCTAGTTTTTGCATGACCCTCTATGCATGGCCAACGCATCACACTGGTCCAAGGCAAAAAACAACATCGGGCCCAAACCTCCCCCTCCCCCAATCGCTCTCCAAGATTGTCTGTGCCTTGACCAAACATCATAGCTAACTGCTGCGGTTGGTTTACAGTCGCGAAGCCGTCTTAATTACTGGGGAAAGCTTCGTTTCTTCTGTGGCTCAAGTACCTTAGGTCCCGCGAAGTTATACCTGCCACTCCATATACCGAATAGCTTCAAGCGCAAGCGCAACACCGCCTCATCTCTCACGTGGGTTTAAAGAACGCGACACTGTTCCGACCGCCTCACCTTCCAGTAAAACGCCTCCCGTCAACTTCAGCTTGCATATGTTGTGCTGCGGTCTATTGCGGTGTACACCTACCAGATTGCCTGCCAGCACATCCACGCATACCGGTATCGAATTGACGAGAAGGCTACTTTCACTAGTTGAAGTACGAAATTCTGGAGAACTGCGTCAGAGAAGTCGTAACGCGTTATTACAACATCGCACTGGAAGACTCTTCCAATCCTCGAAAAGATCGAATTCTTTACCAACATATTGATTTACATCCTTGAGATATACCCACTTTCAGCTCCAAAGAAACTCCAAACCTCAAGCATACATCCACACGCGTCGTACATTGTGCGCCGCTCCAATTTTCGCGCAACAGACTCTTTCACCACTCGAATCCAAAGAAGGCCATACAAATGATGGAGTACGCGCAATACCAGCAACCGGCGCAAGCCCAGCACGGACATAATGGTGGACACATTCAAGCCGGGTACCCAAATTCTGGGCAACACCCAGCAGGAACTACCATCACATCTCCTTCTCAACAACCATTACACCCACAACATGCTGTACATAATCAAACGTCACCAATACTCTCCTCCCAACCCCAGCAGCCGGGGCAGAACCAAGGGCATGGTATTCACCCGCAAATGAACTATCAACCCGCCTACGCGCAACCTGGTATGCACTATGGCATGCCTGGAATCACCCCACAAGCGGCCGCAATGGCAGCGACTGCTGCTGCTTCCGGTCAAGGCTACTCATACTCGATGCCGGATGGCAGCATACCCCAAGGGTCCCCCAAGATGGGATCCGGGATCAAGCGCGAACGAGGACCGCGATCGCCACAACAAATCAACAATCAAATGAACCATGCGCAAGTCAACCAAGGCCGGAGAATGAGCAACCAGGTGGGCAGTCCGGCGGTTCCAAATTCACAGCCTATCATGAACCACGGCGCGCCTCGACCCTCAGTGCCCCCAATGGTCAATAACCAACAACATCCTCAGTCACCCGAACTTGTCTCTGGCGCAGTTGAAGAATCTCCCTTGTATGTGAATGCCAAGCAATTTCACCGCATCCTAAAGCGCCGCGTTGCGCGACAAAGATTAGAAGAGGCTCTGCGGTTGACTTCCAAAGGGAGGAAACCATATCTTCACGAGAGCAGGCATAATCATGCGATGAGGCGACCGAGAGGACCCGGTGGAAGATTCTTGACTGCGGACGAAGTTGCAGAGATTGAGAGGACCAAGGGCGATGGAGGAGATGAGATGGACAAAGTGTCATTGGATACCCCCGCAAAAGGCATATTGAATAGCGGGAGTGGATCAGGAAATAAGCGAAAAGCCGATTCAGACAACACGACGCCCAGCAAAAAGCTTAAACAAAGCAACGGGCCACCCGTCGGTCGAAGTAGCGCTGAGGATGAAGACGAAGATGATGAGGATGCAGAAGATGATGGTTGACGCTACCGCCCAACACCAAAAATCTCCTTTGTATGTGTTTAGTTACGATGTCACGACAGCGTTTGCTTCTCCAATGCGCAACAAATTGGATTTCCTGCTTTTCTTGCTTCATTTTCACAGCGACCGGGGCAGTGGGTTTTTCGCATACGGCAACATATTTCTTTTCTCATCTGGTCTAGCACGAGGGAAGATACCAATACGGGGGAGCTCGGGCTCGGCTGGAGTTATTTCTGTGGCTTGTTGAGGGGACTTGTGGATATGGGCATATGGATATGGGATCTTTTTGCATATGGATGGGGTTTAGTGGTTACACAGGACGCTCGTTTTACAATCTTCATTGGCTTTTCGCAACTTGTCTGTCGCTCGCTAGACTAGAATATCCCCACTTTTGTCAGCCGTCTTCACTTCGCCTCTATGTATTCTTGGCCTTTCGCGAGAAAGAGCTGGAAGGCGCATCGCTACAATACATTTCATTTTCTTTATTTTTCTGACGGAATGGAATGGGATGGATGGATGGATGGATGGGCAAGGGATTAGAAATTTGGTACAGGTCCCTCACCGGATGGTCAAAAAAAACAGAATCATTGAAGCGAGTTTTGCGTTTAGGTAGTAGGGGTTAGGGAAGGAACTCTTATGATGATGGCCTTTTCTTTGCGTTTTTGTGGGAGATGGAGATGTTGTATCATATGTTGGGATAGGGCTTTGATGTTGTATGGCACCTATTATATTTGAATGAGATTTTGAGACTTGATACCAACTATATTTACAGGGTTGTTCTTGTGTGGGTGTGATTTACGGTCGAATAACCCCCCTCCCCCCCGCCTCGAATATCTATACACAGCAATCTATACACCCCTCTTGCTTTCTCTATATATACCATCATTAAACACTCACTGGATGATTTGCTAGCATACAATACGCCTTCAACTCTCATACTTTCATGTCGTGTCGCGAAGGGAGGTGAGAGGTAAATATAAGCACTGTTAATTACTGATTCTTATCGCATAGTAGGTAGATGCACGTTGGCGTTGGCGTATTGGGGGAAGAGAGTTTCTGAATCCCGATTGGTGGATTAATGGATGGGTGATGGATCGATTGGTCTAATCATATATATATATTGCTGTTAGGAAATGTTTTGCGCGCTGTCATATATTCATTCAACTTTAATATATATGTTCATTCAAGTAATAAATAGATTCTGGATTCTTTCTTTCTTTCTGTTGCATGGAGTGTCACGCTGAGGGGGGTACTGAATTAAAAGGAATGGAAAGGAAGTAAATGCATGGCTAGGTGTGGGTTGGCGTTTGGCTTTACTGCTGCGTTTGGTCTGGTTCATGGAGATGGGGTATTTGAGTCCTTTGGGGGATTGGTTGATGGGGGGTGGGGGTTCGTTTGAGGAGATGGTTGTGAGTTTTATAGGTATGGTTGAGGACTTGACGTGGGTTCTTTTTTACTTTGTGAAAGCATGCATTTCTCCGTTGAAACTTGACGAGACGTGTTTCTTGCTTTTTCATATAAGTACGTTAGTGCTTAATCGTTGTTTGATCTACGCTTGTAAGAGGCATGTGTGGCTCACTTGAAATATGTGATCATGAACGGGGGGAAGGAAGGGGATGGGGGTATATATTTCTCGTTCCAGGTCATCTCCACTATACTGCCTCTCCACCAGACGGATCTGTTGAGACCCTTGAAGTACTCTTACTAAGTGCTCATGCCTGTTTTACTCTAAAGTGAGTTTCGTGGTGGGAGTAAAGTAGAGTTGAGTCAGTTATGCTCTGTAAGGGCCTAAAAACGGGAGGTGCAAGAAGGGAATGGCACGTGGAGGTTGTTGTCAATGATATTCCTGCTGTCATTTAGCGTGTTGCTGTCATGTCACATTCCTTTTATGTTGACTACTTCGCTTCGCTACCACATTCCCTGTGTACATATTTAGGCTATTATGCCGAGGCGAGAGCGGCTATATATGCTGTTTGGCATTTGGAAAGCTGGTAAACGTAAGAGGCTCATCTCTGAAATCTCTTAAAATATCTGGGTTGGTATAAACACTCGTTGCTGGTAACTTGGTGACTTCTTGATGTGTATCAAATACCTCTAATTAGGCTTGCAAATTATGTTCTAGTAGAATTTCCACACCAACTCACTTTTCAGATAGGCTAGAATTTCAGTCAAGTTCTCGAGGAGACGATCATGCCTAATTTCACATACTACTAGGAGACATTGGACCCAGTAATTGGTTGGAGCGCTAAACCATCAATGTTCAAGACTGCTCGAAATTTGCATATCTGACTGTTCACTGGCCTACTGCTTACCTTAGACACTTGCGTTGTGGATTAATATAGTTGTATCGTGCGTGCATGGACTTGACATCGAGTGACAATGTACTACGAGAAGTGGAGTTCTAGCTTAGGATTTCCCTTGAGCTATAAACTTATTATAATTGGTGTATGTCGAACGCGGAGTAGAAAATTATCTTGCTGTCAGGCAGCTATTTGCTGTCAAGTTATGTCATTGTTGCTATGTCATTGTTGCTGATGTTACATTAGGAGGTGGATTGGATTAAAGGCTGGAATCAACTGGAAGTATTGTACATATGAGGCCGTGGTTTGATTCTCAATCGCTTTAACGGCATCTTAACATTTCCCTGGCATCTCCAGTTTGTTGGTCTCAACCTCGCTCTTGTGGTATTTCCATGAGAGACTGTAGCTTCTAACTTGTTGATAAAATAGCCCTGCTTTCATCCCTCGAAGTCTTAAAGCCCTTCCACATACATCTTGCTGAATGCCTGAATCTAAAAAGCCCAAAAGTCATGGCCATTCTATCTTTGCCCTTACTTTTCCTGCTTTAATTAAACTTCCCTTCCAATTTCGTCGTCGCATATTCTTGATGAAGCGGCGAAGGACTCCATACGGAGACCACATTTAGTGCAAAGACTGTTGTCAAAAACAGACTGCTAGCAGAGGATTCTGAACAGGCATCTACATGACCCACGGCATGCAAGACTGCTTCGGAGTGATGAAACGCTTGGTCTTGATTCCCAATATTTCCTGCGTCCAGGAGGGAAAAACAGATCAGGTATGTGGCGTGCCGAATGGCTGCTAGACATCCGGCAAAAGAATTCGAGGGGTCGTAGCGTGGCAACAGTACGTCAGCTTGCAGTGGAAGTCGAGGCTCTGCATAGTTTTGAATCTGTGTATCCAGATCTAAGATCAAAACGGAGAGGCCGTCCCAGAGATTTTGGAGAGATTCTTGTGAGTCGAAAGTGGAAAGCATATACATCATACTCTGTGTACGTGAGATATACTCTGGAATCAAAAGCACAACATCGACTAGATTGTCGAGTTGCATTTTTGGGTTTGGAAAGGGGATCGTTTTCCAATCATCCCGAGCAAAGATGTGTGGTTTTTGGAGCATGACGGACGAGAATCCCTGCGATGAGCTTTTAGTGTCTTGATCTCAAACTTGCCCTTCAAACAAAAACTTACTATTCCAAGCCTCACGGTGCGAAACAGTTGATGCATAAGCCCCTTTTGACATGCTTCAGGACCTATTGCCTCCAACATCGCAGCAGCAGCATCGAGATGCTGCATCCATGCCAACGGCGTCGTCTTCACCACAAGCTCAAAGTAACACATTAACACTGTGGAACACAGAGCTTCCTCCGGCGTTCGACTCGCATCTGTGTTGCGACATATGTCCTTCCGTCGAGTTTCTAATGCCTTGGTGTAGGTTCTCCGCGCTTCGGTTTGAATCGATATTGAGGCATTGAGACGCCCGTAGAATGCCATGCTTGTTGCACGAATAGCGTAGCGCATTGTTGGGCTTGAATGTGAGGTGAGTATTAATGATGGTAGTTTGGCTAGCCATGAACAGGCGCCTATCATTTCGATTCCGTGGCCGTAGGCGGTGAAGAAATGGGAGAAGAACAGCTGCTCGAATGCTTCGGCGCGGGAGGGTTGGTAGTATGATGGGATGGTGGGGATGAAGACATCATTTCGTACTTTAGTCAGAGCTAAGCTATTCAAGTCTGAAGGTACTGGACTATCTGTTGCAGCATGCTGTATTTCTGTCCGCGGTGCTTCATTGGAAATATCAGGATCAGAAGTAGAATAGCTAGACGGATCTATTGTGCTATTCCAGCTTAGTTGCGATGAAGTAGGCGGGCTGCTCGACGGAAACGTGCGTGCATTTGTGGTAATAATATAAAATGTGTCTGTTATTGGACCTGGACATTTCTTTCCATTTTTCATACATTGCGTACATTCCGGAAGAGCTTCATCGCACTATAGTAAGGCAATGTAAGTATTACAATAAGATAGTACAAGTGGAACGTTAGCCGATCCCAGGAACTACCTACTTTAATACGGCGTTTTCGGCAGATGCCACACCCCCTACTTCGGCCAGCAGTTCGAGCCATTAATACTGACTGAGGTTGATGAGTAATATAGTTCAAGTATTTTTAATATATTTCTAGGGTGTCTTGAGCGTAAGAAATCATGATTTTCATGTGGTCATCTTGCTTATAAATAGAGAAAAGCACGTGCCTTATGCTACCAGAATCACAGAGTATGGAAATAGTGATCTGGGAGTGGCTTCAAAAAAACGGAATTATTAGTACTATAATATCTAGAACACTACTTTGAAGTGCTAACGTCATTCTAGTCCATTTTGATGGTTCCATTTGCAAGTCACGTTCTAATTTCAACCTGGATATTGATGGGATTTGGTGACAAACAATTAAGAACAGAAGAATACTTAACTTGGTAGAAATATCCCCCCCCCCCCCCAGGGGACACTAGAAAGTCTATCACGTAGATTTTAAGAGCGAAATTGACAGGGTTTGACTGATGATATCCTATTATCTTATGAAACTACGAGTAGCAACGAGTAATAGGTTCTATTGATAAACTCACATTTGTGGTAGATTAAATGGAATTTGCTAGCACCTAATATTTGAGAGCTAGATGAGAAGGCAAGAAAATATCTCTAGTGGGAGCTTTGAAAAGCTTTCCCCCCTTCCACACGTGAGTAACATTTTTCGCATCTGCCATAATCTGAATGTCCTCCAGTGGATTTTCAGATAGAGCAATAAAATCCGCATCATATCTCTCTTTAAGCTGACCTGACAGAGGCGCTTGAAGGCCTAATGTCTCGGGAGCATTGGCAGTGGCCGCCTCTATTGCCTGAAGAGGTGAAAGTCCAGCCTCGACAGCATACACTAACTCGCTGCCATTACTCCCATGACTGAGCGGCGTACCACTAACACTGAATCCAATATCAGTTCCAAGAGCAATCTTGACACCTGATTTGACAGCCAGCTTATATGCTTCTTTGTGTTCCTTTGCCACAGCTTGAAGCTTCTTGTAACCACTTTCCGTCCATGAATCTTTCATTTTCAGACCACTCTGTTGGATCGTTCTCGTTGGAACCAGAATTGCGTTTTGCTTAATCATTACCTCGATTGCTTCGGCATCTAGATATGTTCCATGTTCGATTGTTGAACACCCCGCGCGTAATGCTGCCATGATGCCGGCTTTACCATGGCAGTGGGCAGCAACGATTCTTTCCGATCGATGAGCTTCTTCGACCATCGCCTTTAGCTCGGCGTCAGTGAATTGCTGGTGTTTTGGATGGTCAATCTCGCTGGACACTCCGCCACTGGCACATATTTTGATCACCTTGGCTCCCTGGCGGAGCTGCATTCGGACAGCCTTAATACATCCGTCCACACCATCACAAAGTTCGAAGAACAGTCCATTTGCACAAGCATCTTGGTACTCTGCGAGTGGGACGGCATGGCCATCTCCGTGGCCACCAGTTTGGCTGAGAACACTTCCTGCTCCATAAATTGTCGGACCTATAAGTTGTTGGAGTCAGTGAAACACTATTATCGAGCATTATGAGCATAAAATACCCCGAAAAGCTGCTTACCAACAAGATAGCCTTCTTCGATTGCCTTAGTGAGATATATCCCGTAGCCTCCAACTTCTCTAACACTTGTGAATCCAGCATTCAGTACTTCTGCAACATCGCGAGCTGCTCGAGCACCTGCTAAAACTTTTGATTCTCGATATAGAACCTCAGTGATGTAAGAACGACTGCCGAGAAAATGGACGTGGCAATCCCACAGACCCGGCATCAGGATCGGAACATGCGTGGCATTGAGGGATTTGTATGCCTCAGGAATGTCTGATTTTGCTCCAACCCATGTTATGCGGCGATTTTCATAAACAATCGCCCCATTATTGAGGGGTTGTCCGCGGCCGGGAATCAGGAGGTCGGCTGTGATAACTGATGCAGTCATTTTATCGTTCAAAGATGAACCTAATTTCTCAGTTACCTATAGTATAGTCAGCATCATGCTTGTCTGTATTGCGAATGACCTCTACCCGTAAAGACGAAACAAATATGCGTTTGTATGAGAATTTATTGGACCTGGCAGATCAGAGGTTGAAGAGTTCCAAAAGAGTATAATACAAGCAACACGCTTGATGTTCCAGAAGAATTCAAGGTGCATTCAAAGCCCATTCTTATACCTCTATAGTATTTTTCGGCCGTAAAACATCATGGAAGATAACTTCCTGTTTCAAATCAACCCGCATAGCCAAGGACTCCTGGCATGCATATAGTCAGTGGTAACGACAGAGGACCCAGAGAACAAAGTCCAGAAGGCTAGCTTCGCGAGGCACCAACAGCCCTTTGCATCCTCCCCTTTGCATCCTTCCAGCCATACATCCCTAGGTAGGTATCAGTCAGTCACTGGCTTTCAGCCCCCCATAAATCTCGCTTGTGTCACACTAACCGCAATTAGCTAGGTTTGCGAGAAACCTGACTACACAACAGTCTGGTGTTCTTCCTTGGGAACGAGACATTTTGAACTGGAGCTCATTTATAATGGATTGGAAATCAAAAATCAACTGATTTTTAAACTGATCAAAATAGATCCATAGATTGAGGTCACAAATTGAAATTGATCGTCGCAAGTCAATTTGATTGGACGAGGCGGGGTAAGCATGCGTGATTGAAAATGTATAGACAGTTGGTCAGACATCAAGGTTCGAAATCTCAAAATAGCTGAAGAGTATACTATATATTTCTCCCCCAGCTGTCTGGTTTTTTTCTTCTTCAGAAGTGGTCTTCATTCCGCAAAAGTTCTCTCCACTTTGCATTCTCTTATATCTTTTGCTCAAATTAGTTAAGAATCGGGATCACAATATGGTGGAAATCAAACCTACGACTTCGACAGTCCAGATGGATGACGGAGTCAATTTACGTGTGAAGGCTATTGGCGAGAACTCGAAAAGTACCAAACCTCTCCTCATCGCCCTTCACGGTGCACCAGGGTTATCCACTTCTGTAGAACCGGAAGCTACTTTCACATTTCTCTCCGACATCTTTCGAGTTCTGGTATTCGATGCTCGGGGGAGTGGTGGTTCTGATATGACTGGGCCATACAGTCATGATCGCTGGATCAAAGATATTGAAATCCTGAGGTAAATAAACTACCTCTACTGAATTGTCGAGCTGATCTGAGAAATTTAGGAAATGGGCAGGCGCAGAAAAATTCGTCCTTGCTGGCTGGAGCTATGGAGGGTTTATTTCGCTAGACTACGCTGTTTTGCATGCGGATAAACTCCTCGGCTTAATGCTCAGAGATACTTGGGCAAATGGAATACTGGGCCAGATGACGGCTCTAGGGAACATCTTGACCGATGACCGGCTCCACGTCGATGTTGCACGTCAAGTTAGGGTTTGGTCGGGCAATCTTCGAGACGACAAAGATTTCGAGGAAGCGATTCCGGAAATTCTACCAATTTATGCACCACCAGAAGATCCTTCCCTCAAAGGACCAGTCAAAGATAATGACGAGCTGAAGGGATTTGAAGGAATGGACGAGCGTGCGGCTTATAACTCAGCTACACAGAATGCGGCTTTCAGTATAAATGTGCCATGCTTTGATGTTCGCCAGAAACTCAAGGATATCAAGGTAGAAAAATCCACAAACTCTCCGCTTTAGCATCAGATTAAATCTAACTCAAACCTTAGACTCCTACTCTCGTTGTTGTTGGGCGTCATGACCGTATCACTCCAGTTGAGTTCAGCCAAGAAATAGCAAACGGCATTCCAGGATCAAGGTTGGAGATTTTCGAGCACTCCGGACATAATCCAGCATCTGATGAGACAGAAAAGTTCAGACAAGTTACGCTAGACTTTTTGAGAACAGTTATATAGACTGTGGATCCGAGATATATATTACTGTAACAAAGTCCATGGTGCTTTTAGGAAGCAGTCGTCCAAATTGTCACTTGAAGATTTCTTAAAATAACAATTACAAATGAATCTTATTGAAAAGTATGTGAATCTTAAACAAAGGAACCATCCTTCTAGGTGATAGAATCTAATATAGGAGCAATACTCAAGATAGGACACGTGAAAGATATGGCTTGGACGCTGTTATGTCGCTCGGAGCTGCAGAATGAAACTTAAGAACAATAGCCTGAATATACCGAGCAATACATATTATAGTCTCATGGGATTACTAGAGCTGATTCCCAAAGGATGTAACGATGTCATCCAGCACGTGATAATTGCTCTACCAAAGTCTATAACGTGTAGTAGTCGAGCGAGCAGCTATCCTACTGAGAATTATATAAAGACATTGTAGAACCAGTTTAAGTAAGGTTTGAAAGATATTAGAACTTGAACTATTTTTATCCAGTGGGATATTCAACAGCTCCTTAGTTCTGCACTCGCAATTGCCCGGAATCAGCTATACGGCAGTCAGAACCTAAATATGCCACCCAAAAAGTCTCAACAGAAGTCTCGGACGGCTAAAGAAGAGGATCGAGACTGCAAAAAAGAAGACACACAACAGCGTCATAAGACTAGTGACAAGGAAGAATTAGATCACAAATCTGAAGCAAAGCGAAAGTCCCCACTCAGTACTGGGGACGTGGAGCCTTCGAGCAAAGCACTGAAAACTGAAAACTCATCACATGAGAACTCCTTTCTTCGCCACCTGCTATCTCCCAAAGCGCTTTCGCTTTGCCAGAAGGAAGAGCAGGACTCATCTGATTCAAGCGTGAAGAATTATCTCTCCGCTGACCTTACTCCATTTCAACACCTGATGCGCGCCATCCTGAGCAGACTAATTAGTCAAAATTTAGGTCTTCGTACCATCAAAACCGTGCTGAACGAGCCATGGAATTGGACCAACGCCGGAACGGTTCTGGAAGCGGGAAAAGAGAATGAAGAAGGGAAGACCGAACGCGTGGAAGCCATGGAACAGGCGCAGACACAGCATCGACAGAAGCTGCCTCGGAAATGGGAGGAATGGCTCAAGTTGTAAAAGATGAGGGATGAGATGAAGACGCTGATGGGGGTTGCTAGATGTTGTCAGAGGAGAGACAATGCAAGAACAAATTAGACGTGTTTTGAAGAAGAAGATCAAGGGTATTGGTGATACGGCAGTCGATATTTTCCTGCGGAGAGTACAGGGGTGTCAAGGATGGGAAGACATCGGTTGGTTTGTGGATGGGAAGACAGAAGAAGCATTGCAAGATCGGGCTTCCTGTCGACAGCGAAGCACTCCGGACATTTCTAGAAAACGAGGGAGAAAAAGACACCAGACGCAGCTTCGTGGTAGTTTTAGAGAGAGCGCTTGGTATCTTTCTTGAAGGGAAACAGGAAGAGGTGGTAAAACTTACATGACTTTGTTCAAATATCTTGAGCTATTACTGTCTAGCAAGACAAATTGATCCATTCATTTCCTCTTGAAAGACCTTAAGCATCATTCTTTAAACCCAGTGCTTTTGTGAAGTCACATCCAAGTGCAACTCAGCCCCACTGCATTCCTTTTGGACTAATCTCTTGACAACAATTGGCCATCCAACCTGCTGAGCTTGCATCCTATCTCCAATATAAAATGTCGTAAAACACAATTCCAGATGTTCCAGCTGTGCCTGTAGATTCTGGGAATATATCTGTCGAAACAGGCTAGTGGCGGCAATCTTGCCTGTTTCCTCTAAGAGAGGTGGTGGCAGGACACTTCCATGCAAACCATCATATCTGTACTCCTCTGAGAAGGTACTGGCAGTAAGTGGTAGCTCAATCCAGACCTTTAGCTTCTTAATTTGGGAGAAGCTTGTAAAGAGAGCGCCTGATGAAGGATGAAAAGTTATGGCTTGGAGTTGGTCAGTGACGGGCTGAACGCTGAGCCTCTGGTCATTCTAGCGTGAGAGTTAGTCAAAATTTCAATCTGGGTGTGAGCTAGTCACAGTTGAGTCTCACCCATGTTGCATCCTCCCATCTCAGATCTAGCTCTAGATGTAAGAGCTTGAGGTTGCAAAGCTGTTCTAGCTGATCTGGTCGCCAATATGGAGTCTGGGTTCGGAACTGCGAATCCATAGGAGTGTGGAACATTAGCGTCTTAAGCGAAGCTCGATGCTTAATTATAGCTGCGCAGAGAATTTCAAGATGGATCTCTGTTTTGTAGTTCGTGATTCGAAGTTCTTCAAGTCGATTGATAGATGATATGAAGTCTGCAACTGCAACCTCGGAATGCTGGAGGGCGATATCCAATCGCTTCAGATTCGGAACACTTCCTCGTAAATGCCGAGAGGAAAAGTTTGGGTCCAAGCCTGTCAGCTTAAGTTGTCGGATATGGTTCCATTTAGCGGCAAGATTAAGAAGAGAGCACGTTAGTAGTGGTATTGCTTCAGGGGCAATTGTCGTCCATGGCCACCGAACTGGTATCGTGAGGCTCTCGAGTTGTGGGAATTGGTAGCCTGAAACAAGAGGCGAGGGGATATCTGCTTCTAATAATGGCCCAAATCCACCCCCTTCAGAGGCCCTCTTTTCTGAACCTGCTTGGTTGATGCTCAGATCAAGAATCCTCAGGTTTGGGCTATTAGAAACTACGGCGTGCAGGCTCGGTATTTCAGATGAAATTGTGTCTCTAAAGGCCATGCCCGGATGATCCTTTGAGTAGATCCAGCGCAGCTGGTATTTCAGAGAATGCAGAATCGGAGAGGGGCGAAGTTGGTTGGCAACCACAACCGGTTCGTGTCCCATTGGGCGATACGGCATTCTGCGTACCACATTGTCTACTTCAAGTCTGATGTTGGGACAATTTAGATACAGTTTGAGTAGTAGGTTTTCCGGAATGAAGTTATAATTCACAGCTATCCAGCTACAAACCATCAGTCTTTCTCGGGATATAATCGTTTATTAAGTTCCAAGCACGAATTGGAGGATCAACTTACTTGACTGTACTGAGTCGCTTGACATTTTTGATGACCTCTAGCAACTGCGACTCATCAAACTTCACAGACTCCAAACCGAAGTCTGAGACCGTAATGGCCCGCACATATTGATGGATTTCATGATCCTTGTCGAGCAGTCGACTTAAGAGTTGCTCCAGATGCTGACAGTCTTTAAATCCAATGGTATGATAAATAAGTGTATTTGCGGCTCTATTACAAGCTCTAGAGACTCGAGCTAATTCAAATATTGATGAGGGAGATTGAGCTTGTAGTTCAGTGGCGACTAGATGAAGTATGTCGTCGTCGAGAACAAGTTGGGTATGTTGGTGCGCCATGTCGCGATTATGCCGAGTAGGTGATTTAGAAAGGAATTCGGCCCTTGAGTTATTTCGTAATATAAGTGATAGCATTTGTACTGAAACGATGGTTACGGCGTTGTAATAAGGCTTGGATATCATTCTCAAGCGTGGCAATGAATTCGCTTAAGGTCCAAAAAGGGGCTGTGCTGTAGGTACCACCAGAGCCTTGGGGTTGACCTAGCATAGCCTTGTGTCATGCAGAGTGGAGCACCACGGGTATTCCAGACTTACCGGTACACAAATGTTCTAGATAGTCGGGTAATATGATATAAATCATGCGCGTTATCCGCTGGAACTTATGATGGCTGAAGGATTGCGAACCGTTCTTATTACTGGTTGCTCCAGTGGTGGCATTAGATAACCTCTTGCGCAGGCGCCTGCCTAACGAGGCCACCATGTCTTTGCAACAGCCCGGAACATGTCCAAGGTACCGACGGAGCTCTCATCTCTAGCTTAACAACGTAAAGGTCCTACCTGTTGATGTTAAATTTTGCTAACATGTTTTAGTGAGACTTAGGCGCATATCCCTTCTACAAGGCGGCTTTGACCAGAATTTCGTAGACAATGCTCCTTGAACTGACCCCATTACGTAGCAGCGTCTTGATATTCATGCTAGCAGTCGTCGAAACATCCTTCGGCCGTATGCATAATGTGGGCTCCCGTGACCTGCCAACCAATTCTCGGTACATGGCATTCAAGGAGGTCATCTCCCATCTCCCATCTCCCATCCCCCATCGAGTAAACTCAGTTCGGGAGGATCTTAACGCCGTGGAGCTCGCCGAATCTCTTGTGGAAGATGTGGGAAAGGAGAATGGCGAGATGGTGTGGAGAGGCTCTGGGGCAGGAGCTGTATGGTTTCTGTCCCAGTGGCTGCCAGCATTCATTTTCGTATGTATACCAGCTTGTACACCTATCATATACATTCCCATCTTCAATACCCGTCATTAGCGTCGAATTTCTTTTGGAATAAGGGCCGAGGGCTGAACGAGCTTTCAAAAACCCTGGAGTAGGCAACTGGCCAGCGGCCGATGACTTTAGACATTTGAAGATGTTAATTGTATTGCACGGAGAGCTAGACAGTACAAGTTTAGCTTGTGTTGTCGATATTCGCGTTGCCTTGATAGTACAGACAGGCTTTCAAGTCAATTACCGCTCTGGAAAAGGATATGAGATAGTTTTGCGGGATCGGGAAGAGGCGACATGTGTGATAGGCTCGAACAAACACCTCCGAATTCTAATCGATATTTAGCTGCTTACGTGGATTGAAATTCCGCCTCAAATTCTTGGTGGAGTATATCTTCCAAAAGTTACTTTCCAGTGGGATACAAGCTTTGTAAACGATCATCACCAATTATTCTGCCTCCAGTTGTTGAACCCATTCCAGGGATTGAAGCCACCAAACATCCCGTTTCCTCCATACCCTCCATAACCCCCCTGACCCCCCTGACCCCCATATCCTCCATAGCCCGCTCCGTATCCTCCATCCATCATAGGTTGCTGTATAGGGAGTACCATAGGGCCTGGATTCCCTCTGTCAATGAATACTGGGACCTCATACGCAGTTCGACAGACGGTAGAAACTACAAGTCCAATAGCAAAAGAGAAAACAACAACAATGAGCCACTGCAAAGCGGTTAAGCTCGTCCCGCTACGAATGTCGATACCTCCATCGTGCTCACCAGAAAAATATTGGAGCCCATTGGCCACTTGAGTTATTGATATAGCAGAAGCCATGTTGAGTGCTACACTGGTCCACATTGAACCTCCAGCCATTATTGCAATCAATTTTCGGTTCTGGGCGGGTACGGGATCCGGATTGGTAGGATCACTATTGTTAAGCTCGAGAATACATATGGCGAATACGCCTAGTGAAACGGCGAAGAAGGGTCCAGCGAAGGCGATGAGGTAGAAGAATATCTTGCTCTGGATAATTGTGGCAAAGTCGAAAAAATAGATTGCATTCAGGTCGTCGGTGTGGATCAACCAGTTTGTGATTGTGTCCCCGCTTCGACCGTTTGATGGAGAGCAGGTTACCATGGTGTTGGAGTAGTAAGCACACATGCCTATGTTCTATTGGTGTCAGAGCTTGATGTTTTAGGAGGTGAATTTGCACGGTACCGACCGAAATATCCAACATGAACCGTGAGGTCTGCTGTAGGTCCTGTTGTAGCATTCGTGTTCGAAATGGAGACTAGATACAAGCCTGGAAGCCCTGGAGATGCAGACACGCATCCTGCATAGACCAAAACTGATTCAGTATTAATAGCTGTTCTCCAAGTAGCTTCAGGTTGTAGCTGACCGTAGAAGAGGATGACTGGCACAGCCAACGCGTATATCAAGAAGCCCTCGCCTAACCGCTTCATTCGTTGACCTTAGAGCTGTCAGAATTATTCCAAGCAGTTCTTTTTGGAAGAAATTCATACCGAAGCCATATATCCTTTCCATCATATTCATGCCCATGAAGCCTTGCCTCCAATTCCCGTTCATGGTTTCGTCTTGTGCCGGGTCTTGCTGTGGCTCTAGAAGATAATTGAAAAAAATCAAAGCGGCGGTAGAGATGTGGGAATGCGCTGACTTGACCTGAAATGCTCCAAAGAAATACCTTTGTTTTAGGAACAGCGCGCAAGAGGGCAGGAAAGAATGTGCAGGCGGCATTGAATGAATAACAGCAAAAGAAGCACAAGGTATTAGTGAATTGAGGCAAGAAGGAAATGATCGAACCTGCCTACATGAGACTTATGCATATTTCGCCTTCAAAATAACTTCTGGAGACCTTACCAGCGAAGTGTAATCCAGATGTTAGAATCATTCCTTGTAGAGCCCTCTAAGTCCTGTTGATAGACATGTTCGATCCTGTGGAGATTGTCCTCAGATGCAGAAGCTATCATCTAGTATATGATACACCGGCCTGCCTAGCCGTTATCAAAGACAAGAGCGGAGCTTTAACATGCAATGCGTGTGGTATTAGATTCGTACTTTGGTAGCTCATGTTGGAGCGATTGGATAAATAACAAGCTTGAGCTCAATTGAGGAAACGGTGAGGATGTTATATTTTACAAGAGAAGACGAGACCAAAAGAACTATTGGTTGAAGTTACGTGGCAGGATGTAACTGTTACGCTAAAGTGTAATTTAGGGGAGAGACCAAGTTGGATGGAAGTAGCCTAGATGGAAGAGAAGAGGTTTGAAATAAATTACCATGGAGTCACGGGACTAATATCTGCCTAAGGTATCAGGCATGCATACAGGCGTCAAACGGCCCGGCCCCGGCAATGAACGCGAGCGACTGTTTTGTTCTGACCTCCTAGCGGCACCCCTCATCAACTTACCTATTGATTTATCAACTTCTTAACATCTCTCGTCCGGCCGACTCCCACGCGTTTTCCACTTCCCACGATAATCTCAGTATCCAAATATTGAACACGATAACCGCCGCTCTCTTTCGCTCTGAGAAACGCGCTTTCCATCGACGCGCGCGTTGAGGATGGCGCCAAATGGAACTGCTGCGCTGCCAAAGCGCAAACCAACGGAGAATCAATTCCTATTCGACTTAGGAAAGCGAGGAAGGTGGGTAGATCTCTCGTGATATGGGGACTTTTTTAACATCTCTGTAGAAAGACTGGTCTTACGCTGCCCGATAAAGGAATTCGAGACGAGAATGGATTCGAGCCTATAGATGACCTATTCTCTTCGCCCGCAAAACCTTCCAATGGCAGACCAAACAAAATGAACGGTGTACAGAAGAACGCCAATAGGACTATCTCAAGCGAGGAGGATATGGACGTTGGCGAGAGTATGTTCGCGAACCTGCAGCAGTAAATAGAACTTGCTAACTGCTTTCATAGGTACGATACCAGAACCTGATGAAGTCCTCGAAAAGCGAGCAAGTATTCGACTCCCGCCACCGCGATCCAAATCACCAATCAAGACATTTCTACAATCTCCTGCCCGAAGAAACCCATCCATCGCCCCTGTTTCATCACCAACACGAGGCACCATCGTCGCACCAAGGTCGGCCTCAGTATCTGCATCTGTGCGGCGAAAGCTGGATTTCTCAAATGCCACTGATGAGAACTCCGTGGAAACTGCTAGCGCGACAAAGAAACGAGCAGCCTCAGCCCTCCCTCTTGTGGGCAAACTAACCAACGGCAATCATCTCCAAAGCCTCAAGCAACCGCGCTCTTCGGACGATAGCGTAGAAGAACTCGATACGGCTGTAGACTATGGCACTGCAGATAACGGCGAAGATTCATTTCAATTGGTCAACAATGATGGTGAGGACGACTTTCAAATGGTTGAAGCTGAGGATGATGCGGAACCCGAACCACGAGATGCAGAGCCAGACGAGGATGACGAGTCTGAGATATCCGATATTCAGCCAGTAAAAAAAGGAAAGCGGAAATCACCAATTCTTGACGAGCCAGTAAACCCTGCGAAGAAGAGTCGAGGCGCACGACCAAAAAAGGCCAATCCGGCCCCTGTTGAAGAAGAGGAAGAAGAGCCAGAGGAAGCCCAAGAAGAGCAAGAACCGGAACGGCCAGCCAAAAGAGCCCGACGTTCTCTCGACAAAGCCCCAGAAGCTCCCAAAACTAAGGGTAGAACGAAAAAGACTGCTCAAGCTGCGGGACCTGCCCCGGAAAAGCCATCTAAGAAGGCAGCTGGAAAGTCTCGGCAGAGTGGTGAAGCTTCGAATGCCTCAAAAACAAAGGCCAAGGCCCCGAAATCAGCATTAGCCACTATATCAGAAGACTCCCCCGCAGTCAAGCGCGGTCCTCCCTTGCCTAGAAACAACCGCGGACTCATCATACTACGCCGGGAAACTCCAGCTCTAAGCACCGGATTCAACATGACTCGCTCTGGCCGAAATTCCATAAAGCCTCTCGCGTTCTGGAGGAACGAGAGAGTCGAATATGCCACGGAGTCTCAAGACGAAATCGAAGACAGTTATGGTAAATTCTTGCTACCTAGAATCAAGGAAGTACTCCGCACAGACGAGGTTGATGAACGAAAGCCTCACCGGCCGAAGAGCAAGGCGAAGCCATCTAAAAGCAAGAAGCGTGCAGAGCCAGAGCCAGAAAAGGAGGAGGAAGTTGAGCCTTGGGAGGCGGCACCTGGTCGCATTGAAGGCGTCGTTAGGGCATGGGACCCGGAAGATCCAACAGGTCAGGATACCGAAGACCAAGAACAAGAGATTGCTTTGTCTTCAGCTGCAATCATTACCCAAGTCGTAAAAGACGGGTCTTTCAAATTTGCCAAAACACTCACGCTACCTTTCTTTGGCTCTGGAATACTTGATTTTAGGCCAGGCGACAAGAAGAAGTCTAAGTGTTCGAGGAAGATGCAGATGGTGTTCTTTGTGCATTATGGACGCGTGCAGGTCACGGTTAATGAGGAAAACGTTTTTAGGATTGGAAAGGGAGGCATGTTTCAGGTCCCGAGAGGTATGTTGTATAGTGTCTGCTTGGATTCTACAAGGCTAATCTCAAGTAGGAAACTTTTACACCATCGAAAATGACTATGAGCAGCCGGCTAGGATCTTCTTTAGTCAAGGCTGCGAGGTTGAAGTGGAAGAAGAAGTGCTGCAGGAATGAGTGGACGGTTATGAGTTGGTGTATAATTTGGCGGCGTTTGACGTACACGGAACTCGTGGGGCGCCGGGGTATCTTCATAGGGCGTTTGGTTTATGAGCTTATGACCTGGGTTTCTGCTTGCTTTCGAATACATGTGATGCATGCGATAGAAATCGCTGTAATGGATATTGGTTCGAATCATCACGCTTTGACTTCCTGTTTGTGAAACTTGCATCTAAATTTTTGGGAAGTAATCAAGTAACAGTACAAGACTAGAACGAATTTACATTCTCCCACATGGTCCAAGGATCGTTGGGGTTCTTTCCAATCCAAAGTCTCACCTATATTTGAAGTCCACGAGTATCTCACTGTGTAAAGCTTTCCTGTGGTCTCGTCCTGACTCTCCCAACAATGTATGCAAGGCAATTCAATGCTTTGGTCGTCCGGGGAAGTATGCTAGTGCATGGTATGTCTCTCCCTCGAAAGGGCCGCTCACTACAGACAAATCCACTATTATCCCCACTCTTCACTCCTCACTCTCCATCCCCAGCTGCTTCTTCATCCACGTACCCCATCCATCTTTTTCCCCAACCGCCTTCCTCTCCCTGAACGCCACCTCAGCCGGCAACCGGAAACTAGCACAAAACATCCTCTTCTTCGGTGCCACATCCCGCACCTCATGCACGCTCATCTCCTGCTCGCCCGGCCTAATCTCGAACCCCAACGCCTCGCTCACGCGTTCGCAAATCTCCGCCGTCTCGCGCACGTTGTCGTCGCTTTTCGTCGAGAAGCAGTGTACGTGGATCATGGGCAGTTTGGTCGCGGTGTGGGGGTAAAAAAGGGAGTCGTGGCTATTGTAAAGGCCATTGAAGGAGGGGAGGAAGGAGATAGCGATGGCGGGGAGGTTCATTACGAAGTGAGAGATTGTGGTGGGGATGGTGAGGGTTTTGGTGGTGGGAGCGGGGGTGGTAGGAGGGGGGTGCCTGCGGGAGCGCTTGGGTGCGCGGAGGGGACGGGTTATGGTGTTTTGGGAGGTGGCGGTTAGGTTTAAGAGGTGATCGGCTGCGTGCTGGATGAATGTGTGGCCGTCTTCGTTGAAGGGTTGGACGATTTCGGAGACCTGTGAGTGAGCGCGGGTGTTAGCTGGGGGTGTATATGTGAGAATTGTATTAGGGGAAATGAGGAAGGAATATATCAGATATAGTGCCTGGTCAGAGGCAATTCTGACAAGGTCTTAATGGACATGAACTGACCTTATTTCGAACGATACCCTCCTTCAAGTATTTGTAAGATTCCGGGTTCAAATCATTAGCCAAAACGAAGACTTCTTTCTTTCCGGCTGGTAGAGCAAAAGGACCAATGCCAGCCATAACATCACAAACGACTTCGCCCGGAGTGAACATATCCACAATTCGCTTATGCTCTGTCTGAAGACGGCTATTCCAGTATACCTTGGAGTAGTCGAATTTAAAGACACATTCTCCCTCGCCCACTTCGACGTTCATGTCATCTAGGCCGAATAGGACTTCGTATGCAAAGGTCCTGAACTCGGATTCAGTGCCCACATTATTAGTCTTGTTAATGACTGTTCGAATAGTTGGGTTTTTATCTACGATAACCTCCGCAATAATCTTCTTATAAGGGAGATATTCGTCTCTGAGATTTAAATGTGCTGGAGGAAGTTAATCTTGGGATTACCAGTCAACTTGGTCTTGGTGTGGTTACGTACCGACATGCCCAACCATTGTAAATCCAGTGGGGATTTCTGCCTGTGCATCTTCCGGTAATAATGAAGTCATTATATCCACTACTTCTGTCAGAACAGCGTCCTTGAAATAGGAGATTCTGGACGTACGTACGGTATTGCCAATAATTATAATCCAGCACTAGATCGTAAGGTATAACTTTAATTTCATCATTTTCCGACGCCTCTCGTAAGACCTTGCTCCACGTATTCGAGTCATATGGCTTGACGTCGGGGTTCAACAGCAAGCATTTCCCACCCTTTGACGCCAGCGCTGGATCTGGATCTATTTCCACAGGCTTTCGTCTTTCCAGATTGAGGACTTCATGGCTTTTGTTAAGCTGGACTTGAATTCGCGGTATGTTTTTAGGACTTAACACTCTTGCGGCAGCAATAGGAAAGGTCTTTGAGAAGAGAGAACGGTCGAGGGCTGCGGTGGCAGACCGAACGATTGGAGGTCGAAAGAGGGACATGGCGTCGGATTTAGCTAATAAAGTTGTATCCTGCAAAGCTGTTATTGATAGTTATTCCATGGATATTGCAAGTCTTACCTCCATTGCTGCATATTGTTGTCTTTTAATGAATACTTCTATTTGGTCGAGTCACTAATTTCATTCGGCGATTTTGAAGACAAGGCTGAGATTAAAAGCACGCTAGATCGCCAGGCTTTTCCTGATTAGGATTAGGGCCCACCAACGAGGACGAGGCTGCGATGGTGAAGTCATTAGTTGCCGTAGGTCCTTTTCTCGAACAACAAATTAACAATGGCAGAGTCTACAAAAAAGAGAACTCTGGACGCGTTTTTCAAACCTCCTCCCAAGAAGGCACGTGTATCTGACACTAATAACCTCGACATTGGTGGTAATTCAACAATAGACAAGGATGAAGTGAGCGTCAACATCTCTTTACAGTAAAGTCTATACACGCTGATTATCCTGCAGAAAGTCGAGTCCTCTCATCATCCAACATATCCTCATCCTATACAATGTTTCCTAAAGTCTATCGAAACAGAACTGAAGTCTCTCCCTTCGACAATCGGTCGAGTCATCAATGATCAAGCGGATCTTGACCTGCTTTATTTCGAACCATATATTCCAAAATATCTAGAACGCGAGGTCTTCCAATTCCTCCGAAAAGAATTGTTCTTCTATAGAGTCGAGTACAAAATCAAACGTGGTGGTATTGAGACTGATATTCGAACACCGAGGTATGCATACGTGAGTCCACAATCGAATGATACTAAGCTCCAACCAGATACACCACGGTCTTTGGCATTGATGACACCTCCCAATTTAATGAAACTGGAGAAGTAGTCGATGCCAGCACAAAGAGGAAAGTAGAAAAGGACAAGAACTACTCCAAGTATCCACCTCGGCCAATACCAAAATGTCTCGACGACCTGCGGATATCTACAGAAGCGGCCACAGGATGCAAATTCAATTTTTGTTTGGTTAATTACTATGCCTCCGGGTCGGACAGCATCTCGTACCACAGTGACGATGAGAGATTTCTTGGAAGCCTACCTGCCATCGCCTCATTCTCGCTCGGTGCAAAGAGAGACTTTCTCATGAAGCACAAACCAGTTGCACCAAATGACAACGTACCACCACCAGAGACAAAACCAATCAAGCTACCTCTTGCAAGCGGAGACATGATTTTGATGAGAGGACGAACTCAAGCCAATTGGCTTCATTCAATCCCTAAACGAACAGGCAAGAACGCGGAAGACGGAGGAAGAATCAACATTACCTTTAGGCGCGCAATGATCAAGGGCGGAACAGAGAATTACTACAATTACAACGTAGGCTCTGGGCCGGTTTATAAATGGGACGAAACTCGTCGCGAGATGAGGTTGTGGAAATCATGACCTCTTGTAATAATATATACACGTTTCCTTGGGGAATTACCTCCCATACCGCATCTGTGCATTCGCAAAATTGTACAACGCCCGCAAGAACACCTGATACCCAACTCCTTGGTTATCTTGCACGTGATAGATTTCTGTGAGTCGGACTTGCCAGGGCGGATAGCCTGAGAGCTCGACGGATGGGCTGAAAAGTATTAGAAGTTCGGGCTCGCCCATTACGCTTTCCGAGAGTTCAGCGTCGATTAGGTCGGGGCTGATGTCTTTGGAGGAGAGCTTGGACCTTTGTGACATTTCAGCGAGGGTTTTGGTCAAATCAACCAATGAGTCTCGGCCATCCTCTGAGGAAAGAAGGAGGATAGATAGGGTTTTGGACGAGGCTCCGGGGGCATCGCTCGTAGGAGGGCTCGAGGGAGATTCCATAGACGGTACGTGAGGAGCTCGCAATGATAATGCTGGGTGTTGGGGTCCGAAGTATGAAGAGAGTTTTCGTGCTATGGCCCTATGTGTTGCTGGAAGGTATCCTTTGAGTATTCCTTCCCAAAGTTAGCACGAATCCTTGATATAGAGCCTGAATATAACATACCAGATTGCTCGTATACCGACAGCATAGGAATGCCCACACAAGCACACCAAGCCGCAATCTCCGCAACTTCATCCACCAGCGCCTCTAGCCCAGCGCCTCCCCTTCCCCCATCTTCAAGCTTCAATATTACACTCAAATGCTGTGGTAACCTGCTCAGGCCTTTGACATCCTTCTGTATAAGCTCCGGCGTCCTGTGGTGATAATACAGAATAGCGAATATCCTATCCTTTACCGCATGATAGGCCTGTCGAAACCGTATATAAACTGAGAAAACCGCATGCACAATAACGTAAAGGAGGACATGTAATTGGGTTTTGAGGAACTTTCGGACACCGAGTCTCGAACTTTTGGGTTGGTCTATACGGATACTCGGGATTCCATCTTTTCTGCCGCGTTTAGAAGCAGATCTAGTAGGTGGGGTCGGTAGATATGGCTGTGGTTTCTTTTGTCAGGATTTGTATAGAAGTGGTGAAGGGCTTGCGTACCTCAAGAAGTCGTTCTCGTTCAGCTGGGGTTAGCAGATTGTGGTCGACTTTTGCATCACGCCTGTAAATATCCCTTTCTCGACTTGCGACGGACATTATATGGATGCGCTCCCACCAAAGCAGCTATGGTTCTCGAATTGGAGGGCGAAGACTTGTGTGGGTGGTGTGACGTTCTTGGTGGTGTCAAATATCGAGAAATTGTCGGAAGGCTGAATCAACGAGGGCCACGAAGCGTCCGCGGCTGAGCACCTGCATTTCGTTTCAAGCGACTTGTCTGCACATGGGAAGTTCCACCAAACTTCACAACGTCACACATGAATATAGTAAATATGCGCATGGTAAAGCAATTATTCGATTCTGAATAATAAAATACTACGGATCATCGCAGGTCTCGATGTAGCACGGCGGCTTTGCCAGGTCTCTCGAGTCATCAATGTCTTCCTTGAACAGCGGAGCTGGAGGCAGCGCCAGGACGTTATTTCCCAAGGGACCAAGCTTCACGCTCGAGAACTTCTCGAATAAGGACTTCATAGTTAGGGACTTTATCGAAGACCTTTCTGAAAGTGCTGTACCAGCAAATCGACGTTCTGGGCCGGCGCAGCAAGCTTTCGATCCCAAACCTCTTATCAGAACCTTTGAAAGTATGCGCCCCACCTCTTCATGTCTTTCTATTTCAGTTAACATCAGACAGATGCTTTGTCACAGCTGGGATCACTTTCCGAGGAATTGGGGGAGAAAGAAACAGACCTCCTGACATCCGTACGGCGCGCTGAGATCCAGCATGACCAAACACTCGATACATTAGGGAGGAAGCTGGACGAGACAATAGACTCCTTCCAAGATCTTGACCTTCAAATCAACCAACCGAATGGAGCGAACGGAAGCGACCGACATGGCCGGCCAGACGCCGGAGGGCTAGTTGCTGTCCAGATCGGAGAAAGACTGGAGGAGTTAGACAAGCAACGAAGACGAGCGCAGGACGCCAACTTCCTAATACAATGCTGGTCCGAAGTCAGTGAGGCTGGCGAGCTTACGTCGCTGGAGGAGATGATACGGCGACAGGGAAGTGGGGATAACAAAGTACGATGTGCTATCATTGCTAGGCAACTTATGAAGATGAGCCAGAGACTGGACCCGAATTCATGGGCCCAGGCGAATGGCTTGAAGAAGACGAATGGCTTGAAGAAGACGAATGGTGTCACAAATGGGGTTATTGGGTATAGAGGGCACAATACGAGGGAGCTCATAGAAAAGTTCTCGGAAACTCTGGAGAAGGACTTGTTGAAGCAATTTGATGAAAGCTATCGAAGGCAGAACTTCGATGATATGCTGGAATGCGCCAAGGTCCTGCATGATTTCAATGGGGGTTCGAGTGTTGTTGCGTTGTTCGTCAACCAACATCAGTTTTTCATTGATCGAAACCAGTTGATTACTGAGGAGGTAACGACCGACAACGAAACGTGGGAACGATTGGCAGACCCGGATTCGGATCCCCCTGGGGTTGAACCCAGTCTCCAATCGCTAGTAGATGAAATCCGAGTGGTCATGCAAGATGAATCGTTCATTATTAGGCGGGCATTCCCCTACTATGAGCTTGTTTTGATCAAGTTCATCCAGAGAATTTTTCAGCAGTCTATACAACAGCGGTTGGAACTAGTATTGGAAAAAGCCGATACCATATCATCGCTAGCTTTCCTGCGGTCAATGCACGCCGCCAGGAGCTATATCAACAACCTGGTTGAAGATTTGAAAGCTCATGGCTTGACAGAGCATCCAGAAGCTTGCTCGGCTCAGACCGCCTTGAGTTTAGATCAACAGTTAGACGAGCTGTTTGTTCCGTACCTAGTTGGGAATGCGTACATAGAAAGAGAAAGGAAGAGCTTGGAAGAATTATACTCTTCATTGCTTTTCAAATTCACGATTTACCATTCGCGGCGGAAGAAGGTTCCAACTGGGTTTATGGCATCACTCACACAACAAGGTACCCAGCTACTGTCGTCAGCAAAGGATGCATACATCAATCGTTTAGATTCCTCGGAACTTACGCCAACACAGAAAGCCATGATGTTACGAGTTGCCGGTCTCAGAGACCAAGACGATAATGCGAAGAATGAGATTGAGGTCACAGACGAGGACGGTATTCTCAGTATTCCAAATGCTAAGCGGATGCTCAAGTGGTTGGCCGAAGGTGTGCGACGAGCACTTGAGCTAGGCAGTGGCAGCGATACTCCAAAGGACGTCTCAGCTCTTCTCAATCTCCTTTTGACGAGCATGGGACAGGTATACGTCGAGACTGCTTTGGATGCAGCGGCAGACCTTGCGCTATCTCAAGAGACAATAAAGACGGAACCAAATCTGCAATATCTCCCTTCACTACAACCCGCCATCACGATTACGAATATCATGTCACGTTTTATCAATACCGTTCTCATCAAGCTTGCGGAATCAAATACCACCGTGCGGCGCAACATGGAGTCGCAAACCAAATCAGGAGTGCAAAGGATCGAAGCGAAAACGAACGACATTATTCGAAGCACTATTACAGTCATCGTCAACTGGGTTACTAAATTATTGGCTACCCAAAAGAAGGTCGACTTCCGTCCAAAAGACAGTGATCTGCTAGATGGCTCATATCTTGAATCAATGCAGACAACGACCTGCCTCACAATCTGCACATTCCTCAACAAAACAGCAGGACTCGCTGCTCAAGCAATCGATGGTCAGAATTTGGAAACATTCAGCGGCGAGCTTTCATTCAGGATACGAGATCTCTTATTCGAGCATTTCAAGAAATTCCAGGTCAACGCTACTGGTGGATTGATGGTTACGAAAGATCTCTCCAAATACGTCTCAACACTAAAGGACTGGCCATTGACGAAAGAAGCTGAGGCAAGTGTGGAGGTACTTGGTGAAATTGGCAATTTGTTCATCATTGGACCTGAAGCTCTCCGCGAGAGGTCAAGGAACTTCCAGCCGGGTGGCGCGGGCAAGAAGCTGCAAAAGTCGGACTTTAGAGCGTTTGTGGTGAAGAGAGATGATGCTAGCAGTGTGGGCATTCAGAGCGTGCTGGCTGGACTGTGATTTAAGCTATAAGAATTTGGGTATTCGGCGTATGGAGTGGAAAACAGCTGGGCCTCCAGGGGTGGCAAAATGTATAAGTAGGAAATCAGCATTTTCAAGCCAATTATCAAATCCCACACGAGAACAACGGTGTTCAAAAATCCATCAGAGTGGTGATTTTCCCCTTCGTTCCTATACTTTCTATATGTTTCGTCATAATTGTACACAAATGTATATCCCAAACTCCTGTGATGCAATGAATGCCCTTCCGCTCCATGCCAAAATATTACAAGCTTGTCACTTCTCCCACACTCTTCTAAGGCAAGTTGAATCCAAAGCCCGCCATGCAACTCTTGTATTTATCGATCGTACTCGCGCAGTCCTTCTGGGGGTCCTTTGCGTTGCTGAATAGCATGCATTCGTCGCGGCTGGCTTTCTCGTCTGTGCATACGCAGCATGGCTATTCCAAGACATCCCATCAGTGATTCGCTCTCGTATTTGATATTCCGGAAAGTATTATAATCACCTTTACAGCTTTCGCAGCAGAACCAGCAGGTTTAAGGTCCGCTGCCATATTTGCGCCAGTGGCGGTTGCTATACACATCTGCAATTAGCAATTGTACACTTCCTCGAGCTTAGTGAGAGAGCATACGTATTGAGACAGCTGGAGATGACATTTTTGTATGATTGGATTCTTATAGACTTCGATGAAAGTGCATCCAATTGTCGGAAATAATTGAGGCGCGAAGTTGCATTTGTCAGGTTGGCTGTATATAGTTCCTGCTCTGCCGAGACGTTTTTCCGAGCCGAAGGCGCTAGTAACGATAGCCTTGTTGTTCGATGAACCCCACTAAGAAAGAACAATACTAAAACAATATCAGCTTGTATTTGCACACAACGAAGACATTTTCCTCCATCTTTTCCCTAGGCTTCGATTTGAATCTCTCAATACAACTGGGACAATATGTCTAAGATTTTTTCTCTTGAAGGGAAGGGGCTGAAGCTCGATACGAAGGAGGATGTTGAGGCGCATATTAAGCCGCTAAGGGAGATGGACGATGTGGTCGAGGTCAGGTTGCTGGGGAATACTCTTGGTGTCGAGGCCTGCAAAGTATTGGGCGAGGTTTTGGAGACGAAAAAGACTCTCCAGGTATGCTATCCTTCTTTGTAAATGCCCTACTCATGGCTGACCTCATTCAGATTGCAAACTTAGCAGACATATTTACAGGACGACTCCTAAATGAGATCCCTCAAGCACTTTCTTCGTTGCTCACTACCCTTCTAGCCCTTCCAAAACTACATACGATCAACCTAAACGACAATGCGTTCGGACTCAACACGCAAGCTCCCCTCGTCGCATTCCTCTCCTCTCACACGCCCCTACAACACTTAATCCTCAACAACAACGGCCTAGGCCCACACGCCGGAATACTCATCGCCGACGCCCTCTCCACGCTCCACGGAAAGAAAGAAGAAGCGCGGAAAGCCGGCACCGAAGTCCCCTATCTCGAGACCGTCATCTGTGGGCGCAACCGCCTCGAGAATGGCAGCATGACGGCATGGGCCAAGGCGTATAGCCTGCATACCGGGTTGAAGACTGTCAAGATGGTTCAGAATGGGATTCGACAAGAAGGCATCTCGCATCTTCTTACGGAAGGACTGAAATATACGCGCGGGATCAGGGTGCTTGATTTGCAGGACAATACTTTTACGATAACGGGTTCTAAGGCGCTGGCTACTGTAATTCCTGGCTGGACCGAGATAGAGGAACTCGGGGTGGGGGATTCGTTGCTTGGTGCTAGAGGGGGTGTGATTGTAGCTGGATCGCTGGCAAAGGGGAAGAATGGGAAGTTGGAGATTTTGAGGTTGCAGTATAATGATATTACTGTGAAGGGGCTGCAGGCATTTGCTACGGCTGCAAAGGACAATCTTCCTGCATTAAGGAAGATTGAGCTTAATGGAAATAAATTTGCTGAAGACGAGCAAGCTGTTGCGGATTTGAAGGAGCTTTTGGAGGGCCGAAAGGAGAAACTGGCGGGGGATGTGGTTATGGAGGATGATTGGGGTCTTGATAGCCTGAGCGACCTCGAAGACGACAGTGATGAGGAAGATTCCGCAGAGGAGGAGGAGGAGGAAGCTGAGGACCTTCGCGAGAAGCTTATTGAGGAGGCTGAAGAAGCACAAGAAGAACCGGTGGCTCTGAAGCAGGATAAGGAGGTTGATGATCTGGCGGACCAGTTGAAGGAGAGAGTGATAATCTAAAAGTTCGCCCAGTCGAGTGGGAAATCCTCCCGGAGCCCACGCCCTAAAACGTCTGCATATACCCGTAAATCATCGCTATTCGTACCTAGTCTATACTGACCAAAGCCTGCGAATGAGGCTGTAGCGATGCACATAACTTAGAAAATAGATTGTGTTGATTTTTGCCTTCATTGAAGCGCTATATTAATATCCGTGTCTTCTTCCATGATGATTTTGACTGTACTGCTGATCTTTCGTGGTTTGTAAACTCTTGAGCTTTGAGGTTCCTAATAAGCCCTGTCTAAAAATTCATTAACTTGATTTTCTAAAGGAGTCTATTCTCATATTGCTGAATCACCTAGAATGGAAACATGACTGGTCTTTCTATGAGTTTTGCTATTTTGGGCGTTGTAGTTGTCTTGATTTCTCTTTTTGGCCCCCACTCGTGGTATTCGCTACGCTGTCTGCCGTATCCAGCATAGCGTGGAATAAACCCCTTTATTACCGAATCGAATGTTCGAAACACCTCGGCTCCAGGACACGACGACGCGCATCAAAGTATTGGCTGCGCGTACTTCAACCCCGCGGAAACCTCCTTGGCTTCTTCTGTTTGTGTGGTGTTGATGATTCTCCTTTGTCGAGTTCCTGCTTCACGTTGCGCCGATGATATTCGACAAGTCGCGATTGACACGGTAGTAATGAAGCCGGGTGAATTACCAAGAAACAAACACTATGCTGGTGACTAGATTCTCAAAGAGAGAATCTAGACTGCAATTTATACTTTCCCTTCTTTCCGCGACTAATTATTAATGGCAGGCTCGTTTTTTCCCGTCATTCACAGACCTTGCTGTCTTGATAGTCGTCACACAGACAATGCAGGAACATTCATAAGTTCTTTGTTCGACCTCCGTACCTTTGTCGGCGAACAATAAGAAAGAACAATATTATTGTTGGCATATATCTTCTTTGAACCCCTTTACGCACGAAGTCCATATCTGGGGTAAAACTTGAGCGAGCAACTGAACAAGACAACAAACCACTCAGAGATGTTATCCAAAACCTTCATCCTCGCGCTTCTCAACAGCCTCGTTTGCGCCTCAGCAATGCCCACTAATGGCAGGCCCTTCAATACCCCCGACCCCATCTCTCGACGAGGCGTCTCAGCCGCCGATGTACTCCTCCAAATCGCACCGACCTCCAACACCTGCTCCGGCGCTACCTTCCCCGCAGAATGCGAGACAAACGTCCAAGCAGCCCCATGGCTCATCGCAGCCATGAGCAAATACAACATCACCCACCCCGCCGAAACCGCCGCCGTCCTGGCTCTCATCGCCTTCGAGTCCGGCGACTTCAAATACAACACCAACCACTTCCCGGCCCCCGGTCGTCCGGGCCAAGGAACACGCAACCTACAGATGGCCAACTACAATCTCATGTACGCGAAATCGATCCCGGAGCTCGCTAGCAAAGTCTCGGCGACCTCTGTCGATGGGCAGAGCGATGATCAGCTGAATGCGATCCGGGCGTTGGTGTTGCCGGATCAGTATAGCTGGGCTTCTGGAGCGTGGTTCTTGACGACGCAGTGTGCGAGTGCTAGATCGGCGATTCAGGCTGGTGGGGACGCGGGGTTCGCGGCTTATATGGGCTGTATTGGGACGGGTGTTACGTCGGATCGCAAGGCGTATTGGGATAGGGCGAATAAAGCGTTTGGTGGTTGAGAAAGACGTCGTGACCTGTGGCCTTGCTGGTTGAGGTCAGGAGATAGGTGCGCGCGTTGTAGATACCCCTACTAAGATAATTAAGTCAAGAATAACTAAACCTTCAATTTCTTCAATTTCCATGACTGTGACTCTTCACTTGTGAACTCTTTATTTAGCAGCCCTCTTTATTTATAAACTTTATTGATTCCCTAGACGAGTTTCTGCAGAAAGGTGTACGGAGTACTTCATTCTTCATCGCCGGTGCCACATTTCTTATATACTCTATTTTGCGTTTCTCTTTTAGGCGGACATCTTATGAGCTGGCGATATATAATAAGTCATCAAATCGAAACTCCCAATTCCCAACATCCAACTACCTTTATACTCCTTTGCTAGTCCACGGTATCACTCCCCCAGCCTACTTTGACATCTCTACTAACGACGTTCGATTTAAAACAGCAGGTGCCGTTGAACCCACAACGAACTATAGTCCAGGGTTGGTCGTGCCCGTCTTCACATGATCACAATTGATCGGCTATTCTATCGTTTAAGACTTTGGGTTCTATTTGCAGCAAGAGCGACGGAGATAATATGCTCAACTAGTACTACTATAGTACCCCGATGCTCTTGACAACTTTCACCTTCTGACATCGAAATTCGCACTGAATGTGCCTAGGGAGTGGTTGAATGGCAGGGGGACGACTGAGCTTCTCTTTAGGAATTATGGTCCTTAAGCCTAAGTATCACCACGCATTGCCGGTAGGCCTCTAGTCTATTGCGTTCAGGATACTGTACAGTAACAACCATCTCTTTCCCCGCACGTACTAGCAGATTTATTGCGAGATTCACACTGTGTACTGTATACTTGTGGAAAGAAGAAGAGAGGGAGTCATTATAAATTAGTATTTATCTGAAAACATCATGTAGAACGAAGGAAAGTCAGAGGGAAATATAAGAGATAGGAATGTATATTGAACATGGTAAAGAGATCGACCTCCTGAATCCCCGAGTAACAGGCAAGGAGAGCGCAGATTTTTCGCCATCTATTACTTAAATATACAACCCCCTCAAAGTCCCCCATCTCATCCATTCTCATTGCATACCATTTCCACTCCACCAGCACAAAGGAAATATATACGGGGTATGGCTCACCCGTCAATTCAACGGTTTCCTCGCCCACCCACTAACAGTCCTCCACCCCGCACCACAAGCCCTGCCCTCCTCAATGATATTCTGCACGCCCTCCAACTTACCCTCCATCCCCACCGTCTGCACCTTACACCTCAACAGCCACTTCTCCCACGCCCAACCCCCCACAATCCCACAAATACTCGCCGCGTTCTCCGTGCTGCCCGTCACCATTGCCTCCAGCTCCAGCTTAACCTCCACGCCCATACTATCGCGGTTCACGATCTTGTTCGAGAGCTTGGCGCCCATGGGCAGGAACGTCCACGCCCGCTTGATACCGGTGAAGCCGGAGTTTTTGAGGCGGGACAGCCAGAGCTTCGTAGGCTGCGGATCGTAGCCGAGAGTTTTCAGGTTGAAGCCGAATTCTACGCTCTTGGCTAGGCCGAGGGGGCCGGCGTTGACGATGTCTGAATCCATGATTGAGAACTCGAGATACCCGCCTGGTTTCAAGACACGCATGCATTCCTTAAGACATACATCCCACTCATCCTGGCCATGCTCGGATCTCTGCTTCAAGATCGTGTAGATTTCCCTTGCGGAGATGAGATCAAATTGGTTGTCTTTGAATGGCAGCTTTGTGAGACGGTCAACTGCGATCTGACGATGGTTCTTGGGGCCCCGGATGTTGGAGTTGGAGAGCTGGCGCAGGGCTTTCGTGGTGATGGTGTAGATTTTCGTGTTGGGGTATTCGGACGCGCAGTGCCATGCCCAGTCGCACGTAGCTTGGCCACCGAGATCTAGGATGCGCGCGCGGTCTCGCGGGGTTCCGTCCATTTTCGGTCCCATGGATGAGAGTCGCGCGAGACGTTTCGCTACCGGTGCTGCGATCAAGCGGTCGCCGTTGAGGAGCTTTATGGCCATGATGTTCCATGCAGCGGGCGCGATTTGCGTAAGTGCCTCGTACTCTCTGTCTCGCTTCAGCTTCTCTGGGTCTTCAGGTGTGATCTCATCGCCTCGAGCGACGTTGGCAGACATGCGGCGCTTAGCACTCATGGGCACGACGCTGAGCTGGTACTTCCCAAGGAGCTGAGCACGGTGCGCGAGAGGGAAAGAGACGCGCTGGGCTTGCAGAGCTTCGAATCTTGGGATGCGATGGACATAGGTATCTTGGTAACATGATCGGGCAACGAAGTTCTGGAACGCTCGGTAGTAGGCTGACTCCTGATGGATCTTTGGAAGTGGGCAGGCAATGGCAGCTGTCGTTGAGATGATCTCAGAAAAGCGCACAGTCTTGCGGGGGTGGGAGTCTACGACTTCAATGTCTGTCGCTTGGACGATGGATTCTCTCTGGCTTCTAGTGCTTACGACACGCTTGAGGAGTGCAGCTTCGTCGTCGCGTTCCTCTGTAGGATTAATCAATTCTGCCAAGTAACTGCTTTGGGCTGCGAGCCACATCCCGGTGCGGTCGACATTTTCAACAGCCAAATTTTGTAGCTTCAAAGCGTAGGTAGTCGAATCTTTCACAATCTCATCTACAACAATATCTTCTTCCACATGCTCGGGTACTTTAACGACTTTGATAGTTTCATCAGAATTCTGAGGTGTGAGTTCTGGGCGAATAGTGGAATCGGAGTTCTGTTGAGGCAGATTTGGTCTTGCCGTTGGAAGGCCCTCTGACATTGTTTCCGACTTTTCGGATACCTCCACAATTCTCTCTATCGGGTGTGTCGACCAAGGTGTTTTGTAAAAGTGTTCGGCAGTAGTCGACGAGGGTGGATGAGCCGAGTCGGGCGTACATGGGACGAGATGCCATGTATGTCTGGCGCTATGTGATAACGTGGAGAAGAAGCCTCCGGGAGAGGGTATATCAAGCCTTGTCAAACTATTAAAAGCCCGTTGTTGTTCTGGGGAGAGCACAATCGAGTTGTTCCGCCGAATATTAGTGACTAGCGGAGGCAGTCTTTGTTGCATCTCTTGCACGGGTTGCTCAACATTCGCCAATTCAATGACTTGTTCTGCATGGTGCTCGAATGATTCTTCGCCGCCAGATAATGCTTCCAAAGTTGCCAATGCACCAGGTTGAAGCCGAACCCCCCCACCCCAGGCGTCCCTATCATCTCCATTCTCACTCCCGACATCTGGTGTTGGCGGAGCAGACATAGCAGCCATCTGCTCTGATGAAAGACTACCATCCAGGGATGGTGGAGCAGAGCATGACGGTACCTCTTGAGACTGTAAATATGAAAATATCGCAGGAGACATTGGAACTTTCGGTGGGGGCGTCGGTGGTACAGGAGATGATAGCAGCTTGAATACTGCAACACCTGGCCATGGATCACCCTCAGAGGGAATAACCAGGGAGGGGAGACAGCTTCGAGATGATCTGCTATTGTTCGAATCGACAGAGTGGCGCTTGACGTGCTTGGATTGTCGAGTACTGTTCCTCCTTCTAGCAGAGTTCTTGATTCTTGCATCCTCATCTGATGACACATCATAAATATCGTCAAATTCGGTGGCTTCCGTAGTAAAGCTATCCCTCGTCCATGGAGCGGATGAGGGTGTAGGAGAAACGCTTTCTGTATCCGAGGAGGACGTTGATGGTGGAATTGGTGCTGACATGAAGTGGTTACCTCTGGGTGTTGGAAAGTGATCGCTGAGTGGGGAAAGCCAGTCCGCCATCTTAGGTGATCTATCCCTATTTCGCCGGCCCTCAATCATAGCTGAGCCTCTCGTTGATTCTTCATCATCTTCCATTATTGTATTAAGTGACCGCCGTTTCCGTTGTACCTGTACTGGAGATGGCGGTCGATATGTAGTTGCAGGTAAGAGATCTAGTGTAGCCATTTTGAAGTCAATCCCAAGAACGCCGAGATATAAGATAATGTTGCGTCCTTGGTCGACTAGAATGTATGTTGTTATTTGTGGACTGCCAGCGTCCGTTGAGTAAGAATTATTAAAGATAGTATGCTTCGGTCAACGAAGACTTAAAAATAAAGCAAGCGACGACAAGCAAGGAGAAGGAACAATAGAAAGATGACAAGAAATGGTCAGCACACAGCTTGGGCAACCACAATGTTTATAGACCCAGCCTGGTTTTTACCAAGCGGCCATGTCACTGGCTGGGCGCTAACGTCAGACAAGGGCATGCCTAAAGATCCAGATTGGGTCTCGATTTGGGCCTGCAGTATTGAAGAACTGGCGTTAGGATGCACATGCGCTTGCATGCTGTACTCCGTATCCTCATTACAATGATTGTGGAGAAGCATGGGGCCCGAAGCAGAAGGATGAGCAGATGTTTATTCAAACTATCGCCAATACCAGAACAGCGCGATACGAATGGTAGCCAATGAAACAGAACAAAACGTGGTAAAGAAACATCGTACGAACCATCCATCGTCATTCATCGAATAACCAAAATTAGATTTTGGGCGTGAGCTAGTTGCGCGCGCGAGGTGTGTGAGGTTGGAGTTCATTGGCGGTGCGCTGCAGAGGCACACAGGAGCGTGGACGAATAAGAAGGCCCGGCGCCCGCCCCTCGTGAAGAGAAGTCAAAGATGGGCGCTTAATCCTCCACGCAAGTTTGAACGCACGATAAACGGTTATATGCCAGTGGACAGCAATGGCCAGTCAGGAACGAATAGCGTGAGAGGCTCAATTACTTGGTCCTGCTGTGGTACGAGTAAAGGGAGCTAATTAGCCAGATTCAAGCATCGCAGAAGCATGGTATCCTCGAAATAGATTTAAGGTCATGTATAGTGTAAAGAGCGGAGAGTATTGATTTTTCAAAAATAGACTCAGTAGCATGAAGCATAAACTTTATTTTGATGTTTTCGTCTATGTATGGAGATATATTGCTGGATGTAAACTTTGTAAAGGTACAAGTCGTGTGGTTTTCATGCGACCATGTTGAAGAATCGGCGCCAAGACCTTTCAATTGTTTGTCACGTGTTGGTCCTGAAGGCCGACCCTTTGACTCTAGTAGACGGACGCTTGGGACACCTTCGGGATCTTGGTCCCGGATAATTTGACTTAGATCTAGCTCCAGAATATATTTGGGACGTGCTTCCGGGGTCTCTAATAACATAGTGATAAGTCATCCAGGCATCCGCAAAAATGAGGCTTTGAAGTCTGACTAAGTGACAGAAGAAGGCTGATCAAATGGATTGACACTGATCGTAAATAAGTATTCCATATTGAGCGAGGCATTAACTTGGCACCTGTCAGCCACCAAATATCAAATTGGTTAGGGAGCTGTTTATCCCGACTCCGGAAATAGTGGACGAGACTGCATGTTCGACTCGATATATATTGATCCTCGTGACGGAGGACGTGATATAACTGCACTAGCCCAGAACAAGACTGCGATATGCAACAGTTCATCAAAAGTTGTTGGATGAGCCTCATTGTGGAAGGGGCATTTACTCCTGAATCCCATTGGAATGGCTCGACCCAGGACATGCTTCGTATGTACGACGTAGCTAAGTCGAGATATTTTAAGATCCCGTCGCAACTGTTGTTTATTCTTCTTCCCATCTCTCTAGTAATCCTACATCCCATCCTTGAAACTTTCTCGTGCTTGGCGGTAGTAAGACGGCGCTACCATGAAGACAGGCCGATATTTGCTGTATTGCTTCCGATGGCAGGGGTACCTCTTCGACTGTATCCATCAACTTAGCTGCCTCTTCCTCTGTGACTTCTTTCCAGAAAACTTTCATGGCAAGTTTGCCGGGTGAAAGGTTTGGCTCATCTACGGCCGAAGAATTGGTTGCGGAGTATCGCAAGGTAGGCGTTAAAATCCACAACGATAGTAGTGATGGCGACATCTTGTTCATCGCGTCTGAGGCGGCCGGCGAAGGTTTCCACTCCAATGGATGCAGTAACAACCGAGAGCAGCATTGTGCTTGCAAGACACTCGAAATTCGAGTTGAAATTATTGAAGATATTGACGGCATCTGAGGCAGGCGCGAACCCGAAGACCAGTGAGGGTTTGCCTGCGACAATTTAATACTCCATTTCCAAATCTTGACGCCATCTGACTGTTCATCAAAATAGCCCATGTTCCTAGAGCAACCTTTACAGTGTATTGGCCGAATTGCTACTTTCTGTTCGAGGGCAGGAGTGGTCTGGCGGTAATTAGTAAATTTCAAGTTAGAGAGTAAATTTCACAAGGCAGTTGCACGGCCAATGCAATTGGAAAATAATCCCAAAACCGAGCACATAGCATATGGCATGAGTAAATACGCAAAAAAGCCATTTCAAATGCCAGACGTCCAAGGAGTACGTGTCAAATGTATCTCGTTCTAATCCCACAGCCCGCCAGAGCTTTGGAAGGAGCGGTGTGCAACTAACGAGTTTGATACAAACAGCCGAAAGGTAACCCGTCGACCAAAGAAGAGGGTATGCCTACTCGACTTGCTGCTGAAGTTGTAGATTGTATCAAACGGTCAATTTTGGGTGTTTGTATCGGTGACTAAGCAATAGTTGCAGAAGCAATGCATGGCCGCCTTCTTGATACCCGTATCTCTTGATGCTAGGAAAGAAAGGCCAAGAGATAGAAAATTTACCAGCTTACCTGATTGTCCAGAGGCTCTAAGTTGGAGCAGTCAGAAGGTGAAAGGAGAAAGGTGGTGATGTCAATAAAGGCCGTTCCAGAATTGGCAGCAAATTTTGTGTTGGCTCCATAGCCTTTGGAAGTCGCTACTGAATTCTCGGTATCAAGTTCTTCGGGACCTTGGGCACCATTGGACTCGTGTTCATGGGTACGCTCATGCTCCGGAACATCGGGTTTGTGGCAATGCCAGAAATCCATCATCTCTGCCCAGTTTTCACTTGGCAGGTCTTTCCAAGTTTTGATGACTCCTTTTCCAATCACAACAGCGCCACAATCTCGACACAGAAACTCGAAGTCTTCTCTCAAATTACTGGCGGACCAAGGAGCTACGTTACTTTGGGCGTCCTCTGCATCCGGACGCGTTGGCGGGCTGTCCAGAGGCAAACGCCATGATAACTCTTTTCTTCCCAAAGCTGGCTTTTGCAGTTGGGTAGTCAAAACAATTCTTCCAGGAAGTGTCAGGGTAGTACTTTCTCCACCATGCTGCAAGATGAACTCCTGGCCATTGCCAGACAGCTCAACCTTTGTAGCTGTATCACATGGCGTTTCCAGCGCAGCGATGACCGAGATTTGACGGATATTTGCAAGAAGCTCTGCGTAGATCAGACCTTTCGACGGAGGCGGCATAGATTTTGACATAACGGGAAATACCTGGACGTGTACTCGGGCAGAGCATCTTTTTGATGAAGATGGAGATCTCTCATTGCGGCGGTTGAATTTCCGGAAACTTGCGTTGCCTTGCCTTGCTATAAATCGTTAGCATTCTGCGGGTAGCCTTACTGCAAGTGGTTAGTTCCGGAGCGAAGACGATTATTTCAGCCGATGCTCATGCCATGCGCATGGGCCACCTGGGCAGCCATCCATGCATAGTAATACTTAGTTTATCAAGTCAAGCTTTCCCCACCTTTTCAATCCCAACAGCTTTACTTGAACAAGTAAGTTCACCAAAACTTCAATCATGTCGTCTCCTATGATAGCCTGGGTACCTCTGGTCCATAGAATCCACAGATACTGGACAACCACCAACTATGCTGCCCTTTCAATCGACTTGCCATCAGTGGAAATCCATGATGTTGAGACAGCTCCAGAAAAACGCCCCAGAACCCTCAAGCATCTAATAAAGGCAAATCATGTCAACCACTCAGTTATATACCACCATCTACAGTTCCACAACCATATGGCCCATCATCTAGGATCTGCCTACCTCTTTGGAGCAGATGCAAGTCAACTGCAAAAGATCTATGATGAAGACTCCAAAGAACTCGAGGAATGGAAAGATTCCCCCGCAGAGGTAACAGATTCGGACTGGCGGGACTTTCTCGGAGACAAGAGATACCAACGAGCATACGTGGATTTCTTTGAAGACGAGCTGGCGCTGAAGTTCAATTACGATTGGAAAAGAGTAGCGGATGAGTATCTGTTCAGCGGGAAAGAGCCTCTGATCAATGGAGTCATTGGCGGGCGTACGTCTCTCCTTTTGTCTCATACCCACCCACCAAAACTAATCCAAAATCCTCAGTTGGCCACCCTTTGATCCATCTCGGCTATGCCTACGAACTCTCCAGCAAAGAACTGGGAATGGAAGCCCTAGCAATGACAAGTGTAGCCTACGATCCCCTCCACAAATACCTCGACAATCCCTCATACACCCAGCCCTCTACATACAGCACGACCTCGCCCCTCGAAATCCTGCACAGAATAGCAGCCGATACCCGCTTCGATGGGCTCTTTCCCTCAAAAGGCTACGAGAACATAGAAACCCTCTTCAAGCACCACGAAGCCCTGGTCCTCGAACACTGGAACGCATGGACAATCACGAACCCCACAGAGCAGTTCCGCGCCTCGCAAGAAGCGGCCATGAATTTGGTGGTTAGGACAGTGAAGCCGGGCACGCACGCGTATGATTTCTTCATGGTGCATATACTTACGACCAGTCATGCGGTCAGGATATTGCTACCAGTGGTGCCGAAGAAGTTCCATGTCAGTCTGGTCCGCCAATGGTGGCTGCTTACAATCGCCGTGTATGTTGCGCAGTTGAGGCCGGTCATTGATGAAGATATAGAGGGAAAGCCGGGGAAGGGATGGGCGTATGTAGAGGAGATGGCTGTCAATGGGCCTTGGTCGACCGATGCGCACTATGTTAAAGGTATGATTCCTCACTTTTAAAGTATGTTTTGAAGCATTCTAATATCTTTCCAGCCCTGAGGGCGATGAAAGAGGCGGCCTTTACTTGGGGCGATGTTCACGAACTGTATTTATCATCTGCGGTACATTTAGCAGATGACTTTAAGGGATGGACATTTTAGCCCTATGGACGATAAAATTGATAACCGCTCCACCTCTCTTGTGTACTGTACGTTTTTGTTTATTGTGTACGGCGCTATTGGGGGTCGATAGGATGTATTTAATGAAGGGACGAGATTGACAAAATGTATTTAGATATGTTGTATGAAGTAACGATCCTTTTGAAAACAAGCACTCAGGCCAGCCAGGCGCCACCCCATCCATGTACAGAGTCTAGGTACAACAGCTATTATACAAGCCACATGAAACCAAATACATTACTCCGTCCAACATCCCACCAACCCACCTGACCATCCCGTTTATCCCTTTCCCTGTCCGTACCACGCAAATCAATTAATCATCCTCAATATCATCATCACTCAACACCAGCTTCTGCTCCTGTGCCTTCAAAATCGGAACCCTACTCCCACTCCCCTGGCCCCGCCCTCTAATCACAAGCGCCCTTTTCCGAGGCGACTTGCCCTCCACCGGTTTATCAGTCGCCCATTCCTGGCCCGCAACAGCAGCTGTATCGCCCTCTTCCCCATCGTCAGGGGTGTCTTCTGAAGGCCCACCGATGCCACTAAAAGTAGTCACCTTCTCAAGATCCCTAACCGCGAAAGCCGAGGACGAGCCCTTGCGACCCTTGGCAATAAGCGCCATATACGGTAGGCGATCAAGCAGCATCTCCTTCCTGGCGGAAGTGCCGAGTGATAATAACGGCGCAGTGGTGGTATCGTCTTTTGGTTTTCCAGCCTCGGGCTGCGTGGACCTAGCACTCCGCCAACTCTCCACAGTGCCCTTTGCAAATGTCTTTGCCGTCACCACGCTCCCTCCCTCACCTTTCATAAGCCGACTTACCCATACATCAACCAGCCCCTCAATCTCCTCCTTCATCCGCCACAGCTTGAGACTAGTTGGATAGAACATCCTGTACGCATCACCGCCACTTCCAGTTCTAAAGCCCGACGCTTGCGCAGGTGCTTTCCGCTTTACGGGGGAAGGAAGCGCGAAGAGGAGACCGCGGACGGCGATATTGAAGTTAATTTCATCTTGGCGCAAGATGTCGCCGCTGGAGCCAGATGAGGTGTCCCAGGTGGGACAGAGCAGGTCACTGTCGGAGAGGGCGTCGATGGAGGCGTTCACGTGGTCTAATGAAGAGACGTCGAAGGATGTGGGTGGTGCTTCGCAAGAGAGGATGTAGTTTTCGTGGAGGGCGGCGATGAAAGTTTGCGTGTCGGTGCCAGTTTCGTCGATGAGGTCGTCAACTGAGACTTGTGATCTTTTCGGCCGGGAATGAAGGGATAGGAAATCTGGTAGGGTTTCGACGTCTGAGCCGGTGGGGAGCTTAAGGGGTGTATCGTCCCGTTTGTTGTAGACGACCTTGCCGACTGCGTGGAAAATGCCGAGACTGGCTTCTCGGCGGGTGACCATTTCGAGACTCTCTTCTTCCATCTTGGTCAATGCTACATCCTTGGCTTTCTTCGATTTGCCGAAAGCAACTTTGGATCCCCAGTCTCCATCGGTATCGCCTCTCAAGCATAGGAACTCTAAGGATCCGATAGCACTTCTAATATCTCCAATCTCGCCGAGTCTCTTGAGCACCAGAGGTCCAGGCGTCTTTCTCCTCCCAGATTTCCGAGACTCTTTCTGTACCACAATATCGAGAGCTTTCGCCAGTAACGTAGGTGCAATAGCATTGAACTCGATAACCCCAACTCCTGCATGCTGAAGAATCTCTGGGCCAAGTAATCGATGTGCTGTAAAACTATCCGCAGAAGCAGACGTCGTGGTAAGCAGCGTCTCGGAAATAATCATAACCACAGGCGTTACTGGCTCATCAGAAGCCGTGTTATTGTGAAACATTGATAGATGAAGTGTATTAGCAGCGAGATATTGAAGGATAGCACCCCTAAAGGACTGCAAAGCAGTCGAAGAGCGAGTGAACGTATTTGGGAATTCTTCTACGAGAATAATCCGTTTCCGACGATCAAGAGGCTTGATTTCTGGTTTCGAAAGTACTTTTTCATTACCAGAAAATATGTCCAATTGACCAAATTTTCCCCCTCGGCCCATAAACTCTTCGAACTGTGCTGCCATGGACAGGTAGCCATCAGAGGTAGCGACAGATCCAACGGGATTCCGCCACTCTAACACATCACAGTCCATTGCCTTTGCCAAAAGCTGGACCGTAGTTGTCTTCCCTGTCCCAGCTTGTCCCTTCAGTAATAGTAGCCGTTGTCTCATCCTCCCATTAATGACATCCTCAAGCCATCCTCGAACGTCCGAAACCTTCTTCTTATGTACTGCAAGTTCATCCAAGTTAACAGGTGCAAACCGCTCCGCCCATGGCCGTAAATCATCCTCGTTCTTGATTTCCGCCGGTGGAACAGGTTTCTTCAAGAACTTCTGGCTCATACTAGGCGCATTCCCATCTCCTGCTTTGAAAGCCTCTGCCCCTCGCGCTCTCTTCCGTGCCGCCAGTCCCACCAGGCTTGACTGGCTTTTGCTCTCCACCACATCATCGTCCCCGTCAGATATGAGGTCCAGGTCTTCGCTCTTCGACTCATTAGAGATGACTCTCGGCCTGCGTGCCGTGGCACTTAAACTCCCCTCAGCCTTCTGTCTCTCTGCCTGCTTCGTAAAGAACGAATATATATCCCCGCTCTTGACCTTTTCATTTACCTTCCCTTTCCCCTTTTGTTTCTCTGGACTGCTGCTGGCACTTTTGCTACTTCCATTACTCCCAGGGACTTGCTTTGGAAGACGTATAGGTGCGGCATTGTGGGGGTGGTTTGCTGTCTTAGCACGAGGCTGAGGTTTGGAAGCAGCTACTTTCGATTGACTTGCGGCCTTTTTCAAGGTCGTAGGTTTTGGAACAGTCGAAGATGGAGGAGAGGAGTCGATGAGGTTTATCAATCGCGATTTTGGCTTGGGTTCTGGAGCCTCGTCGTCATTGTCGCTGGTCGAGGATGAGGAGACGACATTCCGCTTTCGTCGTTTGGCTGGGGGGGCCATACCGGCTGGCGCTGGAGGAAATGCTTCTACATCAGTATGATTTTAACGAGAAGATAAACTATTTGTAGGCCGCGTTTCTGTGGGCTGTTGATATTGTCGTAAGTTGGTTGCACCCTTGAATATTGTCGGCAAAGGTGGATCCGGCTCCGACATTGTACTGTACTGTATTGTCGTGAAATATTTGGACCGGCAGCACTACTTCTTTATATAAACTTCACACTTAAGTCCAGCAATGCTCGTTCTCTTTGCAAATACTCATTCTACGTCATATCTACCGTTGATTGAGTGTTCAAATGATTTATTAGCCGCCTAGTTATTTTTTGCTGAACGCTCATCTCGTCTTTCTCTTGTAGTATTTGCTATTGAAATTTCAACTATAATATTTATCCATCACACCTATCTTATAAATATCTGCCTACTTAGACAGATAATATATCATTCTCCAGGGACTATTTCTAGCTTACAATAGTCCATGTTCCAACCAGCGCACTAGCTAATAAAGCAGTACCCCGTCCCAAGTTCAACAATCCCCACCGATCAACCAATCTGATTACTGTCAGTCTTCATCCTACGGTAACCATCTAAAGAAATAGTGAACTCACTGATGTACACTTTCCCCTTTCACAATCTCCTCAGCACTCAAGTTTCCCCTCCCCAGCAGCTTAGCATTCGTGTCCTTCATCACCAACACCGTAAAAGGAACAAACAGTGCACTCTTCAGAGTAATGCCTCGTTAGCATGGCCCTCCTCATAAACCAAATCACACAGCCCAAAGAATAAGAACAAATAACGTACCAAAACCCCAGCAGCGACATACCCCCAATACTTCTCTCCTTCCATACTCCCCGCCCCAGCCTTACTCGCTCCATACGCTAGGTACGCCCACATTGTGCTAGCAACGATCGTTAGGGGCGGCACGGTCACTTTCCCTTCGTTGTAGAGGTGTGTCCATTGCTGTAGGAGTAGGGGTGCTGGGGATTCGAGGAGCCGCGGAACGGAGACGAGGGTGAACGATACTGTGGGTAGGTTGGAGCGTTAGTATCAAGAGTTATGCGTGGCATGGCCAGGAAGAATATATATGAAGGGCATTCAAGAACTCACAGGAAATTCCAGCGAGGAGGCCGCTTGATGTGAGGCCTACGGTTTGCGCTATGCGGAAAGGGAGGGGTTGTACAGAGGCCATTTCGTTAATATTTCCTAAGGCGATTGATATTAGGAGTAGTGGTTGTTTCAGTTGATTGATAGAGTGGGAGTTTGTTGAATCTTGTGAGACTGAAGACTGAACTCTTATATTATGTCTACATGTCTATACCTCCGTAGATGCGGGCCTAGCATCGTCGTAATATACCCACCTGGGATAGTGTAGTCCGTGACATCGGTACTAAACTCTCCTTACTCCGTATAAATGTTAAATTGCGGGCTTTCTCCCAATCTAGGAAGTAAACTAGAGGTTCTAGGTATCCGTAGTTATCTATAGGTAGGCTCAAACCCCCTCTTTGCCCCCTTAAAATAGCCAGTAGTGTAGCCAATGAATCCGGACTTCGTTCCAGGTGAAATGAACCCCGGGTGAGTACAGCAGGGGTCTTGTGCTAATCCTACATAGTCACGTCTGTGCGTTGGGTTTACTCCGTAGTGCCAGTGAAAACAGATCACGATCACTAGCGTGTTTCTTTTGTCACGTCTCCCCATGCAGAACGCGTCAACCGCGTCTAAAAAGTTTCAATGGTAGTGAGAAACTCATACATCCAACAAAAACAATTTGATCAAAATGGCAGACTCACAGATGGAAGAAGAGGTTGCCCTCGAAACCCCTGCATCAGATGTTTTCATCGCGCCCTCAATCAACCACGATTTACTCTTTTCCGGCGCTTCATATACACACTTCTCGCCCGTTCCTCCAGCCCTCCTTCCACCACCAAATACCGAGCCAGAACAGAAAGGGAATGCAGGCCCACCATGTGCATTGGGAGTCGATGAAGCTGGACGCGGGCCAGTGCTGGGTCCCATGGTTTATGGACTTTTCTACCTCCCATTACCACTCTCCGACCCTCTCCTCCGAAACACCCACCACTTTGACGACAGCAAAGTCCTCACAGCTGACGTTCGCTCAAACCTCATGGAGAAACTATGCACACCCGAAACAGACCTCTATACACAATGTGGCTGGGCTGTTGAAGTAATGTCCGCGCGAGACATTGGCGCGAATATGATGAAGCCTGCTGCAACATACAATCTGAATGCACAAGCTATGGATGCTACCATCGCGCTGATCGAAGGGGTTTATAAGAGGGGTGTGAATGTAAAGGAGATTTTTATCGATACTATTGGGAATCCGGCGACGTATCAGAAAAAGCTGGAGAGGATCTTCCCTACGGCGCAGGTTACGGTGGCAAAGAAGGCGGATAGCTTGTATCCATGTGTTAGTGCTGCGAGTGTCTGTGCCAAAGTTACTAGAGATGCGGCGTTGGAAGTACTGTATGAGAGTTATGTCAAGCCTGCAGAGAATGATGGGGATGAAGAGATGGGCGGGACAGAGAAGACAAAGGCTCCGGCGGAAGCTTCATGGGGCTCTGGATACCCTTCAGATGCGAGATGTACGTCTTGGCTGAAGCGAAATATGGATCCTGTATTTGGGTGGGGGAGTGAGTGTCGGTTCAGCTGGGGAACTGCGAAAGATATGTTGGATGCAAAGAATGCTGCCGCAAAGGTGGAATGGCCGGTCGGAGAGGATGATGAGAACAGTCGAGTCACCGACTATTTCAGTGCTGGCAAGGAGAAGACCACAGATGAACTTGGAACGTGGTTTGGGTCATCTGTTTCGGCCGAGGTTTTCTAGGATGGTGGTTGCGCTTCATCGCATGGGAAGGCGCATTTGGAGTTGAGGGACTTGCTCATTGATAAACAGGATTGACAGCTACTAGAGATTAAATTCCGGGTTCAATGCATTCGAGACATTTACAAATAAATACCGTTAGTGGAAGTGTGGTGCTTGTGGCCGCCTCCATTTTGAGATTTCGCTAATATAATGCAATTATTATCCATACTAAAAAGAACGGCAAAAAGGCTTATATGACGGGAAACCCCCCCTATAGAGAGTTCTAAGATATTCCAATTTGGAAAACATAATAAAAACAAAAAAATGTATAAATTTAAAGCGTAAAAGACGAAAATAAACTCCCAATCAAGATGATAAAAAGGTCAGATATGCTCGGTTGCTCCGCCTTTAAGGTAGCAGAAGATGAAATAAGATACGGGCAGCACACGACAGGCTATCACCCCTGACCATACCGATGATGTCCTAAACACCCTCCCGAAACCCGTTGAGTGGATAAATGCTTATTTCGTTTTCGTTATATATATAGCAAATAAAATGCTGAAGTTGTCCCAAAACCGTCTTAGGGCCTTGGCACCTTTGCGGCATACAAAGCGTGGAGCCATCAGCCTTATGATTATGTAATCAAAATATAAAATCCAGGATCCGACAAGGCTGAACCTAACGACTCAAAAACCATCAAGCCTTGAGGTCCAACACCCACTCTCGTTAATACCCCAAAACTCGGCGCCACCATGCATCCCTCACGTCAAGCATACGTGGAGGAGGCAGTGCCAGAAGATGTTGGCATAGACCTGGCAAACGTCCGTAAGAAACTCTTCACCAATCTTCACCCTCCACTTCATACTAACAGCCTCCCAGCTCTTGATCGCGAATATGACATGCCCTCAGCAACCGCCGGCATCGCGCCTGAAAAGGCCTCCGCTATTCTCTCACAATTCGACCGAAAGCGGAAAGCAGCACAGATCGCTGTCCCAACAGACGATGGACGAGTACGTTCGCGATTACGACAGATGGGGGAACCTATCACCTTGTTCGGCGAAGGACCCGGTGATCGCAGAGACAGGTTAAGGGAGCTTTTAGCTATACAAGCGGAGATGGATGATATGGAAGACGAGGATGGCGATGCGAGGATGCAAGATGCAGATGAGGGGCAAAATGAGCAAGAAGAGGAATTCTATACCAAGGGTGTTCAGGAGCTGGTAGAGGCGAGGAGGGATATTGCGAGATATTCGCTGCCGAGGGCAAAAAGAAGGATTGAGAGTCAGAAGGCCGAGTCTAAGATCCCTTTACGGACGCATGTGAAGTTTAGGAAGGGGATTAAGGAACGTTTGGGTGCTTTTGAGTTGCAGGGTAGTCAGATGGCGGGCGAGAGACCTGTTAGCATGACGCGGTTTGCTCCAAATGGGGAGATAATTGCTGCGGGTAATTGGGGAGGCGGGGTTAAACTTTTAAGTGTGCCGAATTTGGAGACGATCCGGACACTGCGTGGACATACGGATCGAATTGGTGGTATAGCTTGGTATCCAGGGGCTACATTACCAGGAACGACAGTCTCTCCGGACTCGGTCAATCTTGCTTCAGGAGGCGCGGAGGGAAATATCCATCTTTGGTCTTTGAACCAAGATACCCCTCTGTCCACCCTCGCAGGACATAATCAGCGCGTCTGCCGCACTGAATTCCACCCATCGGGTCGCTACCTAGCCTCGGCATCAGAAGATACTACCTGGCGTTTATGGGATGTCAATACTACGACCGAGCTACTTCTTCAAGAAGGTCATTCTCGTGGTGTATTTGCTCTAAGCTTCAACACTGATGGCTCCCTTCTAGCAAGCGCAGGAAACGACAGTATCGGCCGAATTTGGGATCTCCGCACAGGCCGAACAGTCATGATCCTCGAAGGGCACATCAAACCCATCTACGCGCTCGACTGGGGCGTTGACGGGCACCGCGTTCTTTCTGGCTCAGGAGATGGCTGGATTAAATGCTGGGATGTGCGTATGGTGCGACCAGCAGGAGGAGTGGGAGCACATAAAAGTGTGGTGTCTGATTTGAGATGGTATAAAGGTCAGGCTGATCTTTCGCAAGAGATCATTCCTGATATGGATGAGCAAGGTGCGAGGAGGCCGAAGAAAGCGGGAACCTTCTTTGTGAGCGGTGGATTTGATAAGAATATCAACATTTTCTCGGCGGATGATTGGGCGTTGGTGCAGAGTCTGAGTGGGCATACGGGGAATGTGCATAGTGTTGATGTTAGTGGGGATGGGAAGTGGATTGTTAGTGGGGGGTATGATCGCACGGTTAAGCTATGGGGGAGGAATGATATGGAGGCTCTCTGAGAAATCTACTGGGAATGGCTTGGAGTTCGTGGGCTGGTCAAAATCTGGCGGTATCTGGCTTTGTGCTAGAATATTTGAATCTTATCGTGATATCCAAGTTGCTATTTCGAGGCACAGTGCTTGTCTCTCAAATCTTCATCCCGAAAGTGTCGGGGTTTCACTTCTTCCGGTCAACTGCTCTCGTGAGCTAATTTAACAATGGATCTTCCTAAAATTATCACAATGCCAATCAATCTACGATGCATGAAGCACAAGACTACATACCACTTCACTTCCGCTCTCACATTCACTGCCAAGCGGCAATCACCAACTTCCTCTCCCACAGTATAAAACGAAGTTCTGACATTTGAATATCCTCAACCACAAATCATTCTTTCATGAGATGTGTCACGCATGCTTCTGCCATTGTAGTACCGACATAATACGTTTCTCTTCTCGGGCGCCCAGCCATATTTTTGATTCGGTGCCCAAGTCAACGACAGCAAGGAACATTGAAAAGGGCATTTTCGTCGTAAAGTTCGGTGACTTGCTGCTAATAAAATCTCGCTGTCATTTGGTTCATTCGTTCATTTTTTGTTGGTTCGATGATATTTGTTTTCTATGGAAGAAAGAAGCGTTGGGATCTTCGGGGGTAAACTGGACATAAGAAGAAGGGTGATCGGTGATCTTGAACATCGATTCGGCATGGTAATTGAACGTTGGCTGTGGTGTAGGAGTTTGCAGTGTGGCAGCTTGCATACTCCCCAGGATTTTATACATACGATTTATTCCCTAGCACCTTTAAGTTTCCTGCCTACGATACCTAAGGTATGCATAGCAATCATGATTAGAGTTTGATATCAATCCTTAGCGTAGATGCTGCGACCTTTCCATTTTGGGCAATTCACACGCGGCACAACTAGGGAGATATATCTTCATCTGAACATTTAGGCTTTTGCTGAAACCTTATTTCGACGACCTTCTTGATGCGATGTGCAACAAATTTTTAGGGCATATACCTAGTCAGCCAGCGGTGAGTGAATTGTGTGTTGAGGAGGCGGTAGGAGTTGGAATTTAAGGAGGGGGGGTTGAATTGTTGATTGTTTAAGCCAGAGGAGAGGCACTGAGGCCCCCAATGCATCGGATGCATCATACTTTGCATAGCGAGAAAAGATCAGGCTGTCGAGTTTTTGACAGGTAGAGATACATTACGAGGGGCTTATAAAAAGATCTATGTTCAATTCAATCCAACTGAACTCGCCGCCCACGAATGGTGGAAATGCTGTCTTGCATCGAGTCCTCACCCTATATCTTCGACAACCACCACTGGACCTCTTACTTTATACGTACTAATGTGCGGTTTCCTATTCGTGAGGCCTATTGGTTTGTAGTTGACCTTGTATCCTTTCCTTTGGAGTTATCCGTTCGGACTTGAAATCTTTTGCTGCATTTGGAAGAGATGTTTATGGTCAACATTATCTATGGAATCTAGCAGAACGCATCTGGTGCATCATGAACTTGAATACAAGGTCGTGCAAGACTTCTTAGAAACCTTTCCACCTTTCTAGTCATCATAATGCTTTCTTTTCATTGCAGAAAACTATCAACCAGTTCCGTGGTGCACCGAATTCAACATATGGTGTTCTTGTCGAATACATCCCTGTTTGCAAGATTTTGTTCATTAGATACGCTGACATGGTCGGATGGGGAAATGGTAGAACGAATGCCTCTGAGGCCGAATTAAAGATTTGAAAGAGAGCCCTGCTTACAAGGCACTAATAACTAGGGTATGTTTGCTTCTTTCTCGGTACTCGAGTATCCGTGCTAATCAACTCAGGCATGACGGTCTAATGGCCACCAAGCTTGCCCCCCTGGCATTCACTTAGTCGCGTTGTCGCTCAAAAAGCCCCTAAACAAATCCTCGATCTCCGCATCGCTCATCTCCTTCAACCCCAGCTTCTCATTCCACGCCTGGCCCCTAAAATCTCCTCCATACCCATCACCCCAGCAGAACGGAATATAGAACCCCATGTTCCTCGAGTTATCTCCCCTTGCGACTGCAGCAAAGGTCTCCTTCGTTATATCCTCAACGCTAGCATTGGTCACAGGGAAATCAATTCCCGTGATCTTCGAAATAATATCGGTGATCTTGCGCTCACTGACTGCAGCCGAGTATGTGTATATTGGCTTGTTCTTGGTATCTGCGGCGTGCTCTGGTGCCAGGATCTTAGCCACCGTCTCACCAATTCGCTCTAACGTGCTAGTGCAAACGATTTTGTCGCCACCGTCATGGAACAGAGCGGTTTCTTTTTGAACGTTCGCGCCCATCCAACCGGCCGTCCAGATAAACGGAACAAAAAATGGTCCATTGTTGACACTGGACCATCCAATCTTGCCAGATGATTCGAGTTCCTCGGCGTACTTGCGCGTCTGTAGTTTGTCGTAGATGATTGGTAGAGCTTTGGACTTTTCGTTGTCCATGTTGGTGCTGTATTCTGAGAGGACAATGTGTTTTACTCCTGCGGATACTGCAGCGTCCATCCATATTTTCTCCGTTGCGAGGACGGGGTTTGGGGTGGCGGATACGACAACATCTTGGCCTTTGAAGGCTTCAATGAGACCAGATTTGCTGGTCAAGTCAACTTTGATACTCTTCGCTGCGCCGTCTGCGACATTCTTTGACTCGGCTCTCTGGATGGCCGTGACACTATAGCCAGTGTTATTCAAAGCGGCAAGGATCTTGGAGCCCAGGTTGCCAGTGGCCTATAAATGTCTAGTTAGCTACCCGTCACGAGCCTCAAGCAGACTGGATATAAATAACTTACACCCAAAAGGGCAATGCTGCGGAAAGCGGGAGCTGACATGGTGCTGGATGTTTTGATCGCGGTATAGCTTGAGCTTGAGAATGATCTTCTGATGAGTCTGAATGTAAGCTGTTTTGAGAATGCTGAGAGAAACATTTGAGATCCAGGCCCTTCTTTATATAGAGAAGTCCTTGTTGATGAGTTATGATGTAGTCACTTTAACAAGCGCGGGCTATTATCAATCTAAACTCTTAACGGCTTGCGGGGAAAGGGAAAGTCGTTCCAATAGTGGCAAAGTCTAACGTGGGGGATCAATAGGAAATGGTACAAACTAATGAACGTGTATGTTATGTCGTCGGAAAAACTTCACAAAGACCGAGGGCGAAAGAATACTGGTCTTGTTTCCTTAAAGAAGGCTGATAAAAGTATCCGAGCGCTGATAAAGCAAGCCCGGAGACTTTTGTTAGCGAGGATCGCTAAATATTTAGGGGGTATCCACCCCACCTCCTGAATTCGCTACTTTGGCTCTCGCTCTAGTACTGCGACCATCCAATATCATAAATCACACTTATAACTAACAACTTCGCATCTTTCTAGAAATCGATATACTACAATCGGATATGCAACGAATATTTGAAAGTTGCGGCTTATAAATTATCAAAGTAGGACAAGATAGGTACCAAGGATATAGAGTCACGGGGTGTGGAGACCCTGACTTCCGGGTGAAGCTCAGCTATCCCCGGACGAGACCCGTTCCTAAGATATCGCTCCCGATGCCGACGGTACACGCAAAGAAGGCATCGAGACTAGGAATAGGAACGTTCTTCGCGAGGATATCGAGACTTGCAAGTATCATCTGCTCAAAGAGGGAAAGTTAAAGCGCATAGCTTGCCTGCATGTCGCACCAATCATTATTTCGAACACACAGGGATACTGGAGGGGTCCAGCTAGGAACTTATGCCAACTGGGACGCATGTCTCTTCACCCCGCCGCATTCATCTCTTTTTTCTACTCTTTAGGAAGTTTAAAGAATTTGCCTGGGCAAACTAAGTTCATAATTGTTTATGTGCTACGGTAGGTAATGCCATTCCCGAAGACTTGGCACTTGGCATTCTCGTTGGACCTGCCTGTTATAGAAGGCAAGTTGAGCCTGATTATTGGTCCGAAGTTTCCATGATTGCACTTTGACTTTCATGTTATTTTATAAATATGACACCTCTGACTGCTTTTTTTCAAGCTGTTTTGTGGGGCGAATATTTCACTTCGTCTTTTTGTCATTATTGAAGAAAGTATGCGTTCTCTTTGGACCGCATCTAGACCCCAGTCGGGGTTCTCGATACCTGCCTTGGCTTCTTTGCTCCTCTTCCAGCCCATAACAGGATTGAAAAACGTCCCAAGAAGCGGTGATGATACCTTCGCAGTCATAGATCCCCAGATCTGGGCGAATCCAGCGAATATGACTTGGGCCGACTGGCAAGCTCCACCAAACACCAATTGGTCAGATCCCTCTACAACAGGTTCAATCAGAAATTTCAATATCGCGCTCATTACTGTTGATTATACGGATAGAGCTTTCGAAATAACTTTACCGGTCCAGTCGACGATTTATGGAAACCCCCAGCCGGTGGCGGGGATTTCGAATATCACGCGGGGTGATGTGCCTACTTTCTATCGAGATTTCCTTAACAAACCAGGCACGCTTAATAAGGGGCATACCTTGCATGAGTAAGTCTATCTTCTCTCAATAATACAGTCTTGTAAATTCAGGCGGTTACGACTTGACTTTCTTCCCTCAAAACTATCATGGTGTTCTAAAACTACAATACTGACACCATTTCAGATACTGGATGGAAGACTCAGATGGCCGCTTTGGCGTCGATCTGACCGTATTTGGCGCCTACGAAATGCCACTCAAGTCATACCAATACGGAATTGACGACGACATGAACAGCGGCGGGTGTCCAACCAACGGCACATGCAACATTGACATTCGCACCGACGCCCTAGGAACATGGCGCACAGCTGTAGGAAACGCCACAGCCGATTCCTACGAACTAGTATTCATCCTCTCAGCCGGCCAAGACGAGTCCTCGACCTGGCAAGAATTCGGCGAGATGAAATTCCAGACCAGAGAAGACGTCCCTGACAGTTTCGGCCCTCCGGACAACGGGACGAATTACGCGAAGACGAGATATGTAGACTGGACTTCGTGGGCTGCGGCCTCGAATATTTGGCCTAATGCGGGGGGTGGCTCTTCGACTCAAGCGGAGAGTTCGGGTATGGCTACTTATGCGCATGAGTTTAGCCATCTTTTGAATATTGGGGATAATTACAATAACCCGTATGGCATTCCACTACGGAGGTCATATACGGGACCTTGGTCTATGATGTCAAGAGGGTCTTTCAATGGTCCTGGGGGCCCTCATACGCGCTGGCAAATCCCGCCTCAGCAAGGCGGTTCTTTGGGGTCTTTGCACACTGTGCGAGATAAAGCACAACTCGGATTAGTGGGTGAAGAGAGTATACTTAATGTATCCCGAGAGGCATTAGCAGATTCCGGGATCGTCGTGGCTCAAATACAAGCCCGCTCCGTCTCGCCCGGTACAAATCTAATGGGCATCCGCGTAACCATGGATGTAGACAATGAGCCTTTTTGCGATATAGACACAGAAGTCCTCTGCGATGGCGGAGGCTACAACGCCTACTTCATCGAAGTTGTCGATCGAATGGGCGCTGACTCCTTCACGCCAGACTCAGGCGTCATGATCAGCAAAACGAAGGTCGAATCCGATGAAGGGCCTTTCCAATGGACCATCGATGCCAACCCGCAGGATATCCAACTTCTCGACTTTTACAGACCGAATGGAACAGCGTCGTATATCACCATGGGTGATTATCGACAACTGCTCGACGCTTTGTTCCATGCTGGGACACGTTCTGGGAGCCAGTACGAGTACGTGGACGAGGCTAACAGCCTGCATTTCTACATCATTGATGTAGAGCGAGATAGCACCGGTGTACTTTCATACACAGCCGGTGTTCGTTCGACCAACAGTAGTACCGATACATCCACTCTTGCTGTCACCCTCTCCGACGGCAAAATAGTAGCAGACGGCAATACACCGACGGAAAAAGGAGTGACTTGCTCGTTCCAACTAAAGAACACGGGGGAAAGTTCGAAAGATGGGTCGGCGTATTTGGACTCGGATGTGTACCGGCTTAATGCTACAGTGAAGGGAACCGGTTGGAAGATGGAGCTGCCGAATGCATTGGCGACGGCTGAGCTTGGAGAGAAGGTAGCGGTGAAGGTTGCGGTTGCTGCGGATGCGGATGCTGCTGATGATGGGACGGTCACGTTGACTGCTACATCGGAGTCTGATTCAACTGTCTCTGCTACGGGGAGTTGCGTGGTTCATAAGAATCTGGAGGAGTAGAAGTGTACCGCACTGATTAGCCATGATATACCGGGTCGATATTGAGCTCAAATACACCAGTTCAAAACAACTACACATGTCAAAACCTCAAAAAAAGACAAAGCTTGACGTTACTAAAAGTACAGCTTCGCGATTTTGGATATTGTGCTCCATTAATATAACGATCTAGCCCGCTTGTCTGAGGAAGTGACGAGCCCCCTGATACCAAACAAAATATTCCACGCCTCTCATTTTCGCCAATTGTAATGTACAGACAGTATCCCCAGCCGTGACATGTCTTAATAGTATTACCTATCTTATTTCAACTCGGGGTGCTAGCTAGCACTGCCAATGGCAATCACAATGCCGATTCTATAATAAAAGCATCAGTAAATATCATTTCCTTGCACAAGGAGAATCTTACCGCTTCAGTGAGCGAGACATCCCATCCTCCCACATTGCAATATGGCCCACCGTTACTTTTATCCTTAGTAACATCGGTTGACCACTTCAACGAGCCTATGGAGAAGGTCACTACCCATTCCAAGAACAGATTTGTCGGTTCTATCGGCGCGCTACCACCCAACCTCTTCTTCACCTTGGAATATCCATCCGGCACGTCACTACTCATCAAGAAATCGATGGAGAAATCGTCAGGCAGACTGGTGCCCGAAGCTGGGTAGATCACGGTCCCGGTATCTTTCCAATCTGCACTCGTGAATCTCGGGCCATAAAGGACCTTTCCAGCGTCGTCTAGGAAGGTCGTGTTGGTATACAGCTCTCCGTCATCGCTGACGGACTGTTGGTAGAGCAGCACCGTACATTCTCCTGTTGCATAAGGAGCGGCCTTATAAATGTTAAACTTTATCGCTCAGAGGAAGGAAGAGATAACGTACTGCAGATGTGGTGGCAGGCACGAGTGTGGTGACGCTGCCAGCGCATTGAGTGAATTCGAAGCCGGCGATATCCTGAAATGTTGAAGTTGCGCAGGCTTCTACTTGTCCATTCATCAGGGTTGTTTTAAAGGGAAAGGGGTCTGTATTTGTGGTTGTTGGTTTTGCACTTGTGGTAGGCAGTGCCGGTGCTACTGTCCATGGACATGGCTGGTATGCTGAGCCTGTATTTGTGCCTGTAGAGGCGGCTATTGATGTGCTTGCACCATTGCTGCAAGTGCAGTAATCTAAACTCTGCCTGGGATCCGCATAGTTGTAACACGGTAACTCACTTATTATTGGTGCTGAAGTTGTGGTACGTGTTGCTCCCGTTTCCGATGATAATTTGGAACCCGATTTTGCGGTTGAAGGATTTGTTGAATCCCCACTACGTACTGCTGTTCCTATTGATGTCCTGAAATGTGTTGTTGAGCTAGCTCGAGCAGAAGAATTTGAAGATGAGACTTGCTGTTGTGAGGCAGATGATACGATAGATAAGCGGCCACCCGGGTTGGGCTGACTGTTTGTCATCGAGGATATTGTTGATGAACTAGCTCGAGTAGAAGAATTTGAAGATGAGGATTGTCTTGAGGCAGCTGATATAAGAGATAAGCGGCCACCGGGATTAATCTGAGTGCTTGTTATCGAGGATGTTGATGAACTAGCTCGAGCCGAAGAGGAGGAATTTGAAGATTGTTGCGAGGAAACTAGCTGTAGGCGACCACCCGGGTTGACCTGGATGCTTGCCGTCGTCGTCGTCGAAGACCCGGTCATTGAAGCCGAGCAAGCGGTCACGGTTGAGCATGAGAGTGTAATGGTTGATGTAGATGCCGTGCTCGCACCAGAGGGCGTAAAGATCCGATATGAGGTGTTGCAGGCAGATGTAGTTCGTGCTGAGCAAGAGCTGCTGGAGGTGCTCGAAGACGCCGAGGAGTGCTGAGATGAGCTTGTGGCCTTGCTGGATGATTTTTCCGCTGACGACGACTTGTTATCATCATTATCATCATTCCCATCATCTTCCACGGCTTGGGCAATATCAGCTAGGCTATCAGTTAGGTCCTCGACTACACTCAAACTAGGCGTATCTTTATTGACCTCCGTATCTAAGTTCTTGGTGATGTCTTCTGCGCAATTAAAGAGGGCTCCGATATCATGAATATCACTTTCAACCAGATTCCCTATGCTTGATATTACACTCCTATTACGAAGCATAGCTCTAAGCTTCTTCTCCGACAGCATAGGTGTGTCTCTCTTTCGCTTTGTGTTTAGACAAACTGGAGTGTCTGGTGGCTTGACATTAAGATCGTTCAAGAGGCTATTAACTTCATCTTTTGTCTTCCTAACATTATTTATATATTGAGACTTGAGCTTAGGATCTGTGAGCCATTTTCGATTTGATTGAAGTGCAAGAAATAAGCCGCCTATAAGCACTGCTTCTGACGTCTCAGCTGCAGCACTTGCAAACGTGCTCGTGGGAACGTTAATAAACGTGAAGGATACCGGTGTTATCGAACTCGATGGGTTACTCCATGAACCGCTAAAAGATCCCGTCTGAGCTTTCGTGGATGAGGAAATAGTCGAAGTTGGGAAGGGTAAAATGCCAACACCGGTTACCGATGATACTGACAATGATGATGCTGATGATGTTCCGTTGCCAGCATGACTTGAACTCCTCGGTGTACTTGAACTTGATGTGCTTGCTGGATTGGAGCTAGTTGAATGTGTCTGGCTTGAATTGAAAGTCTGTAATCCAGTCGCAGATTTTGCAGTTCCAGAGCTCAGTGAGAAGGCAGAGTCAGACAAGGAAGTGCTTGACAATGTTCGACTATTGATGCTTGAAGTTGATCCGCTCTTTGAAGTTGGAAACGATTGACTTCTGGTGGTACATGATGAATAGAGACTAACGGAGTAGTTGCGATTAAGAGCTGAAGTCGAGGTGATAAAGCTGGAAGGCGTGGTATGAGTAGAAGCACTGGAATTGCGGGAGCTCCTTGAAGTGCCCGAACTCCTGGTCAAAGTCATATTTGAGTCGCCAGTCGCGGACGAAGAGCTGTCCAAAATATAGCCATGGCTAAGAGCCAAGAAACCCAAGCAAGGGGCAAGACTGAGTCTCATGGTCGAACGAACAGCGTGTAAGTTCAAAATCTCCCAGCTACAGCAAACCAGAGGAAGGATATATTATCAAAGAGAATGAAAGTAGAAGTTTTAGACAACGCTTGCGCCTCACTTATGACATCCACCTCCACATACATAATTTGAGAATTTGCGAAATCCTTCTGTCGCATTGTCGACGCGTTGTGCTAGCTACGAATGTTCTTTTCTTAACTTCTAGGAACCTGAAATTGCCACTTGGCACAGCTGCGCTGCTCCGCATAGTCATGGTGCGTTTAATTTGAAACACTAATACTTGATCCTTCAAGAAGGACTCGTACTTCAGTAAGAATAGATGGTTTAACGTCTGAGTCGAGTTGGGATTATATTTCGTCCCAGGCGTAATAAACCCGTCCCAAAATATCCCCGCTAGGTGCTCGGATACCTAGGTGCTTAGCAGCTCCTACTTCTTAGTTTACGGAGATATACTAACAATACGATCCCTTGTATCCTTCCTCGCTTAGCTCGACCGATTATTGACGTGGAATCTGTGGAAGGCGTTATAAAGGAGTACTAGGTTTAGTATGCAGGAGCGCAAGATTCCCCTTTCTATAGTTCTAAACGAATCTTTCCAACTTTAAATTATAGCGCGTACTATATGAGTTGCGCATATTCATAAGGTTGCTAATCCATCCGTACCTCGTAAAATAATATTATTCTCTTGACGTTTACCTCCGTAAGTCTATTAATATACTACTAACTACGTTTAGCTACGACCTCCATACTTAAAAAGGCGAAGTTAGCTTGCACTGAAAGCCAGGGTGAAGGCAGGGGTTCCGCTAATAGGAGCTGCGATAGAAAATCACCCCTACTGTAGCACAACCCCCCCTATTGAGGATTTACGGAGTATTACGCATGGGACGAAGTACGAAGGAACCGCGACCGCAACCGCGGCACCGCCCTGCCCTAAGTTCGAAAGGGCTAAAAATGCACGTTAGACATTTTAATTGGCTGACGGAACGACGGGATCTAGGATACCCAAGAAAAACTTCCCTGGCGGCTGGATCTTTGTACTGTAGCCTCCTAGCGTACCTACATGGGTCATATCAAATAAGCCGTGGGCCTAGTCATAAATCTGCCGCGTCTTGCATTGCTTCTGACTGAGACTCCACTTCGACGGATTGGAAGGCTTCTTTTTGGAAAGCAGTGTTCATCGTCATAATGAAACGGGTACCTGGTCCTGTACCTTTTCTGGTGGCTTTTCCAATTGAAGCCATTATTGTTTTCGTTGACTCGAGACCTTGCAAGACACCGAGATCAACACAGCCTCCGTGAACGTACAGTCGGAGGTCCCGGAAGCATTACTAACTGTAAGTTAATTTACTTTCAACCCCGCTGAAGACACATCCCTGTCATTGCACTGCTATCTTTATATTCTCATGCTAGGAGAAAGTCTGATCCTTTGCTTGAAGGTGAACTTGCTATTCGTTTCTGCTTGACCTTACGGAGTAGGATTCTTGATTGTTCTAGACTGTACCCTGCAGTGCCGCATCAAAATCCATGTAGGCTAGTTGCTTGGAGGAACAGCAGGAGCTTGCAGATAAATGTTTAAGCTTCAGTGTGGGCGGAGGATTATACGTAAAGCTGTGTTGGAAAAGCATAAGTATCCCAAAAGAAAATTTGCTCTTTGAAATGGGCTTCTTCAGCCAGACCCCAAACCCCTCATTCGTTTAAGTCAAGTCCAAGTTTCAACTTATTCTGTTAATGTTTTTGACCATGAAACTCACCACGCTCTTCAGCTCTGCAATCTTCGCAGCTAGTATCTTTGCTTCCCCCATTTCCAAGTTAGAGGCGGGCGGTAGACTTCAGCTCTTATCTAGATCTGGAAACAATAGCGCCCGTTCCATCGAGGCAAGAGATGGCACTCTAGCAAGTCTTAACTGGGCAGGTGCAATGCTCTATCCCGACGAAGGACAAACTTTTAGAACCGTGTTGGGTAGTACGTAATCCTTCGTTTTACTATTGGAAACCATAATACTGACCCCGATCTTCTATAGCGATCTCGGTTCCAGCAGCTGGGGCTCCAGATACCTATGTGTCAATATGGCTCGGCATTGATGGCGTCGACAGTAAACCTGTTATTCAAGGAGGTATCTTGATTGGTACGAGTGCGGATAACTCTCAATATTTCGTAGCTTGGTCCGAGTGGGTTCCCGATGACCCAGTCTACTACGGCCAGACTAAATTTCCTTTCAAAGCAGGCGATGGTGAATACTCTATTCCTTTTCCCTTATTCCTTCTTCGCGAATAAAACCATACTAATGCTCTTAACCTAATAGTATTAGAATTTGGTATTACCGTTGAGGCTGGCGCGACCGAAGCCACGTTGTATATAGATAATACAACCACTGGCAAATCCTTCTCGCAGGACTTCTCACCAACCGATTCTACGAATGTAGCCCTGGGATATTCCGCAGAGTGGGTGGTGGAACGTGTAGGCGGAAGGACTTTGGCAGACTTTGGCACGGTCACATTCACAGAAGCCAGTGCGTCGGTCTCAGGCGGCTACACAATGGACCTTGAGGGGGCTCAGGCGTTGTCGATACAAGAGTCCGAGACGGACTCCACCATACTTGCTGTAGGTAGTATTACCAGTGAAGAAGAAGTCACAGTCACCTATGGCCCGTGAAGGAGGTGGATTTGAGGAGGGCGCACATCTGAACGAACTGGCAGCTGGAACATATAGTATTTATATGCGAGGATAATTTATATAGGGAGGTGATAAGATATATATATATATCAAATTAGATAGAAAAGTAGTTTAAAATTACTAGAGAGATAAATATAAGACTGTAAAGAATAATAGACCTTCGGTCTATACATTCCAGAGAAACAAGGCTATCAAGATGAAAGCACGAGAAAGAGGTATAACGAAAGCTAAGGCTCTTGTGACAAGACTCGATGAATTGACGACATCCGCTGAGGTGATGAAGAATAGTATGGCAAGATGGAGGGCTCGACTGGCTTATGTGTGGTCCATCATCCTGACGACCTACTTGGTGAAGAATATTCTGATCCAAATTCCGACTGCAACGAGTTCGAATTGGAATATTCAGAGTCGCGGAAGCTTGCTCGGGAACTTGGTCAGATTTCTTAAATCACGTCCACTCATGGACTGGAGAGTATTGGAGGGAGGCATTGAATTACTGGGGCAATTTGCTGTTAGTACCTGACCCACACAGACAGCGACGAATGAAATGGAAATTTGACAAGGTCAAAGTAAGCATATCTGTGATTTTGGGGAGCTTGGTGTGCACCTGATCTAGAGTATACCGTTAGGAATAAAGGAGCCGCATGCGGCCTCCTGCAGCTGCATTTGTGTACCTTTTTAATAACCCCCCCCCCACCCCCTTAAAAGACATGTTCTAGACACACTATTAATCCGGAGGGTATAGTACAAAAAGAGCCACACAACTGTTCTACTCCTTGTACTCGTTCCTGTATGGAGATTTTCAAAGCAGCCCCCAACTTTATGCATGCTTTAAAATTGCTTTTTGATCGAGTGGCACCTGAGAAGCATGTGTGAATTGAAGACATTGGTTCTAGCAAGCGCCAGGCGAGTTCACAGTTGCACCGCCTCCTGCTGAGGTAACCGTAGGAACGCATGCATAGAGGCGGCACTCAGCAGGGTATATTGCATTCCATACTCCTCAGCTCGTTGCAAATCTCCCTTTGGTTTTTCTCTCCGATTTGTACTCCGCACTTCGAGAGTATTAATACTAAGACGGCCGGTTTACGCTATTGTGTCAGTGGTACTTGTATAATCTCACATTCGGAAAGGTAGAGGATGCGAAACACTTCTAGGAATCCCTCAATATACGCAAGGCTGAGCGGCTGAGCCAACGTCAGCTTCCCATACGATGTTTTCTTCAACGGGGCTGTCAGCATTATCGAAGTCTGAGAATCAATGGCCTCAACCAGAGCTCTCCCTAGGTGCACCATATGGCTCACTGGATATATTGGCGAGATATAAGTTCTGGGAGGTCAAAAACAATAGCCCAGCGCACCAAGCATGGAGAGCGGTTTCGGAACAGATCATCAACTTGATTGAAGATCAATTTGAGGCTCTGGATGTACAAGAGACGGATCTAATGGTGGAGATGTTTATGAGAGCTGGAGAAGAGGCGGAACCTAGCCCTACAGTTCTTTTCCGAAGCCAAAGTAAAGTTGCACGCCAAAGAGCCATAAAGCTAGTACACGAAAGCTCACTTTTAGCTTCATATCCAGGGGTGATGATGGCTGATTGTTCAATGCTCCCAAGACCTTTAGTGATAGAAGAGGTATCGGGATTGCCAGCTTTACTACCTGGCGTGTACTCGTCTGATGCTTTGCGACACTGTGGTGCTTCTGTGATAATCTCCAGGGCCAAGCTGGGTCATTATCAAAAGCTACTCTTGGGGGTATATTATGCATAAGTGGTCTATTTTATGGCATGACGACTGCCCACGCTTGCTTAGATGCTCCAGGAAGAGATGTTGATTTGGAAGCAGAGAGCGACTTTGTTCTATATAGGAGCGAACTCGAGGTTGAAGCAGAAGAAGAGTGTCATGCTGTAGAAACAACATGTAAAGGCGAGTTATGCTTATTGTAAACTTAGAGGTATATACTAAACGATCTTAGGAAGTATGCTATCGAGCTCAAAGCTCTTTCAACCAGCAAGCCGGGTAAGCTAGCTAGGTGTCTCCCTATAGATATTATGCCTCTGGAGTTTGCATAGCGAGATCTTTCAATCTTGTTAAACTCTCTTTTAGTTAAAATCTCTTTCGCGATGTCTCAGAGAACCTAATTCTGCTACAAGGTAGAAATGCTGACTGGCAGAACAGAGGGTTAGCTCGACGGCTCAAGCTCCTTTGAGTCCTTTCAATTCAGCTACCAATGAGGATATTCCAGTATCTAGGAGCGCAGGTAAATGTAAGCAGCCCTACGCATCCATAATAAGGGATCAGTGAAACACCTGTGGCTGACATATTAAACAAAGGTTCACCCGGAGGCACTTCCTCGTCCAGCTCGGAACAAACTCTAGACAAGTCCGCTACGATTGGAGACCCAAACGATGGCATGCCTTCTAGACTGGGTACAGTGTTAACATCAGCTCCCGAAAGAGGTCTCGACTGGGCTCTGGTGGCGGTCGAGAATTCCAATCTAATGCGTGAGAACATATCTCTCAACAACCGCAGTAAGTCGATCGCCATTGGGATATCTCTACTTGCTCATACTAAAACCTTACTAGGATTTATGATAAATAGCGTATACTGTTCTAATCAAAGCCTGCATACAAGCGCTATTTATCCGAGACGTTTGGCGAGCGAGCCAGCCAACGTTGAAGTATTAATTTGCACAGGCAACAGGGACCACCCACTAGAAGGTCGACTTTCTGCATCACCTTCCTTTCAGAGAATATCGGGAAAGAACATATTTCAAGAACTGTGGATAGTAAAATGCATTGGTGGGACGTTTAGTAAGCCTTTTGAAAAACCCATCGCTTCTCACATATTCTGACTTTAATTTGGTAGGCGCTGGAGACGGGGGAGCATGGGTCGTTGGCTGTGAAACCGGCGATTTATATGGAGCTATCACCTCAGGTTACCCAGAGACTGACATAGCATACATTACTCCTGCGGTTGAGATATTCGAGGATATCGATACTTTCTTCGGGCAACAGGTCGAGTTCTCGACGCCTGAACAATGGGCTTCAAAAGGCAAGACTACCTCGAATACTGTTCCATTGACGATTCCTAGAAAAGCCGTGCAGAGGAAACGGGAACCACTCCAGTGGCCTCCTACTAGAGACGAAAGAGAAGAGTCAATGGTGCCCCAAAACACAACTTTAGTCCAAACCAATGTCACCGAGACAGTGCCAGTACAGTCTACTTTCAAGTTCGACCAAGGGGCAAAAAGCCTTGAGCCTTGGGTTCCTGAGCCAATACGCAAGGATTCATCATCCATGTCCCTAAATGAGGCATCTCCCACCGCCACTCCACCGTGGGCGCCAAACTTTTCCAGAAGCTCAATTTCCGAATCTTCAGCCCGCTCTACACCACCCCCGCTAGCAGTCCTCACTTCCTCCCAGACATCAACAGCCTCCGACAGCCTCCAGAACCCCTCTAGCGGATCCACCTACCAAAATCCTCCTTGTACGACCCTCTACATTCGTAATCTCCCTGCAAACCCCTCGGAAATCGCCCTACGTACCCTATTCTCCCCCTTGCCGGGATACAGAGGCCTGCGTATGAAACTTAGGGAACCAGAATGCTTCGTACAATTCACCGATGTAATTAGCGCCTCTAAAGCTCTACATCAAATGGACGACTACCGGTTTAATGCTAAGGATACGTGGGGGATTAGGGTGGGCTATGCGCGTAATGTGCCGAGATCTGGTGAAATTATTGTGACCATTGAGGAGGAAGGCTGCGTACTGCCTGAGGTATATGTACCACAGCCTGCATTGCAGATGGAACAGATGGAACAGTTGGATTTGGAAGCTGAAGTGCCAAGTCCGGCTACGAGTCGGAAGGGCAGGTTTGCACGGCTCCTTACACCTGGGATGTCGGCAGGTAGAAGAAAGGGCAGTGTTAGTTCGTTGTCGGAGGAAAGCTCCCGTAAGGGTAGTGTGCCGTCTGTGGCTACGATCGAGAAGGAGGAGAAGCAGGAGGAGAAGCGGAAGAAAAAGGAACAGAAAAAGAAAGAGAGGGAGAAAGAGAGGCAGGCGATGTCGCCGACTGATCATTATGTAAGATGGGGACCTTGATCTGGGATGAATATGCGGACGGTAGCAGACGAGACTTAGTCTGGTGTATAGGAGTGAAGTGCTTCTGCTAGGAGAGGTGGCAAAGTTCGGACCAATCATAGTGTAAGGACGGAGAAATGAGAGAACGAGCGGATCATATGTGAGTAAAGGTATGAATGTAACGAATATAGTATTTCTTCTGGACCTTTGGAAATTCCCTACAACGTATGTGTTATAAATCTTTAGGAGTTTAACAATCTTCACCTCTAAGCAATGTGCTCAAAATAATATTTGGTGAACAGGCAAAGGCAAAGCGAGGATCCCAGAGAGAAGAGGGTCGTTGATCTATGTACCCTACTCATATGAGGTAGTGCGGGACTGAGCTTTTCCCCCTTACGGCTTTGAATGCAGCTTTCAAGCTTCACGACGCAAGTTTCGCATACTAGTAGCTTTCAGGAAAGACTCCATGAAAAAATGGCTAGGAAGGATACTGCCAGAATCCACTCGTTTTGTCTTTGCTATCAGACGTGCCATCTCAAACATGGGGTTTGGTGTGGGGTTGTAGCCTTACCCATTTAAACCCATCGTGCCACTGGCCAAATTTGCGACTTCAATTGTGTGAAACTGGGCTGCAAAGACTTCCATGGCTATATATCAGACGGTGTAAAGGTAATAGAGGAGACGGCCGGCTCACTGCCTAACAAGTAAGAGCAACAGTCTCGCTAGTAGAAGTATACCGCTTTTGGGAATTTGACCAACAAACGCCCTTTCCATGGAATATAATAATAGGAATAGAGAATTGATTCGTCTGAATAATTTCGAGAGCATGAGACTGCTCATTGCCTGGGAAAATGTAGCCTCGCGGCCAAAATCCACCCCTCTATGTAACTCCATATAGAGATTCACCCCTTTAGGCACCACATCGTAGATCATCTATTGGAGCTTTCTGCTCATACATATGTTTTATCATTTACCTGAAATCGTAGTCTTAGGTGCCTCATGCTGGCAAGAAGCTTGGAGGAGGCAAGGCCTCAGGGCCGAAGGATACTGGAAGCAGCTTTGCATATGAATGAGTATGTGTTCAACCAGAGGACTAAACAGCAGACACTTACCTGCTCGAGCTTCATCACTACAAAAGCACCATCCTTATCGAACATGAAAATCGGCGTCTGCAGCTCGCAGAACTCCCGGATACTAAAACCATCAGTCAGTCTCCCTGACAAGGTAACGCAGCACAACGCAGCACACATCTCCATCTCCACCTCCATCTCCAAAAAGATAGCGCTCTCTCGTAGGCAGACACAGAAATCCACCTAAGCACAGGATTCGCAAACTCACAATTGCCTGCACATCCCACAAGGACTAGCCGGGGGGCTGATATCCGTCGCAACACCCACAGCCTTGAACTTCTTATGCCCCTCCGTGACCGCCTTCCCAAACGCCACGCGCTCCGCACACGTCCCTACAGGATACGCAGCATTCTCCACATTCGCGCCATCGATGAATGCGCCGTCCTCAGTCAGGATCGAGGCCCCGACGCGGAAGCGCGAGTACGGGCAATAGGCGGTGGCCTTTGCAGCGGCGCTGCGGGCGTGCAGCGCCTCGAATTGGAGGGTGGTGAGGGAGTAGGTTGAGCAGGCGGAGGAGACGTCGGTGGGGTTGGAGGACTGGAGTGTGAGGACTGTAGTTGACATCTTGAATGAATGTGGTCCGTGTGTGAGGATGAGGGGGAGGGGTGCTGTACTTGGGGCGGGGCGCAAGATCATTTATACTTGTATAGGTTCCATATTTCTTTGCGCTTGCTTCGGGGGAGCCCGAAGCTGTTGGAATCATCCGCGATTATATGGAAGGCACGAATGATCACTAGCCACGATTGGAAGGCAGGCTCTACTAGCTGTTTCCACTTGGAAGTTATATTTACTTAAGCATCTATCTTAATGGTTGCAAGATGTTTTACAAGCTTAGCCAACTGATTGTTCCACAAGCTTCATTTTAGTAACAAATGCGTACCAAATCAATCATGAAGTATCTCTTGCTACAGTACAGTAATTATATAAAAAAAGAAAGTATATTTTTGGCTATATTGGAACCGTCAAAGGATTCATCACGCTGGCACCCCCATCAACCACCATGTTGGCTCCTGTTATATAGCTACTGAATCCACTTGCCAGGAAACCAGCTACACGTCCTACTTCGATTGGAAGACCTGATCGCTCCAATCCGATGTGATTTTGCTGACTCTGCGATTGTGTCAGATGACGGGACAGAAGTTGCCATGGGGAAATGGAGACAAACCTCTTTGGATTGCAAGCTTGCTGGGGGAAATTGGGATGTCATGCCCCGCACATCAAACTACTCTTCAATTATTTCATGTAAACCTTCATCATACCGGTTGAAAGACATACCCCTTGCAAGTCCACACCAACATCAATCTGACCAGGAGATATGCAGTTGATTCTGACTCCACTCCCTTTCAAAACAGCTACTCCAGCTCTTACAACGCCAAGCGCAGCATGCGAAGCCATGGTATAAGCCAGCCCCCAGCAGCCACCATACAAGCTTGCCACAGAGCTGACCACAACAATACTACCATACTTCTGATCCTTGGGCGCGGCATTCGGGTACGCTTGCTTCGGGGTCGTCTTCGCCATTGCAGGAGGGGCATATTTCAGGGCGAAGAACGGTGCCATGGAGTTCGCCTCGAAGCATTTTTGTAGATCCGCTGGTGTTGTGGCCTCTAGTGAAGAAGGGCCGAGTAGACCTGAAGAGCAGACCCAGACGTCGAGCCTACCCCATGAGTTCAGGACATCATCGATTAGACCGAGGGTTTCCTCCTCGGCGGCGACGTTGAAAGGGTAGCCGATTACTTTGGTGTTGGGGTGTTCCCTTGCTATGGACTCGATTAGGGCGGGGTAGTCGGCGCTCGTCCCTTTGTCGCAGGCTGTGAGGAATTAGAATTGGAGGACAGGACGAGCAGGGCATTTTATTATACCGTAGATACAAGCAGCGCCGTGAGCTATTGGGGGTCAGCGTAGTTTATACATGTCATGGGAAGCATATTGTCTATCCATAGCAACCTTTGTTGAATGGTTGAGGCATTGGACAAAGCAAGTCGACTCACAAGCTAATTCCTTGACGATAGCTTGCCCTACAGGTTGCTGAGCACCTGTTACAACACACACGAAGCCATCTACTCTTTATCAACCCGGAAAACTTTCAATCTTCCACATTTAAACCTACAAAGCTTCCCATCCGGACGGTAAGGGCTAAAATGCTCCGTACCCATATCAGACATATTGACAAGAGAAAGAAGAATTATGATGATATGAAACAAAGATGTTGTTAATATTCTATAGAATAACTACTGTAGCTGGACAAGACTGTAATAGAGAATTTGTACTTGAACCTGAATCGTATACATGATAGGATTGCCAATGAGATAAGGTCTGCCCCACGCGCGGAGATATGTAGTAGTAATAGGAGTCGTACTAAGCTCGAGATTTAATCTATATGTTGCTATTGGCCGTTCCGTTGGTTATAGTTTCTTTTGGCGTTCAATTCGTATGAGGTGGTGAAAGCTTCTCCGAGGATAGACTGAGGTGCTGTGGACGCGAGGAGCATAGTAGACTTTACAAATAACAAATTTTGAACGAAAATTAATAGCGACGAGAGATACCAGTACTGTATACAAGCATTTCCTCTTTAAAATATCCAAGCAGGTAAGTTTTGCCTCGCTAGGTATTAAAATCGAAATTAAATCTGGAGCGGCTCGCTCAATTGCGGTCTCAGCTTCGCAACGTCATTGACCGAAGGGTGCTTTGAAATATTCCGAAATATAACATAACATTACTTTACATCTCTCATCACAAACTCGGTTTCCATGTATTCGTAGTCGAATCCCCTTCTTCGTTCCCACAAGCACTCCTACTCATCATCATGCGTTCTTCAATCTTAAAGCGAAACCAACAAGTGCTGCGCATCTGCGAAATACCCCCACGTCGCAGCTTTGCCACAAATTCTTCAAGAAACCCGCCACCTCCTCCACCACTCTGCCAGTCCTGCAGTAGAAGGTTATCCCGGCCAGAGGCTCAATCCGCACCTCAACGGCGCTGGCAAAGCTCTTCCACGATTTCAAAAGAAGCTCCGTTCGAGACCTCAGCACCAATTCCCCAAACCCACTACGAATTCTTCCCTCAAACCATTCCCCAAGGCCCTCCACCAACAGGCCCCTTCCACATCGACCCCCGGACCCTTCGCAAAGAATTCCTACAGTTACAAGCTGTAGCGCACCCTGATCGCCATGCGTCACATCTCAAGACACGAGCAGAAGCTACGTCGGCGCGCATCAATGAGGCCTATAAGACGCTACAGAATCCTTTACTACGAGCACAATACCTGCTGAGTCTACGAGGCATAGATGTAGCGGAGGACGAAACAGCTAAGATGGATGATCCGGAGTTGTTGATGGAGGTGTTGGATACGAGAGAAGAGATTGAGGAGGCAGAAGAAGAGGGGGATCTTGAAGGCCTGAAGAAGGTCAATGATGAAAGAATTACTGCGAGTGAAAAGGTCCTCGATAGCGCGTTCAAGGAAGATGATATGGAGGGTGCCAAGGGAGAGGCTGTTAGGTTGAGGTATTGGGTTAATATTAAAGAGAGTTTGGATGCGTGGGAGAAGGGGAAGCCGGTTGTGCTTGTGCACTAGGGCTTGGAAAAGAAAGGGAATATCAAAGAAATAATGATGCTTTTCAACGATAGAGACGCACTGAGCAAAGAATGGTTTGGGACTAGAGATTTTTGTTATATCGTTGTAGGACTATTATATAGATGAAAGATGAAAGATACCCAAGTTGTACAGTGGCAATCTAGTACGTTTTCCCTTCTAGTGAAGCTTTGGTTGGAGATGTTAGAGTATATAGATAATACACTGTATGTCTGTATACCTTTAGAGGACTTACGTCAGGGACTTAGAAACTGAGGGGGTTCAGACAAGGCTGAGCGATGAGGCTGACAGATTTATATTACTACCGGTATCACTACCCGTAGTGTGACACTGAGGAACAGGGGTAAGAATGACGGGATGGTTTCGGTCTTCTTTTTCTTGACGGAAACTCTTCAGTTCAAATTTGCATCGAGAAAGATAATTCTTCCAAGTATCTCACACTCTATATTCACCTCACATTACATTGTTTGAACCGTTACCCCTGGAAGTGGACGCAATAAAATGGCTGTTCTAATCTTATAGATTTTCTACAACTCATCCGCGAGCCCGCCCAGGGCTTCGCTTTACTCTCCTAGAATCCAGGATGTCGTCTTCTTTGCGCCGCATCGCTGTTGCAGCATCTAGAAATACTCCATTACATATCACCAGTGTCACTGCCAGCCGCTTAGAAGCAGCGAGCTTCACAACCCTCTCCCGACGGCGGCAGTCTCCTCTTACAAGTCGTCACATCTCCAGTTCTTCCCAACTACCTCACCACCCACCAAGTTCGAGAGCATTTCACACACCCCGAACCCTTCAGTCAAAATTCACCTACGGAATTGCGGCATCCTTCACAGCTAAAGATCGCCGCTACAACCCAGAAACGAATGTTTTCAATTTCAACCCTCACAACCCCATCCGCGCGCGACGAAAAGACAAGTCTACGCGGCCAGGTAGTGGGCAGGATGCCTTCTTCGTCAGCCATGTGGGGGATAGCGCGGACACTGCATTTGGGATCGCAGATGGGGTTGGAGGATGGGTAGATTCCGGCGTGGACCCAGCGGATTTCGCTCACGGGTTCTGCGATTACATGGCTCACGCGGCATACACATACAAGCCAGGGGAATGGGATCCGCCGATAGGTGCTAGGAGTCTTATGCAAAGAGGCTACGAGAGTATATGCAAGGATCCTTCAGTTCCGGCTGGGGGGAGTACGGCTTGTGTGGCTATTGCAAAGGAGAGTGGGAGTCTTGAGGTTGCGAATCTAGGAGACTCGGGGTTCGTGCAGTTGAGGCTTAATGCAGTACATAATTATTCGGAGCCTCAGACGCATGCTTTTAATACGCCATATCAGTTATCCGTTGTTCCGCCCAAGATTCTTGCCCAGGCGGCTGCTTTTGGAGGAACGCAGCTTTGCGATATGCCCAAGGATGCTCATGTCTCGCAGCACTCGTTACGGCATGGCGACGTGTTGGTGTTTGCCAGCGATGGAGTGTGGGACAATCTATCGAGTCAATCGATTCTGAAGATCGTGTCGAAAATAATGGTTGGAGCCAGGGCTTGGGTACATACCGAGAAGGGAATAATAGTCGGAGACGGTTTGCACAATTTTATCATCGCTGATGATGGGACGAGCGGGGCTAAAGAGATCCCAAGTCTGCAGAGCTTCGTGGCTGTAGGCATCACGCATGAAGCCAAAGCGGCCAGTGTCAACACGAAGCTGGATGGGCCATTCGCCAAGGAAGTCCAGAGAGAGTACCCGCACGAGAACTGGCATGGTGGGAAGGTAGATGACATCTGCGTCGTGGTAGCAATTGTGTGCGAAGAAGAAAAGTAGGCTTAGATTCCCCTGATGGTTGGATATTTGACGTTGTATTTGTACCGTCTTTATCAAGACCTGCTGGCTAGACAGGCTTGCTTGTATCAAAAGGGATGGCTCCTGATAGATCGCGAGGCTTCAATGGCAAATGATATAGAAGGCAATATAATTTGTATGTTCGAGGTATTGGATAATAAAGTCATTGACAGCCTTGATTGGAAAGAGGGAGAAGCAGAATATGCTATATAGACGGTAGTTACAACTGTTTATCCGATAGACTTTCCATTTTCAAAAGTATATTAGTTTCCTCTATGTACCTTGAACAAAGCAACTTTTCCTTTTACAGGATGCAATGCAACTACAGTACCGTGCGGCACAGCGCTGCACTGCTTCAGCCCCTTTACGGAATAAGTTACCACCCCAGATATTCAAGCGCCACCAGATACAAGCGAACCAAACAGCGACGCGACGTCTAAAATGAGGGCATCGGAAAGGAAAAAGGGGCAAGGGGGTTACAGTACAGCCATGCTAACAAGCCAAACCGGCCTGTAGGCGGCGATTGTGGCGGTTGAGATCGTCAGAATGTACGTACGGATTCACCTGAAGTTATTCTGACTCGAATATGCGCATGCGCATCCCAAAGCCAAAGCCATGAGGCTGCTGCAGACATAGACGCTATGTTGCTAAGGGTTAACACCCGCTACCGGCGACGCTGGCAATGGCTACTCAAGTCAAGCCGTCAATACTGGAGAGAAATTACCCTTGCCATAGCATCACTCTGGCTCCTCGCGCTTTGCAATGAGCAGAAGCACCCATTCACGTCCCAGCCTCACGCCGTCACGTCCGCAGACATATCCTTCGAAACGACCCTTCACCCAAACCTTTCCAAAGATACTCAACACCATGGCTTCCTGCCACTCGAACAGGCACACGCCTTCTGCCAGCAGCAGAACTGGCAGCCCTACCCCCATCGTACACACCGCCGCAAGGTATACGACCTCTTCATGCTGAACGACGAACTGGACTGGCTCGAGATCCGCTTGAACACGCTCTCCTCAACCGTCGACTACTTTGTCATTGTCGAATCACCCCTTACGTTTACGGGCCATCTGAAGCCCCTCACGCTGAAGGACAACTGGGCGCGTTTCGAGAAATTCCATACGCAGATGATATACAGGGAGCTTCAAAATCCCCCGCCCAACGCCCAGCGCACGTGGGACTTGGAGGATCACCAGCGTAACGCGATGTTTCTCCAGGTTGTGCCGTATCTACAAGGCGAGCAGCAGGCGAATATAGGCGACGTGTTGTTAGTCTCTGATGTGGATGAGATTGTTCGACCAGCTACCCTGGCCCTCCTACGGAATTGTGCGTTCCAGCCGAGACTCACGCTCAGAAGCCAATTCTACTACTATGGCTTTCAGTGGCTGCATAGGGGACCTCAGTGGGCGCATGGCCAAGCTACTATTTACAAGGGAGAGGGAACGATTTTACCGGTTGATCTGAGAAATGGCGAAGGTGGTAATATAGTTAAGACCTGGTGGGATAAGGCCGATCTCTGGAACGCGGGGTGGCACTGTAGTACATGCTTTGAAACGATCGACGAGGTCTTGAACAAGATGAATAGCTTCTCTCACATGTCCTTGAACAAAGAGGAATTTAGGGATCCGAAGGGGATTTCAGACAGGGTACGGCAGGGCTTGGATTTGTGGGATCGAGAGGGAGAGATTTATGACCGGATTGAGGGAAATGAGGATGTCCCCGAGTTTTTAAAGAGTGATAGGGAGAGGTTTCGCTATCTTTTGGATCGGGATGGACCGAATGCTGGATTCAAGGACAAGGCCTAATCCAACCGCGCCCGGTCTAAAGGCAACACAAAAGAAACCACAGTTATGGCAGCCAGGGATGACAGAAACAAATTATCAGCCAGAGTAGCCAGGCATCAACAACAAGTCAAGCTCACCCAGTTGTACCACTTGGGCATGAACCAACCACACACAACAGACCATGACAGGGCTTTCCAGCGAAAATGAGGAGCAAAAAGCAGGACGACAGTCAAACGCTATGATACGCGTAAGATCATGGTGGATTGGAACATCCACATACAAATAAATCTAGCCAAATATCGCAAAAGATGAGGTCCCCACCTGTCTATCTCTTGATAGACCATTCATGCCCATGGACTTTTATAGCGAGCTAAGTATATATGGAGGCCACTTGAGCAATATGTATTTCTACAAATCACATTCAACTCGCAATGTCAGTTAGTTCCATCTCTCCTCATAACTATATCTTCCTCGAGATGGACAGACAGAGAAAGCGGCATCAATTTATCATGTACTAGGGGAAATGGAATTATAAGTATCGTCTTTATATCCAGTACAACTTTTCTTTTATCATAGCCTTGCTTGTCTTGGTTCTTTGAACCCCTATTATACTATTTTCGATGAATCCCCACTAGTTTATCCGCTCCGCCGTCCAGCCCATTTACAAATAGCACACCATAATGGAATCCTGACAACAAAACCTTTCTTTTCTTTTCTTCCAATTATTCTACTACCCACAATTTCTCTTCCTTTTTGGATCTGCTTCTTTTCATGCGTGCGCCTTGCGTGTATTTGTCCCTCTTTGGATATAGAAGCACCGGAGGAAAATGTCAAAAGGTACGCAGACGCTTGGACTGCCATCACGATTACATCCGCGGCCTATTCATTACGGCGTTGAGCTTGAGTTTGTGTTTGCTTTTAGACAAGACGAGCTGCAGCTAGGTTATACGGATGGGGTTGAGGATACACTTAGGAAGAATTTGAGATATTTTGAGAGGGAGGTATATCCTAAGTTCACGCGGATTGATCCTAGGGCTTTGCCGGTAGGGCTATTTTATACTGAACTGCGACTTTGGGCTCTTACTAAACTACTTCAGTTTTTACTATGCTGATTTGTTGCGATAGGACCACCCTTATAACAGCTGGGCAATATTAGAAAGCGGTGATCCCAACAAAGTGCGACCAGTACGTATCATCTTCTCTACAACCGTCCAAATTAAAACCCCATATTACATACTTGTACACCGCTCTGCTGGTGGTAGTTGACTACCACTTTAGCCATTCTCAATTTATATTCGTTTCTGTTCATTATCATACATGCTTGCTTAGAGTTGTTGTATTGACTGCACAATCGCATGCCTTCTCGTCGGATCTCTGCTAATTTATCAACAGTACAGGCTAGAGCCACAGATGATAGTGAAGAGAAACCTGGCCGAGAAGCTTCCCAATCTGCATACCTTGGTTCGTGGGACTCTCTCCAGAGAAGATAAAGCTTTGACATTGTCAGAGGGATACAAAAAGTGGATCATCACCGTGGACCATACAGTGTGTGGTCGTGGAGCTGACATAGACACTTGGCTACCAGAAAAGGTAATTGACCCCACCGAGTGGGACTCATATGGTATCGAGCTGGCGTCCCGGGTCCTCAACACCGGAGAGCCAGCCGATAGAGATGAGATTGAGGCTATCATCGACGTCGTGAAAGGCACGCAAATCAGCAACCATAACGCGTTTGTCACGAATCAGTGTGGCCTGCACGTTCACATCGAAGCACCCAAGGACCTAATTGTCTCAAAAGAGCTTGCCCTTCTACTTATTGTGTATGAAGAAGAAATCAGCAAATTGCACCCTCCATGTCGTCGGCACGGACATCCTGCCACAACAAGAAGTCTGAACAGTAATCGACTAGGCTTCCTTTACGACGAAAACACGTCTACACGGCATCTTATTAAAATCGATTGCTCGACACACACCCTGCGTCACACCCAAAGTGTAATCCTGCGTGGAGCGAAAAACAGACTCGCAGAGATCAGGCAAAAGATTAACAATTGTGAGGACGCATCCGCGTTATCCAGATTAATGTGCTGGCCGGCAGATGACAGGCCGGGGCATGAACATGGAGACCGCAATAGATTCGTCAACTTTACCCATTTATGCCAAGGCGGTGGATACGCGCAGACCATTGAATTCCGCCAGGCGAGGGGAACGCTCGTAGCGGAAGAAATCCACCACTGGGTTGATTTCTGTGTTGCTCTAGTCCGGCTGGCAGAATTCCATGCCGGAAACCCGGGGCACTTCCCTATTGATAGCTTTGAAAGCTATAGCAAGGATGGGGAAGCCCCTGTGCATAATCCTGTTAACATCAATAGACTGATTGAGGCGATGGGGTTGAGTGATGAGGCTAGAGACTTTTGGCGGGATAAGAGTTTGCGATATGCGTTTTGTGAGAAGGGAGGTAAAGATGACAGGACTGATAATGAGGATCCGCCTCGGGATGATACGTTGACTGACGATGAAGATGCGGGGGAGGGCGAGGATGGAGGGGGGTGCAGATGGAGGTGACGAAGGGAATGGGGAAACCGACACCCTACCTAGCAATAATAAGCAGAATAACAGCGAAGACGAAAATTCTGTCCGAAACGGCCTTACGCTAAAGGTAGCAGCAAATACAACACCGATTAATCATTACATTGGCGAATATGTTGATACCATTATAAAAAAAGTCTGACCCCGAGCCTAGCCTATGGAAAGAGCTCTCGAAAAAATTTATGTCTGGAGTTTAGGAGGGATACTAGTTAGATTATCAAGGGCCTTCGAGTAAGTACTTTGGCGCAGATGAGAAGACTGCATATTAGCAGCGTTGTGGCTGGACACATCAAGGATTGCTTTATCCTCTTATTCTAAACGTTCATATCATAATCTTCCATCCGCGATTCGGCTTTATGCAAACTAGCCAGGCAAGACGGGAAACAAAGGACGTTAGTCAGATAGGTTTGCATAGGAACACGTTGACCTTTTCAATTAATTGTATTATTAGAACTTAACATTGAACAGGCCTAAACTTAGGAGTATGCATTTGCGAATCGTTTCCATCTGCGGCATAATCTTGTGCGTCATTAATCCTTCTACATCGTGCCTCCATCGCGTATCATATGTGTCCTGCCAATTTCGGATAATGGTCCAGCATCATTTGTCGGGTATCCTATTTCCTATCCCCAACTCCCAATTTCACAATCCAAAAACCCATAAATTCCAATTCGAACCAACCCCCCGTTCCCCGATTGTTCTCTCTCACTAGCCCCTTTGACATGGAGCATCAAAGCTTTGGTTTTCCACAGTCTGGCTCCTTAGACGGACCGTCGTTCATGCAGAGGGGCGCAATCCATTTAGCTATGTCCTGTGCTTCTCTCTTATTCCTGGCTTTTGTATCATTCGGTGAGTCAACAGACTTCCTGTTAGCTGCCTCCAGAAAGTTGCGCCCGTTCTTTGCCCACCAATTCTCCGTACGCCCAGAGCTTTCTCGCGTGCCACCCTCAGATACAGAGGACCGCATAGGCTTGTTCTCTGGCTCTATTGCATCCTCCTTTGGCTTCCGGGAACAAGGCTTGTAGAGATCCAAAAGCCTCAAAGAAATCTCGGTCTTGAGTTTGAAGAGGCGATGGTCTTTGGACATGGCATCCACCTTTTCGAGGATTGCCGACACTTTTTCCCTCAATTTGTCGGCGTGCAACTTCTGCTCTCTTTCACAAAAGTCCGAGACGTTCCTTAGCTGCGCGTATGTTCTGTTGCCTATCACGTTTCTTTTCATCCTCGCAATACCACCTGGGAGTGGATCCACTCTAATATCATCCCACACATCATGCCCTTTCAGCATCCTGCGCGTGATCCTGCCACTTCCAAGCGCCAAACGAAAAACCCTGGAGAATCTTGTGATGAGGTTCTTGAACATGTCATTCTGCATGAACTGGCCGACGAAATGGACCTCATATCTGTATTTGACAGAGACGAACTTCGATGGATCATTCCGGCTTTGGTGTAGCTGGTCCGCTGCCATTCCTTGCGCCAGGGCGAGTCGAAGATATGCGGCTGTTGTTGCGGGGTCGATGTTCTTGGGGGGTCCGAGGTTGTAACTCCATCTGCTATCCTCTATGAGGTTCTTCATATACAGCTCATATTGCTTGTTGATGAGGCCGCGTACTTTCTTCACCGCTGGCATTAAGACATCTCTGAATTCCTGCTCGGCTTTGCGGACCGCAGCGAGTCTTTCTAGGGCGGTCTGGTGGTTTTGGAACGCATTAAGGAATCTCTGATTCGCAAAATCGGCAGGCGTGGGTCCATACACAATGGTGTCTTCTTCTTCTTCTTCTTCTTCTTCTTCCGCAATGGTGTCCATCATGCCACAGGCAGATTCAAGATAGTGTGGGCGTTGATACGTGTGTTTAGTACGAAGGGGATACGGGAGTTTGTGTTCTTGCATGAACTCATCGAACCGCTGATTGCATTTCAAGATATTCTCCTTTTGGATCCTCTTTTCCCAAGGAGCAGAAGTTTTCTCTTTGCGGCTGAAGTACTTTTCCCGCCTATACTGCATATCGTCCTGAGCATCGTCTCGCTCTCGCTTCTCCTCCTCGAAGTCCCGAGCCAGCGTATGCGGTAGGAAACCCGCCTCGCAGACTACTCCGTTGGGTGTGGTAACCCAGATCAACGGGATGGGAGACTCGTGTGCGGCGGCTTTTTCTTTGCTTGTAGTGCTTGCATTGTTGAAGGCGAGACTATGAGTCTGCAAGGGTACTGTGGAAGTTGGCGTGGTGGTCTGCGAGTAACTGTATTAAAGAAGATATAACGAGCTGTCTTGAGCCCGTCTCTCTCCTGCCCTTTCCCCATTTTGGCCTTCTTCTCCACGACGCCGTTGAGATATTCTCCGAATTCCGGTAATGTCCAGGGGATTGCAACTGCACGCTCAACAGAGGGTGGTGTCGCTGGTCGGTCTGAATTGCTGCCCGTGTGCTCACAGTCTGGCGATAGTCTACCATCTGATGGTGGTGGTGTTGGAACGCCGCGGTAGTTGTACAAGTTGTTGAAATCATCTTCTTCTGAATCTTCGTCCGAATCCTCGTCTGAATCCCCATCTGAATCCTCGTCTGAATCCTCGTCTGAATCTTCGTCGGAAGAGTCATCGACATTCTGCGCCGTGCAGTATTCGAAATTTCCACGAATTTGCGGGTTGCTGAATTCATCAGAATCTACGTCAGAATCAGAATCTTCGTCGGAGGAGTCCCCGTCAGCACCTATCGTATAGCATTCGACACTGCCACAGACATGCTGGACTTTCTCTGTGTTGTTGGTTCCAGTGGTTTCGACACGTGAATAGCATCCTTTGGCTTTCAAGCTGGCCTTTTCATTTTCAGCCTGCTTCTTGCATTCAGTGGCAGCTTCAAGCTCAGTGCCGGTCTTGTCACATCCCCTCGCGGCAATCTCCATTTGTTCCGTGATGGTCTTCCACATCTCCAGGCCCAAACCACGGAACTTCAATTCGTCCGCGAGCAGCTCATCAGCTCTTTTGCTGAGGTGATTCATCCCATCACCATACTTCTGGCTTTTCATTGCCAGAACTTCATCGTACCATCGGTCCAAGGTGGAAAAGCATCCCTCGTGGGTGTTTGATTGAGCTTGCTCTTCGAATTCGCGGCATGCATCAATCGAGCAAATCGTGGAGAATCCCATCGGAGTTGGGACCGTCTTTTTCAAGTGACGGACATAGGTATCCGAGATGTTCATGCTGGGACAGAGATAGGCGTCTGTCAAGCGCTCCTTGTGGATTGGGTTCCTAAGAACTTTCAGATGAGCCGTGGGTGATGAAACATTCTTCCAGGCAGGGATATCGAATTTCTTCAGAGTGGGTGGTCCGCTTGGCGATTGAGATTTTGGGTGTAATGATGATTGCTTGACGACAGGCGTTGCCTCGTCCTGCTTGATGATGATGATGGAAGTCATGGTGACGGCTTTTGTCAATGAAGTTTGCTGTGGATGACTTTCTGGTGACACCGGTATGAATTGTGTTGAGTTTGGTTGGTTGATGTACGGGGCCAAAGCGAGGAGTATGAATTTTTTGTCAATGATATTGCGTCTCTCTTGGTAAATTGTCTCTAATCTGTGATTTCAGAGCGAAGACAACGACAATGCCAAGCTTGAAAGCCCGACTTGCGTGGTCGTATTGGAAGTGAGTGAGTATCTTCAGATCTTGTGGTGTCTTGAAAGTCCAATATAAATGAACGATTGCCAAAAAGAAAGTGAACTGATTGAAGAAATTTTTTTGTGTGCGATGTTAAAGAAGGATGATTTTTTTTTTTTTTTTGGTAATCTGGGGAAAGGGTTTCTTTTCATGCCCTGATCAGTGTCATAGACTAGGTGCTCAAAACCAGGGGAACTGTATATTCGGTTCTGCCTTTCCCTAACCCGGCATCACTACCAGGAACTCCGAACCAGAAGAACTGTACACTTGGGTCCTGCCTTTCCCCAATTCGGCTGGATCCATAGCTGCAACGAACGATAAGTGGAAACTGAACATATTACAACTGGGACCTAAACCCATTAATGAGAATCGCAGCTCAGATAAATCCACTAAAACATATAGCAAGTGTAGTTTCATAATAGGATGGCCTGACTACAAGACCAGCCCTACCAGGCGAAATGGAAATAAAGCTATTCAAGCTAAGAAAATCGAGCTTGCGCTATTCCTTCACAGCTTAGTTCCTGAAAACATATGGCACTTGCAGCTTTGTGACGGATGGCCTAACTGTATTACCGGCCCTACCAGGCAAATCGGAACTATAGTAAAGCTGACCTCTCCATTCAAGGTAAGAAGAGTGAACTGGCGCTAAGCTTTGACAGCTTGGTCTCTGAAACTAGATACGCATGGAACTGGTAGACTTTCCTCAGTTCTGATTAACCTATACTTACTAGCAAAAGTGTAACTCGAGTGTTCTGGGAAATGTGGTGAGGGTTCCTACGCTTTAGTTTTCTCCCCAGGCTAACTTTAGCCTGGTGCCTGTATTCCACACCACACCATCCAAGCAGTTTGACAATGACAGAATATGGCAGAAAAACGGACAGAATAAAAATCAAAATCCGCACATGCAACCAATGTATTCCAGGCAATTGACTTAATTTTGGGATTCTTCTAATCTTCCATTTAATCTCTTAGATCCAAGCTTTCCGACATGAAGTGCAGTGCTTGAGCGTGCGGTGATGCACGCGCTTGGTGTTTAGCCGCGGAGTCTACCCAGGTAGCAGCTCATATGACAGAAATGTTGGGGTTTATCCAGATCCAGTAGCGTGATCTCATAACTAATGTCGACGATGCTCAATTTAGTTGGCTTTCTTTCTCTCACCCGATCTCTCCCACTACACTTTCCCCTGGTTATGACTCAGTGCTGGTGGTCTAGTCAAGCTGTTCATGACCCGCCTTGTAGACATCTGGTAGTTCGTTAGCAGGTGATCTATTTTGGATCAAAGAGTTTGTCCGCGCCAGTCCTCGATGAGACTGGCCAAGTAGCTCACCCAAGATAGTCCTCCCTGATACTGGCGATGGCATACATGCCTCCGACTTCAGCTCTTGTACCAATCAGTTTTACTCGCACGTGCGTCCCAACCTCAATAACCGAGTCTTCGTTATTGGTGAACTGGGGAGGAGTAGCATTGGGATCAAACTTGATGTCGGTAGGTATCAACTAGCTCGAGTATCAGCGTGGGTTGGCTCTACAATCAAATCGCATATACTCACGTGAGAAGAGACGAAGAGAGGGAGAGGACCAGCATCGGCGAAAAAGCCAACGGCGTTCACAGACGTCACGATAGCATCAACCTGCGCGAAATGAGCCAACTAGAAAAGAAAGGATTCCTCAGCAGTCTCACGGTCTCGCCCTTGAAAGGTCTCCAAACCACAGCACGGTAGTGTACCGTGAACTCAGCCAAACCGCTCCCTGGTAGTATACGCCCTTCCGAAATATCGACCGTGTCCATTATAGTGATTATGAAGTAGCGACCTGTGCATGTTCCTTCCACATCCTTCAAGAGCTTCCCTGTAACCAACTCGTGCATATTCCGGCCAAAGTATGAGGGGTGCAATGTGACCTGGTGGGTCAAGCTGAGGACGAAGAACATGGTGGGCGATGGCGAGCGAGAAGATGCGCGGGTATAATGAGCTTTGATTTGGGATTATATTTGTTATGCGACTCGAAAGCCGAGACTTGCCCTTTGCGGCGAGCTTGAGGCAATCAAGAGCGAGTTCGTGTTTAGTCGCGAGTGAATTGCTATAGGTAGGTATTCGGGCGCTGCTCTTCTACCACAACACGCCCTTCGACACCCGTCGATGTGTTCCCCTAGATGGTGTCGACCCCCTTAAGTTCGTAGATATGATGCGCCTGACACCCGAGGGATTCTGCAGTCATCAGTCCCAAATGTAGCAATGCGCCGAGTTTAGCAAAAGTTGAACATACAGTGCAGCGGCTTCTGGCTCAAATGAATGACAGCGCAAAGACCGAACACTCTGGCAACTACTCTGGAGATAAGTACCGTCACAGAGTGCGCGCGGAGGAAGTCGATGCTGGTGTTGAGTCGAGTCTAGGGCAAGGACTGGGGGAAAGGGAGAGAGGTTGAAGGTCTGCGACGCGGCAGGAATTCAAAGTGTTTTTCAATATTGGTGATGACCCCAACGCATAGCAGGTGTAAGTTCTGTCACTAAGAACGGCCTTTACCCCACCCACCCATGACCGACCCGACGGAGGCAGCGGAGGAATGCAGACGCCATGGCCAACGACAGGTAGAGGCAGAACAGACAGGACAGGCATACTTGTATCATATGATGGAAATGCGAATACTACGTCTACGTCTGCGTCACTCTATCATTTGATGAGAAAACACGATACCATCACCTCATCTCACTTCACCTCACTGATTTTATTTTACTGGCAACCTCAAAGCTCAATTCCAACTTCAACATTGAACCTTCCTTCCCTCTCCTCTCCACTCCTCTCCACTCCTCGCTCACCGTCAGTGATGGTCCTGCGGCAAGTACGAAAACGCTGATCGATTTACTTACTGCCTCCCTCAGCTATCTGCAATATCCTCTATAAGAAAACAATCCGCTCTCAATCAACCTCCTCAGCATGTCTCTGAATCTAGAAAAGCAACTATGCTTCGTCGGTTACCCCAATCCCCTGAGAATGCTCTTTCAAGCTGAACCTGTCCAAGTATGGCGCCTACCACCACAATGCCGTCAACATCGGCATACATATGACCTTCGTTCCCATGATTCTCGCTGCCAGCTTACTACTTGTATATCCATCCCGAGTCTCCCGACCCCAATGCCAGAGATAAAGCGCTGACAGCTCATTCCAGGCCACAAATAGCCCCATCTTAATCCCCCTTCCATCTTGGTTAAGCATCCCAAATCTTCCTCTCAACGCTGGCACACTGGCTGCAATAGGCTACAGCGCCTTCTACATCCTACTTGAACCAGTCGCTGGATCTATCCTTCTACCAATGATTATCGGCTGGACAGCGTTTGCAAACTACCTTACGAGCACCTATACGGCGAGCGCGAATACGGTCGGTATTTCCGTCGAGATTTGTGCCTGGGTCGCCCAATTTATTGGACACGGGGTTTACGAGCACCGTGCCCCGGCGCTGCTAGACAACTTGGTGCAAGCACTTGTCCTGGCTCCTTTTTTCGTCTTCATGGAGGGCTTGTTCAAGTTTGGGTACAGACCTGAGTTGCAGAAGAGAGTGAACGAGGCGGTGGAAAAAGAGATCAAGAAATTTGAAGCAGGAAAGCCAAATGGGGCTGCTGCGAAGAATGGAAAGGCGAATTGAGGAACCAAGAATATGGAGAGAGAGGGACAAACCGCAAGACAGCACACAGAGGGAAATACAACAGTTTGACTGGCTGGGGGGACGGACCAAATTTTGGATCAAGGAGTCCTAGAGGGCAGAGGCAGTGGCAGGGGCTAGATACGAGCGGAGTTTCCCATCCGCCCATCAGAGGAGTCGGAGAAAGGTGCGAGGTGTCACAAGCTCCTTTTCATTTCACCTGTAGAAAATTGTCCCTATGAGCGTTACGAATGCCAATATTGATTTTATTTTCACATTTTCAAGGGGTTCAGCGTTACACAAGTTCGCTGTTGCAATATTTCATGGAATTTACACAGACACCAGCTCTTCATTTGGTTTTTGAATTTGTACAAAATTGTTATTTTCATTGTAAAGTAACTTCTCACAGTGCTACTGGCAAGGTGGAGCACTTCCGATTCGCCAGTAGCTTGTATCTTCGAATGCAACGCTCAAGAAAATGCTCAAAATACCGCTATTATGAAATTCTCTTGTTCTTGCGAACATCTTACCTTTCTCTTGGGTCCTGCCCTATTCTCCACCCTCAGATTCTCAATTCCCCCAGTACCGAATAGCATTTTCGAGCTGTTCGTCCACCGTATCAACTCTCAGCTCTCCATGCTGGTTTCGCTTGATGAACATTCTTTCCGGAGACACGGTCATCGGCGAGACTGGGGCAATGGATCCCGAGCTTCCCCTTCCCCAATCTTGCGAGCGGAATCGAGTGGACAGAGGCGATACCTCGGAGCTGTCTCCCGAGAGCCGTAGGGGTGCTGGCGTCAGTCTTCTCCCTAAGTCCCCATCTGGGTTCGGGGTCTGGATGTGCGGAGGGCTGGGGTGGCGACGGTTTGGTCGGAGAGGACGCACTGGCAACGGACTGTCTGGTGCTGGGTCGGCGGGCGGGTATCGGCCGTGGCTGGTCTGTGGTGCGGAGTTCCAGCGGTCCCAGTCGATTTGAGGCTCTTCGTAGACCGGCTCTGCTCGACGTAGTGGCTCTGCTCGACGTGGCTCTACTCGACGTGGGTATGGGAGCTCGGGGTTTCCTGTCCCTGTCATGGTGATGTACTCTCGGACGAGATTGGGTTCCAGGGTGCTGGATTCCTTATTGCAAGTCCACTTGTATCGCTGCGCAGCTGCCGTTGCGGCAGCCCGGGCATCTAGTGTGCTCTGGCTGTGCCGGAGGTGTTGTTTACCCGGTGTTCTCTTGAGAGTGTGCTCCCGTACCAGTGCGGCTGGAAGAGGCTTTCTATTGGAGGTGATGCTGCGATGCGCCTGGCCTCTCCCACTCTCCCACTCACGCAGCCCGTTAGCACAGCAGAGTCCACCGTTAGATAGTCGGTTTCTAGCTGAAGTGTGACGGCCTTCTCTACTGCATTTCGAGCAGCGGAATGTTTCTTTGCCGTGGGGGCGCCTGCGCTCTTCCTCTGTAGGTTTCTTGGCCTCGTGCGTGCGCGAGTGCACATGTCGTGGCCGCTCCGTCTTCATCTTGTCCACTGGCTCGCGTCGATGTCTGACGGCCTGGGAGCAGGCGGTGCAGAGACCGTCGATGGATGAGCGGCCTTTGCTTGGGCGGCAGGATCGTGATCGTGTAGTGGTAGGTACACAGAAGAGGGTTCTAAGGAAGCTGGGCTTGCTTTTTGTTCCCCGTGATTTGTAGGAGTTCTGGCAGCGGGTGAGTGCATTTTCGGTGTGCAAACACTGCAAGTATATGGTGGCGGATTCGTGACACATCTTGCCAGAGTCTAAGAGTCTGAGAGTCTAAGAGTTTGCAAAAGTTTATTGATATGTATATGAGTTATGCGGAAATGAGTTGACAATGGGCATTGTATTCATGTCTATATATCTGCTGGAAGTCACTTGTTATTTCTCCTCGTTGTTCCTTATTGTTATTTTCATGAAAGAAGTTATGCTACTATATAAAGAAGTGGCGAGATGGGCGGTTTGTTGTTCTGCCTTTACTTTGTTTCCCTTCGGCATGATTATTGTCGCTTCACAAAACAACATGCTTCAACAAAGAGAGGAACTTTCATATTCCTTCGTGTGATTTGTTTTGCAAAGTGGGCCGGCCACAAGTATTAGCAGCGCTCTGTTAGCAGAGCCGTACCTGTTGAATCCCATAACGTCCATCCCTGCGTGGCGAAAAAACAGGTGCCGGAAAAAAATGATAGGTACTTTGACTTGAAGCATCTTAGAATCTATGCATACCTTATTATTTCTTATATATTTCTATAAATTATCTTCCTTATCCACTCCTGGACACCTTAAAGCCCCTCATATTAATGTTGTCGCTCTCGCGCCTGATTTGTAAAGAGTTATAACGAAATGGAGTTGCTTTATTACAGCTACACCACCAATTCTTTAATCTCTCTAATGTATATGAAGGGGTCGTATCCGCGCCCTGGGACTTTGCTGCAGCACAGGAAATCGTCTTCAGCCTTATGGCGACTGTGGCGTGCAAATTCATGTAAGATCGCCACGCGGATCAGTAGGCCAAATTGTACAATGCACTGTCTTGACTGGAACGAGCGAATGCCAAACTCCTCAGCTCAGCTTTATGAGGTCCATCATATGACCTATCTCAGCCTCCTATGTAAGCCCAACGTGCCAGCGCATCAAGTCTGAGTCTGCCTAGCGAGTGGAATTCAGCCTCGCGAGACCGAGTGCAGACAAACCTGTCTGTGAAGCCGAAAGGCAATGTTGTTCCAGTTTCTGCTTTTCTCGTTACACTCTGCTTGTCTTTTTTTAGTATGCTAACAACAGAGCTGTGCGTGAATCACGATGAGCTTCGGGTTTAGCGTGGGCGACTTCATCAAGACAGTTGAGCTTGCCAATAAGGTCCGTAAAGGCTTCGTCGGTGCACCGAGCCAATTCAACGCTATTTCTGACGAGTACGTTGCCCTGACCACATTTTGAGCATGCTGACTTTGTTGTTGGAACAGGGTCAGAAGCCTCTCGATCGTCCTCCTCGATGTCGAAGTCTTCCTCTACAATCGCGAACTTCGCAACGAACAAGAGGCAGATTTAAGGCGGATTGTAGATGGTTGCGGGAATGTTCTTAACCAGTTGGAACACACACTAGATAATTATGGCGAACTTAGGTCTGGCCACAGGAGTGCTAGTAAAACGGTGAAAAGGATGTGGAAAAGACTCAAATGGGAGCCGGAAGACATCAAGCAGCTTCGTGACCGGATCGGCACGAACATTGGTTTACTCAACGCGTTCTTCACAAGCGGTCTTATTCGGGACAACGTGGTTACGTTAGTACGAAGTCAAGAAGATCAAGGCCGCCAGACTATCCTCGACTGGATTACCTCGATCGATCATGCTGCACAACAGAGCAATTTCTTAAGTCGACGACAACCAGGGACTGGCCAATGGCTACTTGTTTCAGCAGAGTTCACTGCGTGGGTAGGGACCAGCAAGCGGACTTTATTCTGTCCAGGCATTCCCGGAGCGGGAAAGACAGTGCTCACGTCAATTGTGATAGAGGAGCTATTTACGCGGTTTGAAAACGTTGGCAATATTGGCATTGCCTACCTATATTGCAACTACCAACGACAGCATCAACAAAAGTTTGAGGATCTAATTGCCAGTTTGTTAAAGCAACTTGTTCAAGAGCAGCCTTCCTTACCGGATAGTGTGAAAACGCTCTACAACCGGCATAAAGACAAACGGACGCGGCCTTCACTTGACGAAATCTTAGGAGTCCTCCAAAGTGTGGCGTCAGTATACTCCAGAGTCTTTATTATCGTTGATGCAATTGATGAATGCCAAATCTCCGATGGTCATCAACAAAGATTACTGTCAGGCCTCTTTGAACTCCAAGCAAAGTGCAATGCAAATATTTTTGCCACTTCACGGCATATATCATGCATTGAACGGGAGTTTGAAGGGTGCTTAAAGCTAGCGATCCGTGCTAGCGAAGAGGATGTACGAAAATACCTAGATGCCCATATGGTCCAACTTCCACGATTTGTGGCTCGGAGTCTTGAGCTCCAAGAGAAAATCAAGACGGATATTGTTAATGCTATAGATGGGATGTATGTTGTTTATTTCAAGTACTTATTAAATCGCGCTAATTCTGCTAGGTTTCTACTTGCACAGCTCCATCTCGATTCCTTAACCGGAAAGAGGTCGCTAAAAGCAGTCCAAACTGCTTTAAAGAATTTGGTCAAAGGATCTGCGGCATATGACCATGCATATAAGGATGCTATGGAACGGATCAATGGCCAAATCAAAGACCAAGAAGAGCTTGCTAAACAAGTTTTATCGTGGATTACCTGTGCGAAGAGACCACTCGCTGCAATAGAGCTTCAGCATGCGCTTGGTGTTGAAGTTGGCGAGTCCCAGCTTGACGAAGCTAATATCCCAGAAATCGAAGATATGGTTTCTGTATGTGCTGGGTTGGTTACAATCGATGAAGGAAGTGGGATTATTCGATTAGTCCATTATACAGCACAGGAATACTTCGATCGAACACAAAGGCAATGGTTTCCGGATGTGCAAGCTAATATCATAACAACTTGCGTTACTTATCTCTCATTTGACGATTTCGAGAGAGGAATTTGTCAGAGCGACAATGAGTTCGAACAACGCCTTCAATCGAATAAGTTCTACGACTACGCAGCACATAACTGGGGTCATCACGCTCGAGAGGCTTCGACTTCGTGTGACAATGTTATGGACTTTCTTCGGAAACAAGCTCACGTCGAGGCATCAAGTCAAGTACTAATGGCATCTAAGCGATATTCTGATGAAACGAAATATAGTCAAAAAGGTCCAAAACAAATGACTGGGCTTCATCTTGCAGCATTCTTCGGAGTTGGCAACGTGGTACTAGGCCTGCTTAATGGCAATCATCCTGATTTGAAAGATAGTCATAGTCGGACGCCGCTGTTGTGGGCAGCTGAACGCGGACACGAGAATGTAGTCAAGCTGCTGCTCGATCAAGGCGTCGGGCTTGACTTAATGGATAGCGAGTGTGGCCGGACGCCGCTGTCGTGGGCTGCTAAGAACGTGCACCACGTAGTTGTCCAACTCTTGCTTGAGGCAGGAGCCGACCCTAACGCGCGAGGGGAAGGATACGGCGAGTCGGCACTACATTTGGCTGCTGGTATCGGGAATAAAGCAATGGTCTATCAACTACTCAAGGCTGGAGCCGACGTGAATACCAGGGTAGGTAATTTGCGATCAAACGAGAGTGCTCTTCACAGGGCAGCTGCTAGAGGACATGACGAGGTAGTAGGGTTGCTACTCAAATTTAAAGCAGATGTTAGAGCTAAGGACTATTTTGGTTGGACAGCATTGCATCGGGCGGCCAACGCAGGGTACGAAAAGGTGGTAAAACTATTGCTCGAAGCGGATGTGGCAGTAGTTGTAGACAAGAATGAATGTGAAGCAACGGCACTACACCTAGCGGCTCTAGGAGGGAATAAAGCTATCGTGGAGCAATTGATTGAGGGGAATGCTGACGTTGAAGCTCGATGCCAGGATGGTTGGACACCGTTGCACTGGGCGGCTGAAGATACGCAAAAGTCAACATTCCAGTTTCTTTTTAAGACGAAGACTGATATCGAGGCGAAGAAGTCTGTTATCCTCAAAGCACCAAGCCAGATATCAAAATCTATGAGCTATGATCTGGACAAATTAATGGCTAGCATGAGAGCAGATGTTAGGGGCGAGAACCCTTCTTTGTTTGCTACCCGATACGCCACTTGGGAACCTTTCTGTTAGTGTTATACATAGTGCACTAGTCTAGCCTAGGATTACGTACGCCTGATACAAAATTGGGATGGAGACGCCGTATATGCTTGATGGTCGCTTTGGTGTACTTCAAGAAGAGAATAGTGTTTCCGCCATGTCCGAAAGCCGTGGACTGTCGAATGGCAGGACGCTCTCGGAAGAAAGGAAAGTCGATGGCAAGCACGATAGTGAGGTGCGCGAGCAATGACAGTGGAACCGTGGTTTAAGGCAATGGATTTTCGGCATGACTATGTTCTCGTGCATTATCTCTCGAGTTAGTTGAATAGTATCATCTATAGTATCCTTTCAAATTTCAGATTATATTGGAGAAGCATTTATTCAGTCAATACTTGCAAAGCTCAAAATCAAATCAATTTCACAGCGAGAATAACACAAATTTATTTTGAACATCATACTATATAACTTATTACATTTTTATGGCAAACATTAACACACTTACCTGCCTACCCGCTAAAGAATCGCTTGATCCTCAAATCTCTACTCCATTTGTAACAAGGATTTCTTGCCTCAAACTACTCGGAATCTTTGGTTTGTGCTTGAGCTCCCGTTCGGAAACCGATGTTAGAGTGGTTGAATCCTGCAATTGGACCATTGGTGCGAATACCCCGCTCTCTGCTTGGTCCATCAACTCGATCCAAGTGGGGTATACTTCAGTGTCAGAGAAGTCAAATGTTCCTTCCACTGATGAATCTTCATCTACCGCGGGGACCCCTGGACCAAAGTATCTTACCCAGTCGATTGGGTTGCCGCCGTCATCCATTCCGTTGTCATCTACGCCAGGTCGTGGTGTAGACGGACGTTGCATTTCTAGATCTAGCTCTTGCTCTAGCTCTGATAAATCTTCAGATGAAAGGGGCCAGTCACTGGATGCTGGAGCTTCATTCGCAAGGGGCCAGTCCAAGAGACAAAGCCATTCTGCGACTATGTCTCTCATAGCACTCTGCACTGGACTGGGTCTGAGTCCTATAAACAGAGAATCAGGGCCAAACCTCTGCTCCCACTTCTTAGGGGCATGTATGGTCTTGGACGTGAAGCCTATTGTTAAAGGAGCTCTGATAAATACCGGGATCTCAAAGTCTTGAATGTTGCTCGGTATACTGAAGTATTTCCGAATTCCGGCAGTCATAATTTTTCCATCCGGTGAGGATGGCGAGATTCTGATCTCCTCGGGTGTGGTTGGGGCACTTGAAGTGGTGGTTGGGGCAGAAGCCACTTCAAGTGCCAGGAGTTCTGCGTCGGTCTGTGGGGGCAGCGGTGGTAGCTCATCTAATTTCAGATGGGCTTTGCGGACCTTCTTGTGACTTACCTTTGGATTAGATGGACCGCTTGAAGAAGATTCAGCAACCGTGTGAAGTGTCAACGTCGATGCCGATCGCACAATGGTGGGTCTCTGCGTACGCCCCTCCAGCTTCTTTCGTAGAGATTTAGGCGGAGGACTTACCAAAGTATCAATCGTAACTAAAGGTTGCGACTCTTGAACCGGTGGTGGGTTTGCGGGAGGGAGTCGAAGTGGAGCGTGTGGACCGTGATAAAAGTCCGCCAGATTGGACTGGATTCGAGGATGGGCTTTGGATTTCGCAAGCGAAGTTGCGATCTCTGCGCACTGGTTACACTGTCGAGCTGTCAAAGGACCGTTTGCAACTGCATGAACCTTGTGCATATCCTCCCAGAACTTGTGGGCCTTTTCAAGGTCGTACTTTGCCTCTTGCGCTGCTACTCGTTGTTTCTCAGACGCCTGAAGGACCTGTGCTTTGGTCTGCGAAGATTGCTTTCGAGAATCACGCTGGACTGTTTTCAAAGCTTTGACAGCCGTGGGGGTTTCGTTCAGTGCCAGCATAGTGACTGTTTCTTTCAGTCCTCTGGCTGGAGGGGCGTGTTTTTGTGGTTTCGGCTCTGATTCTGACTCTGACTCTGGTTCTTCAGTCACCGCATGCTCCCGAGCATCTAACAAGTTATAAGTCTTGCGACAATCATCACATGAATTATCGCTAGTCTCGTGTACGACTTTTGGATTCGCAAAGGTGTTTTTGACTTTTCCCCAGAACGCTTGTTGCTTGGGTTGTTCGTCCTCGACGACAGTGGTGTGTCCACACACGTGGTATGTTTGAACGGATTGGTAGACCATGTTGAGAGCTTGGTATGTCCGACTGAATGCCGACTAGATATCTAACTGAAATGATCTGGAATACTTGGACTGGACAGTAAAGTTTTGAACTTTATGCTCTAATTTTGCCTTTCCAGAAGAGCTGTTTTTACCAACAAATAATAGCATTGTTCTGGACAACTGCAATAATCCTTTGAGACTGAATAAAGATCCCCAGGGCTAGACGTCTATTACTTTGTTGCGTTGCAGACAGTAAGCTTTTGGTGCATAAAGGGCGCTTTGATGGACTTTGTAGCTTCTGCTCTGCTGTTCTGGACAGCAGTGGCATTGTTTTGAGCTGCTAGCATTCTTTTCACATGAATAATCTTGGATTTCGGAAGACTTCGAGAGAATCAGAGAGGATTTGGCAACTCAGCTTCTTCTTTAAGGTTCTTGTAGCAAAGCTACTAAACGCAGCTTGGAGTAAGACTCTCTCTGTCCTTGCTATTGACGCGATTACATCTACTGGGGTAGAGCTGATAATCATAGGATCTCGACAGATGGCTGCCACTTTTAACGATGTGATTGACATTGAACAAGGTGAGGGTTGCGCATCTTGCTGTTCATATTTCCAGAATGTACTGTGAAGGCGCGGCGTCCAGGAGAGCAGCAGAAGAAACATCCTAGCGAACCCCTTTCGTGCTGAACACAAAAAGCGGCACTTATTATCATTAACTTTTAGCGTTGTAAATCAGTGCCGCTTTTCTTGTCCACCAGGAGCCCTTTCGCATCATGATTAGTTAGAAAGTTTCAAGTGAGAAAAAGGTCATGGCGTCTCTATAGGCTATATATTGGGGCTCTTTCATAAGCTGTAGTGAAAGTACCATGTTCGCTGGGATTTCATAGGCTTAAGTAGACAAGCTCGAAACGCAAAGACTCAGAGTCCTCGAATAGTAACTCATAGAGTTAGAATAGAAAATGAAAACACTCGGAAGCACGACTACTGCTTTTGTGGAATCATAAATCAGAGAATATTTCGGTCGAGTAGGGAGGGGTAGTGGGGGGCATGCAGTTTTGGGGCGGTACGAGCTAACGGGTAAACTGCACGATTGAGATCCGTACTCCCACAAGGAGTTCCTCATTGGACGTGCTGACTCTGCCGAGGTATTTGGTGTTGATTGAAATCTGTAGTTATGATAGACATCTAGTTGTATCTGAAATCCAGATTTTCTTTTGGGACCCTTCTGGATGCGAATGCGAATGCGAGCTATACCCCACCCCACCCCCTTTTCATTACTTTCTTAAGCGAGCCCGGCCCGGGCCGCCCCCTCCCACTAGTGAGAGAATCCTTCTCTCCTGCAAAGCTCACTGCAAAGGAAATTCATGAGCATGGTTTCAATTTAGAGGGCACCCCAAGATTCAATGCCAAGTAGCACATGGGTTTGGCAAATTAGAGATTGTCCTGCCCCCGAGCTAGGTGTTTAGTCAACAACCATTAACCGGTACAGCACGACATTGAAGAAGATATTGATTTGCGTATAGCCTAAAGCCCCGAAAACCTCCCTAAATGTACGATAACGTGTTAAGCTAAGGGTTTATACACAGAGTACGACCATCAGAAAGCATTCCACACTCGAGTGCATGGCCAAAAGGCCTTGTGGCTGTGACCTTCCCTCCATTTGGGATGGACCACCAAATGATTGGGTTGGGTCATACCCGTACAGTTTACCCCTAAGCGCGTGAGATTTTATAGCCAGGAGATGGTGATACATGATATGTCGGCGTGAGCAGAGAAAGTGTGGGGCTCCTGAGAGCATGACAAAAAGCCGGTGCATCATACATGTGCAGAAAGCATTATATCAGTCAATACCGAAGAGTCAAAAGTGCAACCCCACCTTGTTTATTTGCAGTGCCTATGAGAGCAAATAACCGATGCTTTCTTCAAGGTATCATGCTGTCTACCACTGGCTATACGTCTTCGTCTTATCTGGGGTCATAAAGGATATGGACATGCTACTGGATGGGGCTGTATCCTGTATTTTTCTGTGCGTTGTACTTGTGGGTCTGCTGTTTAATAAATACGACAAATTGAGGGGCCGTTAATCGCGCTCATTGCTCATGCAGGGCTCCACATGCATGTTGGCTGCAGCTTCGAATTCGTTGTGTAACAGCCAAGTCTCAGAGTCGAAAAAGTCATACGAAATGAATTATCAGGGACTGAAGGTAGGTTATTCCTATGATTACTGCCTTTCCCATAAGGCTATCACCAAATACAAACCCTTAAACTCTTTATTATGTTTTCTCAGGCTAGACACAAAAGGAGACACTTGTTTTATCGACCTTTATTGTCCCCGCATCACTCGGCAGATTATACTTCTTTTGGAGACAAATGCGACACACTGCAAGATTGATAGGCTTTTAATATCGGTAGAGTTACACTGCCTTTATGATGTTACTTTCGCCGGCTTGGCCTTTACGTTATGTTCAATTCAAAGCTTATACGGCCCGCCAGAATAGATATACCAGCCAAGTAGATTAGCACTTCTTAAAACCTCATAAGTAACCCAAAAAGCCACGAAGAGCTTCTAATACCCACAGTCTAATTCTACGGTTGGTCTGCTCTATTTGATCATTAAGGAATCTCCACCGCAATGTCTTTCCCTACCCTGGGTGTTCAACACCTAAAAGCATGGACGCTGCTTATCACTCCAGCATCTTTTATTTTGGTCTTGGGTGTTTACTTTATGAGTATCACCGTTTATCGACTCTGGTTTTCACCTATTGCCAAGTTTCCTGGACCTAAAATAGCAGCTATCAGCGGATGGTACGAAGCTTATTACGATATCGTGAAAAGAGGAAAGTATTTATACGAGATTGAGAAGATGCACAACATCTATGGTCAGTATACAGACAGACATGATCAGATGTATGCTAAACTCAACAGGCCCTGTTGTTAGAATCAATCCATGGGAACTATCCATCAAGGACCCAGAGTTTTATACGGAGCTTTTCGTTGCGGCAAACACAAGACGAACCGAGAAATGGGCCAGTTCACTTGCCGGACTTGGTTTTGACGGTAAGCAACCTTCTAAATCCTTGAGATGTCTTGAACAGTTGTATATAAGACTCTTTTCTCATAGACACTCATATTGCAACCGTCTCACACGAGCTGCACCGAAAGCGAAGAAAGCCACTAGCTCCATTCTTCACACGCCGCAGTCTCGAAAGCGTTGAGGTGCAAATCGCCGAAAAAGCAGCAATTCTAGACAAACGCCTGCAGAGGTTCAGCGGTTTGGACACCGCGGTTCACCTCGAGCATGCATTCTCTGCTTTTGCTGGAGATATCATCTGCCAAATCTGTTGTGATCATCCTTCTGAACTGCTGAATGACCCGACGTTTGCAACTTACTGGTACCTTACTATTCCATCTACTTGATCAGCACACTATATTAATATACTTACTAGGCATAATTTCTTCAACACGATAACAGAAACAGGTCTTGTATTTCTCAACTTCCCATTACTTAGAGGGTAAGAGCATCATTTCAGGCAATCCGTGAAATATGTTTTAGGTAATTGTACACTAATTACCTTTTGTTAGGTTTATCGTGAAATTGCCGGAGCAGGTACTGTCTAAATTGTCTCCCGCAATCGCTCATCTGCAGATGCTAGAGGTGGTGAGTAGCCTAATTGATCAATTTTATTCCTCCTGAGAGGTGTTGCTAATTCCCGTATCGGACTTCAGATAGCTAGATCTGGCATTGATGATGCCAACAAGGCCAAAGTCGAAGCGTCTTTAAGTAAAACCGAATCCACGCCTACCCTTTTCCAAATCATGGTCTCAAGTGACATGCCGCCAGCTGAAAAGTCAATGGATCGACTTACTCAAGAAGCTATGCTCCTTTTTGGTGCTGGGTCTTTTACAGTCGCGAGCACAATGGGCACGATTTCATACCACTTGCTCGACAACCAATCCGCAAGAATAAAACTACAAGAAGAAATTGGAAACACTATGTCTGCATATCCCCATCGAATTCCTCATCGAGTAGAGCTAGAAAAATTACCTTACTTGACGGCAGTGGTAAAAGAGGGTCTTCGGTGAGAAGCCATTCCTGGTGGTTTCAATCGACTTCAAATTACTTACCTGATACGCCACGACAGCATAGGAACGGTGATCAGCCGTCGCCAAACCCGAATGTTCCCTGACGAAGATGTGGAGTGTCAAGGATGGACTATCCCACGAAACGTGAGTCGGCTGATACCAGCCTCTGAATAAACACTTACGTAGTTCCGGACTGACCGTCGTCAAATTTCTCTAGACTCCGATGGGCATGTCCGCCTACTTCATGCACATGGACCCCGATATCTTTCCAGAGCCACAGAAGTTCATTCCTGAGCGATGGCTAGGCGAGTATAACCCATTGATGGATAGGAACTTTGTGCCATTTGCAAAAGGGTCTCGTGGTTGCTTGGGGGAGAAGTAAGTCTTTCCTCTCCGCTTCGAAGAGTTTTGCTGACTCGTTGTGGCTGTGTAGTTTGGCATATTCAGAGCTATATATCCTGACATCAGTATTGTTTCGTCCAGGAGGGCCGAGGATGTCTCTCTTTGAGACGGATGTAAGTGACGTGGAGAAAGTGCATCATTTTACTGCCTCATTGCCCAAGATGGATAGCAAGGGATTAAGGATTAAGGTTCAATGATTAGCTAAATCCCGGAAAAGGAAGCTGAACTTGATGAGAGGTTTGAAATGGGGGAGACAACATTGCTTTTGTTGCACTTTGAAAGACGTTATGATCAATCGAAACGGCAACCAAGTAGGTTGAGTGAGTTAGGGAATTAATCTACTATCACATTCTGACCTAGTCATTTGAAGCCTACTAAGTTCAAAGTACGTAATTGTATCTTATAAAATTCAAATGTGCCATGCACTCTGCTCGTAGTGTCTCTTACAGAAGACACTTCCAATCTGTGAGGGGGGCTTAGCGCCACCCTAGTGTACTTCCTTTCAGGCCCACGAGCACCCATCTTAGACAATCCATACTCTTTTACACCCGGTCACATTCGTCTCGTTAATATTGTGATTTCACAGGCTGCACTAATCTCACAATGGCTTGGAACGCTTTAGTATGGACAGGTCTGAAGCGGCGTCATGACACACGCTAATTAAATTTCCTCAAACAACTTTATAATGCTTAAATTCCCTCGTCTTGACGCCCCTTTCAAACATCAGATCCAGCTCTTCGTAAGTTCGACCCTTTGTTTCAGGGACCCGGAACCAAGCCCACACGCACGAGATCGCGGAGAGTCCGCCTGTATCGTATATTAGCATCTCTGACTTCTAAAGGAATGGGTAGGTAGTTACCAAAGAAGAATCCAAGTTTTCCTCTCATGTTTGCTTGGTCCGGGTTGATCATATACGGAATAGCAACGGTCATGACAATCCCAAACAGTGCTTGTACAGCCGTGGCGACCGCAATCGTCCGGGACCTCACCTTGGTGGCTGAGACCTCGCAGATGATAGAAAAGCACACGGGCCCAATAGTCAGGTCGTATATACCATTCCAGATCACCATAATAGAAGATTGGGCCCAGATGACTGCAGGACGATTCTCGTAATTAGGCGCGCAGTCTAGGATTCCGATGATAAACATCATGACTGATAAGATGGCGAGACCGATGTTGTACATTCGTCGGCGTCCCATGTAGGAAAGGAGAACCCAAGATAGACAGGTCCCGACGAATCCTACTGCTAGATAGCCGACGCTCATGTCGAAGGCTTTTGAGCCGGGAAGACCGGCAACTAGAGATCATAAGCATGAGTTTCCAATCAAGCGGAGATGGACCCACGTTGGAAGAAGTACGTTGCGTAACCGACTAGATAGATCCCACTAAATACCTGAATAGTGTATACTCCAATTGAGATCTCAGTTCTTCGGAGGTTGGTCTTCTTAAAGCAATCCATGTACGTAGTTCCAGTCTCCATTTCAAGTTCAAGCCTGTCAGTCTCAATCATTATCGCCAAAGTAGGCTTATTATCGACTTTAGATGAAGATAGACGGTTCAATGCTTTCTCTGCTTCTTCCAATCTGCCCTTCCGTATAAGCCACCAGGGCGACTCTGGGGCAAAGGGAACAACTGCCAAAATGATAAGGGGCCATAGCCATTGGATAGCGAACGGCGCAGAGTAAGCCCAGTGCGTGTCTAGGGTTTGAGTTCCGGCAATAACACCATTTGCGAGCAACTGGCCCATGACAAAGCAAAGGTTAATATATGCTGTGAGATGGCCTCGGAGAGCAATGGGGCACACTTCTGAGGCGTAGGTCGGAGCTATGGTTGCGTATGTGCCGAGGACAAGACCTCCAATGAGCTCCCCTGCTAGCAATACTTTCAAGGAGCGGGCAAAGAACTGGATGCTATAGGACGCGGATTCGCAGATTAGCTTGTATTCTCGCAGGACGCCTTAGCTGCGTAGTTTTGCTTACAAGATACACCCAGCAGTAGCAGCAACACAAGCCGCAAATGTCTTTGTAGGTTAGTTGACGTCTCTCTTTACAACTCCTCCCATGTCAAACACATACCCATTTTCTCCCATACCACTCCATCGGGTACCCCGCCGCCAGCGCTCCAACAACCTGCCCGATTGGATTACCCATACCCAAACCCGTCTGCCACGGCGCACTAATAATATAACTCCCCTCAAATAAATACCCAAAGTCCTTCTGGAAGGCAGGAGTAGCATACAAACTACCCAATAACTGAGGATCAAAAGCCGTCATGATTATCCCAAGGGAGAAGAATATCGACCAGCCGACGGCAGGGGGGTAGAGTTTTAGGCCTTCAAAAAAGCCCATGCGGTGCTCTGTTTCCATAGCATAGAGGGCTTCGGGCCCGACTTCAAGGACGGTGCCATTTTTGGCGGTGATTTGGATGTCGACATCACCGTGCTCTTCTGCTTTTTCCATGTCCATGTTGATGAGAAAATGGATGAGAAAATGAATGGGATGAAATTTAAAATTCAGACGAGGAAGCTCATGATATCTTTATCAGACGCCCCGGGGCAATGGACGCCGGGAGGAGTGGTGGAGATATGATCGGAGCTTTGCCTTGAAAGGGGTCCATGTTTATCGACCAACCTCCCCCCCACCTTTGGATCTGGATGCAACGTTAACAAGCGGGGTGGATCGATTGGGGGATACCGGCTGTTATCATCTTGAGATTCGACAAGGTTTATCGTGGTTTACTGGGGTTGCTGATATCAAAGATAACTAAGTATTTTAGACCGTGGTGTTGGGACGAATAAGGTTTTGAGCTGCGGACTTTTTACTACGGAGATGGAGCCTCAAATAACTACAATTCTTAGCGTGGCTTCACCATCACATTGTTGACCGAAAGATAAGTACCATAGGTAAACGCTTTATACTTTGAACTTGTCATCCTACCCGACTACTTTTCCCACAAGTGTGTTAGTCTGCAGATTCCTGTTTTACTTCTTCTTCCCCTCTAGTTCAAAGACGAGCTGCGCATCGTCGTCTTTATCCAAATCAAATTCCTTGCTCAAGGCCCTGAAACGGCTATTTACGACGTCAGAGTCGACATATGCACCTTTCAACCATCTCTCGCCTCCGAGAGCGTCGAATTGTGTTCTTCCATGTAGAATCCGTCGATTGTTGAAAATTACGCACTCTCCCTCCTGAAGCTTATACTCAAGAAGATGGTCTTTATTCTCAACTCGGTGTGTAAAAGCCTTAAATGCTTCCAGAAATTCAGCCACCTCAGCCACGTTGGGGGTCATCGGAAGAAGATAGTTCGCCTGGAACGGGGGCGAGTAATTCATGTTTGTGAACACGGTATCTCCAGTTTGCGAAGTCTCTACTTCAATGACTGGATGTGTGTGATAGTAATGTTCTCCCGCGTTCTGATATTGATACGCAACTGGGGTTCTTCTTAAAATGTCACGTTGCTTGACGCTTAAGCTTTTGGCGGCCATAAACGCATCTGCAAAGAGTGACGCACCTCCCTCCGCAGTATTTTTCAGGCAGTGTAGCAGCTGAAAACCAGGTGGATTTGCCATGTACAATAGATCCATATGGAGTCCAAGAAACTGGGCAGTATAAGCCACGTTCTTAGCCTCCGGCACCGACTTGACATCCCATGTCCGCCCATAGAATGAGTCGCGAATGGATCCAATCCGAAGAGCAATGTCTTCTACCGACTTCTCTGACTCAGGAACTCCTCGGATGATCAAGAGGCCTTGCCTTAACAGTAAATATGATGCTCGCAAAAGACACTTGTCAGATGTCATGTAGTCTTGGAAGTTGACGAACTGGAGTTCCTTCTTGATTCTAGTAACATCCCATACTGCGTTGGGTACTTCCCGAGTACGGTTTCGATTCATTGATTTCTTGCTTCTATGGCGAATATCCAACGAGCCCGAGGGAAAGAAAGAGACATGGTCATCCCCAAAACCAGGTATATCATTTTCCCATTTGATATGAATATCTCCCGTTGGAGAAGTTTCGATAGACCTGACTTGGATATTCGGTGGGATCTCTGGTGTATGGAAGTTCTTTTGCGTTGAATATGGATCAACACACTTGGGGCACATGCAGGCATCGCGAAGTAATATTGGATGGAATTGTGCTTTCCCGATGTGCACTGTGGCATTATAGCTCAGAAAAGCAGCAGGCACTTTGAAGGGTAGAGGCGTTTCCTTTCGCTCAAGTAGACCATTGGGAGGAGATATGCGAGACTTTGCTGTTCGATTACCCTTGGCCAACGACGGAGATCCCCGGAGCAGAGCCTTTCCGCGTAATGTTAATTTATCACGAAGAAGGCGCCAAGGACCGGAATTTGGCTCAAGTGAACCCTTAAGAGGAGTCGTTTTCGTTCTTCGTTGTCTATATGTCAAGTGCTGCATTGGTTTAGATAGAGATAGACTATCATCTTCGAAACCATCTAAGGGTGAGCCGAAGATTTGAGCAAATCCCCGAGACTGGTAGCTCAAGATGCAGCATCCTGCTTCGATGCTCCTGCAACCCCCCTTTCTCTTCGCCACTCCTCCTATGCTAGACCTCAGCATAGGTAAAGCCATCTCGACGACAGGTCACGTGCGAAACACAGTTTGATGTGGTTTCGTAACAGGAAGGAGCAATGAAGAGGTCTTGGCCGATAGTAGGTCGTCACCGCTTGGAGTCGAAAGGAGTATACTTCATGATAACGTATACGGTAGTGACATTTATATGAAGTTTCACGGAAAAGGGGAAGAAGAAAAGGCATCAACTCTTCAAAGGAGAGGAGTTCATACCAAATAGCCGAGGCTTCCCCGATACCTAAGCCGAATTCCCGCTTTCCCCGAAACGATCATGGTGGCATCTCAAGCTGCAGCATGTGCGTGTGCATCTGCGTCGAAAACAAAAGTTGAAGATATAATCCCCTTCAAAGCGCGACTCGAGTCGGGAATCGGCAGATGCATGTCTGGCAGCGGTGAGCACCTCAAGGATGAGGTACGCTGCTTAAACCCCAATGATTATTACTGCTAATCGAGTTCCAGGGTTCCAAAACCCAGGTCGTTATCGCTGGAGCTACAGCTGGATTGATCGCAAGGCAAGTTCTGGTTTCTATCCTTCTCGAGATATATCAATGCTAACTCCCGACTCAGATTTGTCGTTGCCCCTCTTGATGTCGTGAAAATCCGTCTTCAATTGCAAACGCACTCCCTATCTGATCCTCTGTCGCATCGGGATCTGCAAGGTTCCCCAATCTACAAAGGCACCATTCCCACGCTCAAGCATATACTACGAGAGGAAGGACTTACGGGACTATGGAAGGGAAACATCCCCGCGGAACTGATGTACGTCTCGTACAGCGCTATCCAGTTCACAGCATATCGATCTGTCACCATAGGACTGCAAACGGCTTTTGGAGAAAACCGAATACCTGCGCCGGTAGAAAGCTTCATCGCTGGTGCCAGTGCAGGAGCCTTGGCAACGGCTACTACATACCCACTCGATCTTCTGCGGACTCGTTTTGCAGCGCAGGGCGCAGAAAAGGTATATCCTTCCCTCTTGGCTTCAATTCGCGAAATTGCCCGGAATGAAGGCCCTCGAGGATTCTTCCAGGGTCTAAGTGCGGGTGTAGGGCAAATCATTCCATACATGGGCTTTTTCTTTGCCACATATGAAACATTGAGATTGCCTATGGGAACATTACATATGCCTTGGGGATCTAGTGACGCTACGGCCGGAGTCATGGCGTCGGTCATCTCGAAGACAGGAGTGTTTCCTCTTGATCTAATCAGGAAGCGACTGCAAGTTCAAGGACCCACGAGATCGAAATATGTGCACAAGAACATACCCGTTTATAAAGGGGTATTTAACTCTATGCGGGAAATTTTCAAGAACGAGGGGATCAGAGGGCTTTACAGAGGGCTGACAGTCAGGTACGAATCCGATGGAATGTCTGCTATGCAAACACTAACAATTCTAAGTCTTCTGAAATCCGCTCCCGCAAGTGCTATCACAATGTGGACCTATGAGAGAGTTTTGAATATCTTGCTGGACATGGAAGCTACAGCTAAGGCTGCTGCAGGCTGAATAGGATACATTATGTCTAGTTCAGCTGACTACATGGCCGCCGTCACATACTTAAAGGAAAACATCAGATCCGGGGGTCAGATGGATTTAGCGACAGCCAGCCAGTATTCAGAGATAGAAGAACAGTAAATATGCAAAGAGACAAACGTGCGATTCATCAGGAAGAGTCAATTTGTCCTCCACCGTGACTTATTTGGCACATAAGACGTCAAATTATTCCACCTGGTTGCCAGGCATCGGTGGGTTTTACGAAATTGCCCCGGTCTCCGGTGTCGAACATTTTATCTGGATCGTCCCGAAGGATTCATAACCTTTTCAGTCTTGGAATATCTTATTTACAAGTAGGATATCTTTGAACTATCATACTAATGACTTTGAAATGGAATAAAATGAAATGAAGAAAGGCTCTTCCGGAAATATGTGCTCCGTATACCTGTATCCGTTCGTCCCTTTGATAGCCTCAGCCTTGCGCAGCCTTGCTATGATCGCACGAATCACAGGGCCGGAATTTGCGCACTGCCACAGGTAGTCCTTGTAAATATTCAAGCCACGCGGCCAAATGGAACAGACCTCAAAACGAGCAGCGGCAGTACGAAGTACAGCATTCAGACCCGTTTATGGACTTCTACATACAGTATACATATACATACCCATGCGCTCCCTTGGTCAGTTGACACCTTCCTTTCCTGCCCAAGTTCCCATTTCTACTCCTATTCCAATATCTATTCCCTTTTTCATTATAACCCTTTTTCATCATATTGTTCCTTCATAATCGCATTTCATCGCATTTCTCATCTCCCGCCGCTTGTTTGCGCAGTGATTTGCATGTGATTGATGGCCCTCCTGGAAACTTCACCATCAACTCCAAAGAATGCAGGCCGCAATTGCCCCTCCACGAGTTGAGGAACTGCTTGCCCCTCTGCTGGCTTCATTGCCCGGTGCTTCTATTTCGCGAGAGCCACCGACTGCCCTCCTGCCCCTCCTCTCACCAATTCTCCGTCAGCGAGTGCAACTGCTCTCAGCCTCGAGCCAAGACCCATGGCTCTCCCTCCTCTCCTGGGATAGTGCAAACGCCTCGAAATTGGAACATGCCGCGCAGAATGAGAGGTTAGAACCGCATCCTGTGTCTGGCGAGGTGGAGGTGGATTGGGAATATGATGTGGAAATCCGGTACAAGCGGATTGACCAAGAGACTATGCAAGCAATGGTCACTCTGCGAGACCTAGGACTAGAGGTCAAGCTTGTATGGTGTGTAGGAGACGATTTGGGCGGTGGCGACGGTTGGAGAATCGGAGAAGTGAGCGGATCGGAGTCCACAAGTTCATCATGGGGAGCAAGCAGCATCAGCGCAGCAGAAGAATCCTTCAAATCAACACAACCCACAATCAACATCCACCACAGTACAGACCGCGATACCTTATTCACACCCGTAGACGATGAAGATGACGACGACGATTACTGGGCCCAATACGACAGCACCCCCGGCCGAACCCCAGCCCCGAAAGACCCAGATCCTCCCCAAGCCCCGCCAAACGGCCTCAATGGGCCTGCCGATGAGCTCTCATACTACGAACAATATGGGAATGTGCAGCCTGCAATGGATAGCCATGATCCCGATGAAGCACAGCAGAATGGCGATGTAGAGACATCGTTGGGAGGAGACGAAACCACGAGTGAGTGGCGGCAACACCTTATTTCGCACCCGGAACCCGACCACCTTGCATATACAGAGGAACTAGTACATCCTGCGTCCAGTATAGGAAGTAGCGGTAGTGATACTGTTGCTCGCCTAGAGAGAACAGCGGCTAGAAGCGAGCAGAATGAGGTGGGCATCAAGCAGCATATTTCGACGACTATGAAGAGTCTGTATAGGCTGTCGAAGGTTGGGGGAATCGAGAGGGAAGAGTTTGAAAGATTGGTGAGGACTGAGCTGGAGTGTTTGACGCTGATGGATGAGGATGATTGATTTAAGGTAGTCTGATGCATAGCCTGGCGCTTGAAGCATCATGAATTTACATAGCTATGGTGTTTTTTGGGCATCTGGATACAATATTATGGATTTGGATGTTAGTGTAATTGACTCTTTCCTGACGTTTGCGGTTTAGTTTGGCCTTTGATTTTGGCATTGTAGTTTTACGGGGAAGTTTAATCGCTTCTCAGTGCTCACCAACGCGAATTGATTGATTTCGCTGTATAATTGTTTTGCTATTTGTGCTTCTCACCTTACGACAGCAAGGCTGATTCGACCATTGTTCTTCCAATACCACCTGCACTTTCGATCCCGCATGCACCAGCTCTGAACGCCGTTCCAATTCTATAGCACCTTGCCTTAGATGTTTCGGATTCTCCAACTCCTCACCCTAATGAACTTTTCCTCAATCGCCTTGAAAATTCTTCTAGAATGCGTCTCACGCAGACAGACAGCTTGCCGTTCATTTCCCTGCACATGCATAAGATCTTTGTGCGTAGTATTGTATATATGCGCCACGTCTTCCATCGAATTTAAAACTTCTAGGACAAGAGCGAATATATCAGATCGTCTCCATATGAATAGGCAATAGATCTTTCCCATTCTCCTGTAGAAGCACAATGTGGATGTTCGCCTCTGCCTTTGTGTTGTTCCCTGCTATATATGTCAGTGGCCGGCTTGCTGATATATAAGTTATGGATAATGGAACGTTTGGATCATTTTTATGCGCCCTATCATCAGGGGATCCACGGAACTCAGCTTGCTGCTAAACTTGGAGGTAGTGAAAGCCTTCTTCGGGAATGGATGGATGATCTTGTGAATAGGTATCGAACGTTGCCGTTTCCTTATAGTTCATTCGAAGTGCTCGAAGATGTGCTGAGTTCGCGTGACGGCGAGTCGTCCAAACTCTTCTGATCCGACAGCTCATCAAGCTGCTGCTCTCCATCTTTCTCAACATGTTGCCCTTCTACGGAAATCCTCTGCATGACTCAAATAACCCTCGAATTCAAAATTCATCACATCCCATCCCATTCACCGACAGGAAATCCTCAAAAAACGCTGCTACTTTACTTGAAGAAGCATCGCGGTGCATAGGAAAAAGCGGTACTGATTTATAATTTGCAGGGCGGCGTAGAATATTGAAATCAATGATACACAGTGAGTGCCACTTTTTTCTATATCTACTTTAAAGAGGATAGGTAGGGCTTTTGGTGGAGGAGACTATAAAACACTATAGGAGTCAAACTCTGCTTTCAGGTAAGAAGGTACTTAGGGGCTTTAGCGAGACTAGCTGGTAAATCAAATGAATGAGTGTTAGACGTTAGTAGGTAACTTTCTCAGCGCAAGTTTTTCATCTATGTACGTTAGATATGTCCGCGTTAGCTGCAATAGAATTACACATTTATCTAGCTATAAGTTTATAATGATAAGGAGGAGGAAAGAGATTAGTAGAAATGACAGCGGGGTCATGAGATAAGTTCCACATTGCGCGTCTGTTTTCACTTAACTTCAATATACTACACTGTGGATACTGCTACGTGTATGTATTATGGTAACTTAATGCTATGTATGCTGCTGTCCTTATGTATGATGGTGACGAATGTGTTGAATGTAAAGGGGGAACGGTGGTCGAGTTACGCAGGGGGACAATTTGAAACTCAATGAAATCACAGAGGGCGCGCATGTGAATGATGCCAAGATCTTTTCCATCTCTCTGAACGAAGGCGATGCCCACCTGCTTTCTCGTACCAATATATCGGGTAGGGACTGGCTTGCGGCCATATCGATAGAGTGAGCGATGCATTCATAGAAAGAAGCAGCAACAGGAAGAAGACGTATACCATTGACCGCTCTCTCTAGCGGCCAATCATAGGTACGAACGAGGTTCGTATGGTCATCGCAGAGCTAATCATGGGCAGAGTGATCCATTTCCTAGCACTCTGTAAAGTAGTAGCTCGCCTCGTGGCATTTTGGACACTTAGTCCGTGCAGCTTCTCCACAGATGCACGTCAAATGCCTCAGATGATCCTACAATGCCTACAACATGTGTCTGACGGCACAGCGTATGGCACAAGTTCGGGAGCTGCTCTTCCCTTATGGACAGTCCTTCTCACAAGTATAGGGTCACGGCAAATATCAAGTATACAGAGTAAATAATAATCTATTCCAACCAGAGGCGTCGATGGGATACAGATACAGTCGCTAAGCGCATCGACCTGACGTTCCAAATGACCACCGTTTTTACTCCCCTCCCAATATCGTTGTTGTTACATTTTCTTCTTCCCAGACCAACTCCCATCTATTTCGCAAAGTGGAGGTCATAGCCGAGCCACTTTCTCGACTGGACTTCGTCAACCGAGAGACCCGGGTAACCGTAAGTCAAGGGCAAGAAAAAGTACCATCCACCAATGACGACGGTAATAATCAAACCTGCTGCCGCCCATGAGGTCAATAGGTTTTGACCAGCCAACTTCTCACGTGCCGGTAGGTGCTTCTTGGGAGCCTTCTTGCTCCCTTTGACCATCGAAGCATCGTCGAGGATAGGCTCCACATTGAATATAAATTCAAGCAAAGCGCCCGTGACTAGAGCTGAAGCCAAATGAGCAGGCAAATAATGATGCAAGAACAGTTGACGACCCATCAGGTAAAATGGAAGGTAGTGCATTGCCCATGCAAGGAAAAAGAAACCGGTCGAGTTATAGAGTCGTGATCGAGAACCTATTTAGTCAGCAAGAAGTCAACGCATTAGGATTTAAAACTTACGCTCGTCCAACGCATCAACACCACGGCGAAGAGACAATTGATCTGCAGCAATAATACCAGCATACACAGCCAAAAGACTGCTTGCAAGCCACCATCCAATAGGATTTCCGAGGAAGTAAATTTGCTGACGAGTATCATTCTGGGTCCAGAAGCTGACACCACGGAGCAAAAATGGCCAAATGAAAGGCTCACTGGCATACGGATGGCTGCTCGTCAAAGCATTGTTGTGGTAGAACATGGCTCGCTGCAACTCGAACCACTTTTTGAGAAAGGGCACACTCTTGACTTTGCGCTCTGTCTTGACCAACCGCTCGCTGTCCTTCGGGATGGATGGGATGTCATCAACATACCAGATGTTGGAACTTTGCGCAAGATTCTTGTTTCCGTTGATTTCCTGTTGTTTGTATGCCCAATCCGGGAGTGGGGTGGTGTGTGTCCACATGGCAACCTTGCTTGGGTTGTGGATCAATTTGAATTGGCCTGAAAGACTCTTGAATTCCTGTCCCACCCTGCCGTTCTCAATTCGGATCTCGAACAAAGTATCGTTGAGACGATCTCCTAAAGCATCTTCCATTGGCACAGTGGTGAATTCCTGATTCGTTGGATAAAACGGAGAAGCAACATCGTGCGAGAGAAGCATGGTGTTGGTGACCACATGTCTCAGTCTGACGAGGTCGAAATTCTTGACATGGTGTCCCAGAACATCATCGCTGACAGCGGGAATAATTTGCCAATGATTGTTGGCATCGGCATATGGATAACCCGTGACTTGTTGACCTTGACTGGAAACTCGGCCATCATCATATCTCAAGGGGTATTTATCGGGGTGGCTGTGAAGGAAGCCCGAGGTTTCCTTGTGCTTGATCTGGATGTTGTCATAATAATCGATAGTTACGGCATTGGCGGTCATCAAATTGTCGCTAAGCGTCTCCTGGAACTCAGGAGTCATGAAATCGTCACCAGGTCCGGAACGTGTCAGGATCGCGAAATGGACCTGGAACCAAAAGAGGTAGAAAAGAAAGGGAACAATGATCAAAGCAATTGCCCGAGCGAAAAAATGTCTCCCAAACTCTGGAAGGCTCATAGGGCCTTGGCGACGGTTGACATCCAAGAGATCCCAGAGATCAATTGCAACTGCAGATCCAATCGTAACAAAGGCAAACAGACCGACGTATTTCGTGGAGATGACGCAGCTAAGGGCGAATCCGGTCAACAGAAGCCATTTCCACCATTTTCGTCCGAAAGGCTGGTGTCTGAGCTTGTAAAACTTAATATAACACAACAGACTGCATGCCATGGCAAATACAAGCGTAGCATCTAGCAGGATCAGACGAGTCTGTCCAATGTGTGCGTTATCGAAGAGGATCAAAGAAGCCGACAGAATGCAGGCGGGAAGAGTGTATCCGGACTCCCACATGATGGCGAACACTGTCGGGACAGTCAAAGCACCCAAAAGAGCGGGCATTGCACGGTAAGCCACATATGGGACCTTATTATCGATATAGGAATCGCCAATGTTCTCGAAGTGGAACTTTCCATCGTATCCCACGAACCAACCCATTAGGGCGAAAAGTAGTTTTCCGAAAGGAGGATGGACATCGAAAAAGTAGGTTCGTTCGAGGTAGTATGAAGCGAACTGTTTGAGGCCATTTGTTAGCTTCTAGTTGTGTGGATGAGTTCGATTTGGCCTACCTTGCCGAAATGGACCTCGTCAAAGACAACTTCATTGGGATGGCTGATACCCCAAAATCGAGTGATAAATGCCAGCACCGTTATGATTGAGATGGCGATCCGATAATCCCATTCAACGGCCCCCTTTTTGCTCTTATTCGCCCTGACTAAAGCATCGAGATCGGCGTCGCGAGGGGCTGCAATACCAGTTGCGGAAGCATCTTTCGCCTTGATGGGAATATTGGCGTCTTTCCGCTTCTTCGCGGAGCCTACTTGAGACATATTGAGATGAGCAAAGAAAGAAAATCACTGCAAAAAATGGTATGTTAGCCAGTAATCGACCAGAAGCACAATTCTATAAGCTCTCCTGTGGGGGGAAGAGGGCACTCACAATAAGCACAGCAAAGCCTAGCAGAGCTCAATGAGTGTAGGAAGAGAGCATTGATCTCAGAAGAAGATCTACAGATCAAGAGGCGACGTTGCTGTCTTCTACGTCGGAGGACGAGGAGGATGTTTCTTGGTCGAGAGATAGGAATTTCACAGCCGCGTAACTTATAACTTTCGTAAGGTGTCCCATCCGCTTAGCGCGTTGGAATAAGGCCACATGGCGTCAGGGGCAAAGGGTCATTCTTCTGTTCGCAACAATTAATTACAATCTACAGAATATTATAGAATAACTATAATGATATTAAGACCTTTGATACTTCTATCTTTAAATCTCAACTGCAGAGCTCCTCTTTTTCAAATGAGGAAGGACGTAGGTATACTAATCACGTGTAGACCACGCTAAGCCCAACCTTGATAAGTAAGGGGCAAGGCCGTGGTTATTTATAACTTTTGACTTCAAGACAAAACATATTAATAGAGCCTTATATCTTCCTCCTCTCAAGATGTTCGTTCTCTCCAAGACTGGCACCAGCATCGGATCTCAAAATGCCTTCAGCCGGGCGATATTACGCACTACTCTGTCCTCCACTCGAGTTCAACAACGCGCTTTCGCTTCTTCACGGTCAAGAATGGTCTCTGGATCGAGTCCGACGACTCCAATATTGAGCAAAAATGCCATGCCACGTTTGTTCCCTGAACCAAGCATTAAATAATCGAACCACTGACGCTTAACTAGCTGTTGGTCCATATGTGAGCAAATCTGAAACATGTACCACGTGCCTCTGTCTATGCTCATAAACCACAGAGTCAAGCAATGAAAACACCACACGCAATCTACTGTTCTGGCCAGTTACCTGCCGATGCGCAAGGCAATCTAGTGGAGGGAAGCATGGGTGAAAAGACCGCCGCGTGTCTGAAAGCCATTTCCGCAGTGCTCACTGAAGCCGACTCATCGCTCGACAAGATTGTCAAAGTCCAAATCTTCCTGACAGATATGAAGGACTTTGGGGAGATGAACGCCGAGTATGAAAAATGGATTAAGCATAAGCCGGCGCGGAGTTGTGTTGCTGTGAGGCAATTACCAAAGGGTGTGGATCTTGAGATTGAGTGTATTGCGATACCGTAGGTGGGATGAATGAAATAATGATTTTCGTTGCACCCAGCCATCGTTTTGGCATAATACTTCAATAGACAGCCCCGTCAAGTAGACTAAAAGGTTTTCAAAATCATCACATCCGCACAAGTCCTTACTCCTTGCTTATTCATTTCTCCAAAGTTGTCACGCTCACCCTGATATTGAACGACAAGGGTCATTATTCTCAAGACGCTTCAGAGTCAACTGGTCTAATTCTGCTTGCTTTCCATATAACGAACCCCATTTCAAGAGAAGTACAAGCTATTTGATCGTATATTCATTGTCTGGCATATTTACGAACTCAATATCCTCGTGCATTCTCGCGCACTCATTCCGCAAGCTTGAGTCCCGGGTTCATGGCAAAATGAACACCCCACCCTCAATATCCTTCACAATTGTCCCATTCAACCCCAAGAACCCCTCGACCTTCGCACGCAGATCACTCTTCTCCAACAGCCACCCCACCATATTCCCAAATACCGTCTGGCCCGCAACATTCAAATGTGTATAATCACCCTCCACCCGATTATACTCATACGCATCCTCTTCCCCGATAGCATTCAAATACTTCGTACTCTCCTCATTCAAGTGCAGAACCGTGGTACTAGTGTTCGAGCCTACGGAAACTGTGGCTGCTACCTGTGGTGCTAGGTTCTCAATGATGAGGCCGGAGGAGTTGTAATTGCGGCGCGAGAGGGAAGTGATGAGGATGGGTGTTCCGCCTGCGGTGTGGACGTCGGAAACCATATTGGCCAGATTGGTGGAGAACTGAGCGATGCTTATATTCGCTGCCGCTTTTTGATCATTATGTCCGAACTGGATAGCACTTAGCACTCTTTCTCCACACATCCATTCGCTAATCCCAAATCAGGATGTCTCTTGGATAAATCCTCAACTCAACTCTCATTTACTTGCATGGGAACGAAGAATCCACAAACCTGTATTGTAACATAAGGATCATAAACTCCGGTATGATTCTTTACTGCACTCAAAACGTTGGCCCAATCTCCTCCCTGCACAAAGCTCACAGTCGTTCTTCCATTATGACCGAAGTTTATGCCAGTGGCTCCATTTATGAGAGTGGAGAGGAATCCATCTCCCCAACCTTTCAAAAATGATTAGTTTTCGTTTGGGACATGAGAAAGAGGTACTATGAATACCTCCGCCACCACTAGTAATCGTAGCTGTGGTTGAATCCCCAGCTAAAAAAAACACAGGTGTCTTTCCAGCTCGCTTGGCATTTAGGGGAGATGCCAAGGCGAGGCCAAACAAAAACGTGGCAATAGGAGCATACATCTCTTTAAGTGAAATTATAAATATGCAATGAATGTCTTTCGACTAGGAACTTACAAGTACTTGATCTTCTGCTCTTATAGACATCACCTGCCAAGTCCAATCTATATCTCACATGGTAGATCCCCTTCTCGTGCCCTCTGATTGGAGCATTAATTCCAACAGGACGTATATTATCCACAACCCCACAGTTCGCAATATCCCCTGGAACGTGGCTTTCGGAACAATCCGCAAAGTACCGATAGAGCGGCTAGCATTGTGTCAACTTTAAATTTTTGATGGGTGATTGAGAAGCGGAAAGTTTTTATTATCTAATATGCTTTAGAAGAGCTGCACTTTAGCTTGTTGAATTCTGGGTGAGATAATATGCTAGATCTGCTTTCCGTTCTTCTCTTTGAGTCTTTCCATTACCCAGATATTGGAATCTATTTCCACTGAAGCCTTCGAATTCCCAATCCTCCCACCGACATTCGGACATCAGCTCGAGGAAATGCAAAGAAGAGCCGCACCATGGACCCCAAACCGCTCCCTGGCCATCTTTATACCTAATAATGGAAGTATTAGCCAAAATCTTTTCTCGATTCTCACGAGAGTTTTAGCACAAAACAATGACCATACCATGAGTTACAACCAGAAGTCCAAACTAGATCTCTCATCAGAGAATCCTTATGTTCTTGGAAATCATCTATAGCAGCTTTCTTGGGGACCATGCATTTTATCCCCTCTCGCTGCATTTTTGCGACGGCTTTGAAAGCATACTTGATGGTTGCTTCTATGCTTGGAATCAAGGACCCATTTGCAATTGGGAAATTTGGCCCTGCAATGACTTCATCCCATTTTAGCCTCATCACCGTGGAGTATGGTAAGGAAAGAACTCACTGAAGTAATTGGGGAAGTCTTGAGCTGCAATTGATAAGTATGAGCGAGGATTGGTAGCCCACTCAGTTCTAAGATCTTTGCCCTTCTTTCCAAGAAGAGGGAAAGCCGGTCTGTACGACGTGTCAAATCCAGTCGCACATACTATACAATCCAGAGGTATGATTGTGTTATCTTTCATCTTAATTCCGTCTGCTACAACTTCTGAAATTTCATCCTTTCTAACGGAGACGTTGTTGGAAGATAGTGCTTCGAGATATCCATGGCCTGGAGTCAGCCTGTCAAAAGCTCTTGTCAGTTTGGGGCTAAGCACAATTTCATATACAATATCCGCACCATAAAGAGAAAGAAACCCAAGAGAATAGCGCATGACTAACCGTCGACATCCCACCGCAAAGTCGGGAATCAATATGTTTTCAAGATCTTTTCTCCCCCCTAATCGGCCCTTCATCAGCTTTTTAGATTGCTCTAATAAATTACGCTGCTCTTCTGCTGTTTTAAATCCCCAGTTAAAACTCTCATTCATATTTGCCTCGACTCTTTTGCGATATTGGAAGAAGGCATTGGGATTTTCTGCCCATATTTTCTTCTGTTCTTCCGAGAACTCCGTTGTTCTACCTTCTGGAGCAAATTCTTGACCGAATTCGGAAGTTATCCATGTCTTTGATCGATTGAAGCTGGTAAGATGCTTAACCTCTAGATGCAGACATTAAAGGTCAGTCGGGTTCTGGTTGTAGAGCTATCGAGTAAAACTGCCATCATTGAATCAATTCAAGAAGATGAACAAAAACTCCTTACGTACTTGGCTGAAGCTGTGGAACGATCTGTATGGCTGAAGAACCAGAACCTATCACAGCAATGGTTTTGTCTCCGAAGTCATAATTATCTTGCCAATTTGCGGAATGTATGAGTTGGCCTTGAAAAGTGTCAAGTCCCGGAATCTTGGGCCATATCCAATTACTGCAAAAGTGAGCGTTGACGGACAATGGATAGGGCGAAAGAATAAACAAACTTGAGGAAACCTGCAGCATTTATCAAAACATCCGTCTCGTCATAAGAATATGTACCAGTTTTTTTATTCAGCACTTTCACTCTCCATTTCCCCAATTCATCTATCCATGTTGCTTCCGTGACTTGGTGCTCCAAGCGGAGGAACTCCTCGACGCCGTATGCAACTGCCCTTCCTTTGAAGAACGCAAAAAGCTCTGCCGATCCAACGTAGACTTTGCTCCATGATGGATTGCCCTCCCACGTATATGTATACATGTGGGCTGGAACATCACATGCACAACTGGGGACGAGATCTAAATAAGTATGACGCTTGACATGGCATATCAACAACTACTTACCCTGGATATCGGTTTTCGAGCCAGGTCCCCCCTACATCTTTATTCTTCTCATAAACCACCAATTCAACTGATTGGTTGAAGAATTGGTCTCGAAAGAGCTTTACGGCTGCTATTCCAGAAATTCCTGCTCCAATGACCACAATTCGCATAGGTCTGGGTGTTCCCATAGGAGTCGGTGAATAGTTATATGGCGATGTAGGCCTTCCATTGCCTATTTCTATATCTTCCATAACTGTCGACAAGCGGTATCGCGAGAATAATCGTAGTTTGAGGTCCTGGGTGCGGAGATTCAGGAGAGAATATCAAGTGTGCTTTCCTCAATGCTTCCCTCAATGTCTCATGGGAACCCGATTGAGAATGGTAGATTGATATAGACAAAAGCCCCATGATTCATATACTCTAACGTTATCGAATTATACTGGATTTACTATCGATATGTTATTTTGGATCTCCCGAAGGGTTTACAATATTGACGAGCCCCACATGTGAAAGATGGGGTTGGCATTGTGTTCGGAGAAGATGTAGCCTCCCCGGCAAGACAAGATAAGGGGCCGATAGCTAGAGTTGACTTCAGATAAGGCAACTCATTCTAGAATTCGTCTAGAAGAAATGCCTTTATCTAGAATTAACTGCGGAAAGGAGCGGTCTTACCGTCTTATGGACGTCGAGACTTTCTTCTTCTCAACAGGAAAAATAATATTTTCACTATCACATGCATAGTGACAAAAATGGCTTCTTTTGAGGACACGCAAAAGACTTCTAAAGAGATACAGGAACTTCTCGAGACACTGGAAAAAGAGTTTCCTAGAGGCGTTGGAGATGAAAAATGGTACCTCCTGGCGGTATGATGATGTGATCTTCAGACCCAACATTTTAATATTTCCACCTGACAGATTTGAATTAGGTTTCTGCACTCACTGGAGCTGGGATGACAGAGATTTCGGCCGATGTATACACCTACCTCATAAATCAGACCCAGTACTCGACCGCGGAGTCTAGAAAGGGGCTGATAAGAAGGCTTAGAGAGGCTCTCATCAAGCTTGTTGCGATTGTTGGAGTTTGCAGACCACTCGAAGCAATTTTCAGTATCGATGCGGTACAGATGGAAGAGGACAAGGACTTTTCATTCTCCCGGTACGCCTAGTGCATTTGTTACTGAAGGATTAAAGTCTGATATATATTGTTTACAGTGAGAACTGGAAGTCCGGAGCCGAGAATATTGCACGAGGAGCCGCATGGGAGCAAAGAATCTATCAGTCGAATATAGATGAGTATGACAACAAACTGGTAGCACATAAGGATTTTGGTATTCTTTACATTCCTCTATCTGTTTCGAACGCTGAGATGCTGACTCCTATAGCGTGGATTGGATCTGAAATCGTATACGGTCTTTTACTTTCGGATCATACTATTTTAAGCGACGTAGATACGGAACTGGTGGTTCTGACAGGGATAATGATACAGAACTTGAAAAACGAGACGCATTGGCATTTGAGGGGGATGAGAAGATTGGGAGTGAGCCTCAACGACGTGGAGGGTATACATAAATGCGTGCGTTATCCTTCCGGCTTATGTCATCCAACTATTCAACGCAACTAACTAAACGAGTTCAGATCGAATTGATTGCAAATTTTGCTGGTGTGAAGGTCAATAGAGTTCCTAGAGTCTCTGATATTGAACACGAAGTCTAGATCTAATTAAGCTATAAGCCTTCAAATACGAGATGCTATTATTACTAGTTACTTACCATACTATTTATGTTTGAGATGTACATCATAGCTACTAAAGATGACTTGGGCTTATTTGAGTATATATGAATATCATGTAACAATTAGAATTGATTCATGTTGCGAGGTGCAGATCATGATGAGCGCTGAGCCCATTCAAGTCCAACTAGACCTCTCTCCATGACTATTAAACACAATCTGGACTATCATATAGACTCCACTCTAAAGTTAGGATCTTACCTTCCTATTTTAGCCTAATAGCAATAGAACGAATTGCAGCCAAAATTGCGTCTATTATACTCCATACTAGTGCCTCCTCTATTTCGTATATCTCCAATAAACTATTCTAGACAACTTGCACAAATGATGGTGACATAAGCTATTTCAAAAAATATGAAAAGCATACTTCGAAGTCTCCTCTCGCTCTCCAAAATACAACAACGAATTCATTAAGCAAACCAATTCCATGTAATAAGTAAATAAAATAAACCCATCGCCACAGGTTTATATGTCTTTCTTTGGTTCAAAAAGACGGTCAAAAGCAGTTTCAAACTTTCCTGTTGGCCGAGGTATGAAAGTTTCCTCATACCTATCAATCTCCTGCTTCATTCCCCCTACTGTTAGATCTGCGGTACCTGGACGAATATACTTGGTCCTCTTGATTATCTTCCAGCCAATGAAAGCTAGCGGGAAGGCTGCGATCATAGAGTAGTCGAGAAAGAAGTAAAGATAACTCCAGCCTCCGGGAAAGAACAAAGAATAGCCAAGAACAAGCAACATGATTGTTGTACCTCCAAGAGCATAGTAAGCGGCATAGGGCTGTAAGAATCCTCTATATGGAAGATTCTTTCTGTCAATTCCTTGAGCATCCAGAGCTGCTTTGAAGTGGAGGTAGACAACTATTGTTGCCATATAGTTGATTAGTTGACAGGCAGTGATCAGATCCACAAGCCAGCCAAGAACCGAGCTAGAGCTTTTAGCAGCCTGCAGAAAGCCTAGGAGGCAGAATGCAAGAGCAACCAATACTGAGTAGTATGGAACACCCCATTTTGAGCATTTTGATAAAAATCTTGGTGCTTTGCCTTCAAGTGACATTCCATGGAGACAACGTGTTGCAGAAAATAAGAGTCCGTTGCCTGCGGAGAATACAGAGGTCATGATAAGGGCATTTACAAGACTCCCAAGGCCGGGTATGTTGAAGTGATCCATGGAGATAACGTAGGGCGAACTGTCGGTTGTTAGTTACCACTTCGAATATGAAAGGATACCTTTCAGAACTAACCTGGCACCAGTCCCACTAGGAGCATCTCCGGAGATGGTAGCGGCAAGAGTAGGGTCGTTATATGGGACTACAATTCCAAGACAGAGAGCACCGATGACGTAGAAACCAAGTAGGCGCCAGACAAAGGACTTGAATGCCGTTGGAAGAATCTTGCGTGGTTGCTCCGTTTCCGCAGCTACGATGGAAATATACTCCGGGCCACAGACGGTGAAAGAAGCTTGCGACATGCATGCGAGCAGACCCAGGAATCTACCTGTGTTACCCGGCCGAATATGTTCCACAAAAGCACCCTAAACATTATAACTCCAGTAAGCCTTTGCACAAACCTTCCTGAACAGAACCATCGAACGACTTACGGGATTGTTCCAATACCTAAATCCGTACACATCGTGTAGTGGATTTCCGCCAACCATTGTAATGAAAGTATAGCATATACAGCCTATAATGAGAACCACTTTGAAAATTGATAGATAGAACTCAGATATCCCAAATAAACGTGCGGATATGAGGTTGAGGATCCTGAAATTGTCAGACACGATAGTACTATAATTAGAATGAGAGCTTACGCATAAAGGACAATGAGTATAGAAACAATAGCCTCGACTGGAACTTTGTCGGTCCAGTAAGTGAGAAGAATATTAAAAGCCACAATCTCGAATGGCACAAGGAGAGCCATATTAAGGAAGAAGTTCCAGCCCATTGCAAAGCTGAGAGCGTCGTCGACCCAGAAGCCACCAAGCCGAATGAATGGGGACGCGATTGGCATGTAGCATACCATCTCCGCTATGATGGTGCATCAGTATAAATATATCCAGCAAAGGATTTCAAGTAGTCATACCAAAGCATTCATTGACAGCAACCATGACAGTTCCATATACCGCGAATCCGAGGAAGAGGCCTGCGGGCCCTCCGTTGGGAAGGGAATAGGCCATTTGCATGAACAAAGCTATGTAGGTATTAGAAAAAATCATAGAAGAGAATAGAAGGCGAATCACATGTTCCAATTGCACCTCCAATTGCAAATAACTGTACCTCCTTCCCCCTCAGCTTCCGGTGCAGATTCTGCGACCCGGTACCCATCAGAGCTTCTGCATCACCGATTTCTATACCACTGGATGCTTCTGGTTCAAGTGCGGACTTCTCCTGAGTCTTGAAGTCCGAGTCTGCTACATAGGACACCGGAAGAGACATTGCGACTAAACAGAGAGCCTTAACAGTTCGAAGTGCAATAACTCGTACCTTTCAAAGCTTATGTATACAAAGTCTCCATCGCCTATCACGATTAGCGAACGGCTATAAGTCTAAGGACTTATCATTTTTGGCATTAGGATACGCCAGCGAAGCCTCCTGCTGATATAACACTTTGTACGGGAATGCATATTCTCGGAGAAGCGTTAGACTCCCCTCCCCGCATACTGTAAGCGAAAATCTTCAAGAATGGGTGTTCGTTGATAAGAATGGTGGAGTTAAGGACCAATCACATCTTTGTACTAACCGAAATAGACACATGAGCGGATTGGCCCCGAGATTGTCGATCGAGCTACTGCTCGCAAACCCCTGAAAATAGTGTCGGATGGCCCGATAGAGTGTATCTCAGAATCTCAACCCACTAGGCTAGGCACAAGAGGTCTATGATTTATGGAATACCCTTCAATAAACCTTACTCAGCATCGCCATTTGAATTCGAGAGTGGATAGGGTATGTTTTAGGAAAGGATTATTAGTATCTCTCTGCGCCCGCACTAGCAACTGTGACTTCAACATCATGATGGAATCAGTGGCTTTTGATAAGACTTTCCTACGAGGTCTTTCTTCGAAAACTGTCATTGTCACGGGCGGAGCAAATGGCATTGGAGCTCAGACAGCCAGGCTCTGCCATACATACGGAGCCAATGTGACCATTGCAGACCTTGCGTCCTCACAAAATGCAGCCAACAACATAATCACATCGCTTCCAGCCGGTTCTCAACAACGAATGATTTACATACCGACAAACACTACCAGCTGGAACGACCTGAAACATATGTTTTTCAAGACTTTTTCCGCATTCGGCTCCGTTCAAATTGTCATTGCGAACGCTGGAGTCATGGAAAGTACGAACTTTTGGGATTTTGACCAGCTTGATGAGCAAGGGGATCCATTAGAACCCAAAGAATCGAGTAGAGTTATAGACATCAACCTGAAAGGAACTATGAACAGTACGCAGTGCTCGATCTCCACCAAGTCAAATAATATCCGAAAGTACAACTAACTAACTGACCATACTTCGTTCAACAGCTTTGAAGCTTGCAATGTACCATATGCGATCAAATCCCCCCTGTTTCCCGGACAGCTCTCGAGGGTCAATCATTCTTATATCATCAACTTCTGGATATTTTGGCAGTAGCGGTGTCGCCTCATATATTTCTTCGAAGCATGGTGTGACTGGTGTATTGCGGGCTTCTCAGGGAGCAGCGAACCAGCTAGGTATTAGGGTCAACGGGATTGCACCATTTTATACTCCGACACACATGACCAGTGGTTACTCCGCACTATGGAGTAAGAGCAGCGTACCCGGAAACACCGTAGATGATTTGGCCCAGGCAATAACACAGACTGCTATGGATTCTTCACGCAGCGGGAAATGCTTCTTGGTGAGTAGCCAGCGAAATCCATGTGCTTGGGGCTTTCCATTGATTAATGATGATGATAGGTTGCATTGGGCAAGATGATTGAGCTCGAAACTTTTTATAATGCCATGGTGCCTGAATGGGTAGGTTCGGATGTAGCAGAGCTGATGAATTCAGCAGGTCGATTCATGAAGGATATTGGCGGTTATAAGTTGCCGCAAGAACGGCCAAAATTGTAGTTAATACCTTTATCAAGAGCTTAGAGAACTCCTAAAGCCCAGCCAAATGTTTCGATCATATCGAGATCATGCCCTACCGCGGGACACTGTGGTGCACAGTCCTGGAGAAATGTGATCATTTCACCGCACCACGTCTCCCAGCCCACAGGTAAGACTCCTCGGATGCGCACGTCAGGACAGTGCCTGACGCCATAAAACAAAAGTAGCTGGCCGAAGAATCTATATGTATGGTGTTAGCATGTAGATAGATACAATTACATGACAAGAAATATATTCATACAGACTACATAAGCCAGCTTTCAAGGGCATGCAACTTTTCATCTTTTTACAGACGCCTTGAATCTGTGGCCAATTCATGGCATTTGCTAGCCCGTCGTGACATGCATTAAGGTCATCTTCGGTGGCTGTGGCTGGTGCGTGCAGCACTTTATATAGAAACGGTCTTCCAAGGTGAAATTTCGCAATACGATAACGGCCACGGAGCATGGTGTTGAGCATTGCATCCGCTGGAGTTTCAGGTCTGAGTTGGGAGTCCTCGATAAAAGTCTCGATTGTCTCTGGAAGGTTTTTCCGCCATTGACTCAGCTGGTGACGCAGCTCCGCAACGATGGGAGCAGAAGGAGAATTGTTGGTTGTCGCTAGGAGAGAATGAGTGTCAAAGCATTACAATCGGAACAGAGTCTAGAGACATACAATGAAAGAATAAGCTGTCTCTTATGCGACTAAGTAGCAAGCGGTGCGCTACCTGCGCCAAGAAATGATACTGATAGTTGGAATCATATTGTTTCGATAAAGAACAAGCTTCTAGTGAGCCACTGCTACTTTGGTAATGGATGAACTTCGGAATTGGAATGCGATCTTCCAAGGATGCAATTCCACTTGAGGGAAGGTTCAATTCTTGGATAATGATACTTTCGAACATCAAACATTGCCAGAATACTCGGGATCTCATATCGCCATCCCAGTCATCCCACGGAATCTTCTGCCGCCTGATACTAAAGTCAGCAAGAAATTTCTTGAAAGTTTTCATGGGAGCTTCACGTCTTTAGCATCGTAAAGCAGCAGACACAAGCCCTATTTACCATTGTCCAAGCATCGATAGGGCGGATTATTTGTGTATAGTAGAGCCTGATGACTCCAATTAATATATTCTTCCATTCATATGAGGATCTGTTTGAGACTTACCCAGAAAGGAGGTAGAATTGACAGGTCATGAGGTCGTTCTTGCACATTAGAAATCCCATTTTCTGTCGAGCAAGGTTGAAGAATCGTAATCCCGGGATTTCTTCTCTTACGATTCCAATCCATTCAGGGCATATAAATCCCTCATTAGAGCTTCCTGACTTATTTCGCTGTAGTGGGTAGTCACCTTCTTCGTGTGATAAAACAGCTAAACAACCAAGCCCCATAATGACTAATGTAAGACAGGAATCAATATTACATTCGAAGCCTTGAGTTACCACTGTTTCTAGAGTGACAGAGAAGAAATACAACTTGTCTAAGACTGGCAACATGGGGTTAAATGTCGTGAAGAAAGCGTCGCATAAGGATTCGATCACAGAAAATGGCAAGTCCTCTATCCACCTTTCACCCAAATCAGGCGGATATGAAGAGATTCCCATGGGGAGTGGTGGTCTGTTGTTCTCTAGGGTTACCATATAGTCTGGCTCGAGATGTCGAAAAATACTAAGAAATTCTTGGGGGACCGTTTTTATTATTGCTGGCCAAAGAAGGACGCCATGCTGGCTATATCTGATATGCGTTTGGCCCTGAAAGTCTATTAACTTTGGTACACTGTCCGAATCAAATTCATCATTGAGAAGAAGGGTTGAGTTCGATCGGCTTGGAATCGGAGTAGCTATTTCGCTATGATACTCTGCCGTGCGCTTGCTTGATGGTGAACATGCGCGGTCAGGATCTCGTAACGAAGATAATACTTGTGACGGCAATGTGTCCATCTTAGACTCCATGCGTCGTAAGCTATTAACGATAATAGCTAGAGACTGGTCTTTCCTAGCATACAAGTCAGATAGAGGACCATGGTCTTGAAGATCGAAAATCAGCAATATTCATACGTACTTGGTTATTGTCCGCTCATCATAAGAGCAAACACTCCCACGAAGCTTGCACTGTCCGCAACGAGGTTTGTCTTCGTCACATTTTGACTTCTTTGCTCGACATAGCTTACAAGCCTATATATCATTAGCAATAGAAAACTAATATTGGAACGATGAGGTGGAAATATGTACCACTAGCGCTAAGAAATTCCTACGATGCTTAGAGTTCTCCCCAGAATGAGGTTGCTCCGGATCTCCACCATCACAACCCCCCACTATAGGATGGGCAATGGCCCCTATATCAACAGGAAGGCGGTTTTGATCGCTCAATGCATCATATGAACGCTTGGTCATATCGCCCTTATGTTTCCAAGCAAGAAATTTATGATCTAATTTAGTACCAGTTTTTGGTATGCGTTACAGCAGGCAAAGATTTGTAGAAGAGTTTATTGGTAAGTAGTTATCTCGCGTTATCAGACGGCTGTTTACGCCGCCTTTTAGGGTCTCGGGGGTCACGGACGTCCTAATTGGGTAAGGCTAATCAATGATGCCTTAGGCAGGAAAGGAAAGGAAAGGGGTACTGGTGGTAAAAGTAAAGCGACTCCACGGGCAATCTCATTTATATACCGATAAAGACAAGACTTTTGAAGTGCACAGCCTAAATAACAACAGAATAGATGAGAGTTTATCAATCTTAGATTAGACATGGTCTGAGGCAGGGGTGAGGAAACGGATGTGCCTCACATTAATAAGGTCCTTGTGCACTGGACTGATCAGCTGAGACGGCATTTCTGTCGCCGTTTCGGCGTATACTAGGCAACATTGTGCAGATCGTGTCAGACTACCTTGCGCTACCCACCCCGGGCCGCTCGCCTTAACGTCAGCTTAAAACAGTTCCGCGCCTTTTCTTTATTTCCACGGTTGACGGGTAGAACATCAATATCATTATTATTACCGTCTTCGTCCTCATCGCAAGCGTGTCAGGGTACTTTGAAATAAGACCCGAGTTCAGTGTGTGCCTTACTCAGCGTCATCCACTCCTCATCATGCCGTGAGGAGTGTCGAGCAAGTACGGTGCGATGGTTCACAGCCTTATTGCATCGAGAAGTTTAGCGACTCCACGGACGCTCGCCTGTGTCCTGTCCATAATCGTTTTGAATCACCTGAGCAACAATCTTCAGATTGTTCCAAAGGTCCATCTTTTCGAATCTCGAATATGCCACGCTTACTATCGTACCCGCCAGCCCCCTCAGATTGGTCCGCCACCACCAATTGATGAGTCGATGTGTAAACTCAAGGAGATTCAAAAAGAGCTCTCAACTGTTCTTGGATTCTTGACTTTCTTCAATAGCATACCTCGTAAGTTCATTATCAAAGACTGTGCGTGCTTGACTGATTCGCAAGGCATTTTGATTAGCGTCTACTATGGAGCGTACGCAGACCGACATGGTAGGAAAATTGTGTGTTTAATGGCTTTTTCGGGATATGTGCTATCACTTTCATGGATTCTGGGCGTTTGTGAGTTTTATATTACAAATTGCTAAAACCTGGCTAATATCAGCGTTCGTCGAGGCTACTTGGAGGTTCCCATCAGGCTCGTATGGGCGTCTTCCATGTTCTACTTCATCGGAGGTGGAAATCAAGTGCTCTGGTCCATGTTATTCAGCCTTATTTCTGACATCGTGCACCCTACCTTCAAGTGCGTATCGAAATATCTCTTGATAGTCCCAAGTTATTAGCCAAGGCCCAGGATGAGGTTTATGATACTGGGAAGGGCTGTGGGCTCCGCAGCATTACTACTGACACCACCGGCTGCAGAGTTTATGCTAGGGTACTCCACCTGGCTTCCATTTCAAGCACTTGTAATAGTCGACGGCAGCATATTAATTTTAGTATTTGCATTGCCATCTAAAAATGGACTCACACATGATTCTGATAGACAAGCGATAGATGCAACACCCTCACCTATGGCTGACTGTGATCGTTTAGAGGCAGTCTCGAGCGATAGTTCTAACACTATATACTCAACATCACCTGCCACAAGCCAGCTCAAATCCATCCCCTGGAGTGCGCTATTCACGGCACCGCTTCTTACATGCTACCTAATATTCTTCTTGAAACGGGTAGCCTTTTCGAGTCAAGACTTCATTTACCAGTACGTCTCGCGCTACTTTTACATCCCGCTACGACATACGGCTCAACTCCAAATGTCACGAGCAACTGGAATGATTTTCTGGATATTTATCTTCCTGCCGGCTGTTTCAACCATTCTTATCCGAAAATTGGTCGCCTCCGCAGAGAAGGTAGACCTTTATATTTTAAGAGCAAGTTCGATCTCTGCTACTATTGGGTCATTCCTAGCATGGTCATCGCACTCAACGCTTCTCATTTTTCTGGGCCAGTCTTTCGATTAGCAGCACATAAAGATTCACACTGGTTCTTGATAGCTATGTTCATCTGGCGGTTTGGTGAGGGAATCGAACCTGTTCTACAGGGACTATGTGCCTTCTTCGTCGATAGCGCCTATACTGGCAGGATGTTTACCACAATCACCAGTATCAACGGATTTGCTGAGCTAGTTGGGGGCCCATTGATGGCCTCGCTAGTTCTGATCCAAAGAAAGGGGGTCGTGGTTTCAGAGGGGTTCTGTTTCTTTGTATCCGCTGTAAGTCAATGGAAATCAGACTATGTTCCAAAGCTAATTTCCAAGGCGTTGTTTGCTATCGTCACTATCATGGCTTATATTCTGCACGGAAAACCCGAAAATGAAGTCTCACAACATGATGACAGGAGCACTGACGGAGTTGAGGAAATCAATCAATCATTTCTAGAAGCAGCCACCGAAAGAAATCCATTATTGACTTGATGATATAATTGGATGCTAAATACGGGCCTCTTTATAGATGATCCGGGAGCTACATAGTATTTCTAGAGTTCGGCCTC